ATCTCTCGTTTAACATGTGCATTGAGATCGGTGTGATCTAAATTCTGTGAAGCGCCGAAATGAAGGTTTGCTTTCACAGAAAAGAGGACACTTGTTGCACTTCCTTCCTACCACTCTGCACCAGCGGCCCACTGGCTGGAGAGATGTGTTCTGTGGTCTGCGGCCATAGTTTGCACTTCGTAAGCGTCGCTTACAGACTGCAGCTCTTCTGACGGCTCTCTACCATCATGGACCAGCCGACGCAGTTGTGTTGCGTTCTTCTGCTGCCGTTGTGCTTGTGTTTGGATGCTGAAGGTACGGAACTGACTTTTAATGCGAGGGATTCAGTTCTGCCGTCGGCCCGTATTACGTTTCCCAATTTTTGATTTATTTGTTTTGCAGTGAGTGAATTTAAAACCATCGGGAGAGGACCTGACGTCACTCCCATCTGCAGCAATGCAACAGAGATCATAACGCTCATAGTGTGTAAGATCAGAACTAACAGGACTGGAGCAGAGTGTCGTCTGCTGTATCGATACGGAGGAGACTTTGAGCACGAATGTGACTCCAGGTTCACTCTTAAGATGGAGAATCAGACCGTGTTTCTCCACCTGACTGGTCTCACACCAGTGGACAGTGGGAACTACACCTGTGAGTGTTCACGTGTGGGCGAGACCGTTACCCTCCATCTGAATATCACCGTGGAAGGTAAACCCATTTCATACTTTTTACCTTTTTACAGAGTAAATAGCCGTCATGTATCTGACAAAGAGCTTTTTCTTTACGATGTTTCAGGGGAAGAAGAGAGAGAGAGCGGCGTGACGTCACACACGCGGCTTCTAAACGCGTTGATCGGTGCAACAACAGTCATCTGTATAACTGCAGTTATCTTTGGGTTGATCTACAGGGGAAAACGTCACAGGTGAGTTTAATACTGTAACACACCTATTGGGAATAATTTAGCAACATTAGACATATTTAACTGTATAAATATACGTTGTGGTGAAAACACTTCTTTTAAATACAATTTGTTAAGTTAAAGTAGATGTTTAAGAGACTTCAAAGGCACCACAGCAGTTTACTGTTATCACTGTAGCTGGACTCATCTTTGGGTTGATCTGCAAAAGAAAACTTCTTGGGTGAGACTAAAATAAATGTGTGTGTGTGTGTGTGTGTGTGTGTGTGTTTTGTGGTGCACTAACTCTGATGCCTTCTAATTTAAAAGGTCGCGGTCATCTGTACGTGAGACTCACGACTCTGTGAGTAAAGTCGCCTTTTTAATCATCTGTACCTTTTTAAACTCCCTCATGTGACCTCCAACCGCTTATTGACAAGCTGACGTTTCCGTGGTAACAAGTCAGTATCACAGTGAGAATATCTTCTCTCGTAGGTTGAAGACGACCCAGATGACCCGTATACGAGCCTCCAGCAACCAGCCGCTGACCTTTACCAGACGATCTCCCACTCAAGAGGCTCTAAAGACCAGGAAGTAGACGGAGGAGACTCTGATCAAAGTTGCCAGGACACTTATGAAAATATGACTCCGTAAGCAGCACGAGGACTATGACTTGTGTTTGTACTTAATCATGATTTCTTGCAATAAGATGTGATTTAAGTAGATGTTGAATGAGCTGAAGGTCCTTTTGAATCACATTTCATTCTCTCATACTATTTCATTTTGAACATTCACACATTCACACACCTTGTTATGAGTTGGGGCCTTTCTGATTGTTACAATAAAAGTTTTAAAATAATCTACAAAGAGATGAATTTCGGTTCTTTTGACCATGATTATTATAAATGTTGTTATTATTAGTCATGTTGATTGCAACTGCATAATGATAATTGAGGGGTGAATGTCCCTAAAACCTTTCAACCTTCCCGTCACATTAACTAATCTAAACACCACGAGCTTCTATTCATTCTGCTGCTTCCATTCCGGGTGAAGTGAGACCTGCTGTCCACTAGGTGGCTTAGTAACGATACGTCCACTGAATTGATTAATCGACTTATATTCCTGCGATCCAACTGAATCGATCTGTGCTCCGCAAATCGGCATTCCGGACGACATATATCGATTACAAATCGATTGAAATGGTACATAATCGATTGTATCGATACTTGGAAACAGCACATTGGATTTTAGCACAAAAACTGTATGGATGTGTGTTTGTTTGTTTGTTTTTTAGCACTTTAGACACGTTAAACGTTACTGATTCAGTCTGCCTGTCTGTGACGCCATCAGTACGCAGCGGCAGCCGCGCGAAACTCGGAACAACAACAAAACACAGCGTGGAGGAGACGACTGCGAGCAAGACATTTACAAACGATCCAGCGCGTGGAAACATTTTGGCTTTTGCAAACACGGAGGTGTTCTAAATAAGTCGGTCGCTGTTTGTAGAATTTGTAGAAGCCAAATAAAAAAACACGGAAACACAACAAATCTTTCCGGCCATCTACTAAGGCGCCGTGGGATTAAACAACGCCGACAGTCAGGACCTCTAGCAGCGTCTCCGCTGCAGCAGCAGCAGGTAACTGCAGCTCTGTAGACACCTCAGGCCTCGCCAGCACCAAACTCAACATCACAGTAACAATTGTTTTTCTGTAAAGACATGAGACCCTACAATGTGGTTGAAAATCCGGGGTTCTGTGGATTGATCCAAACATTGTGTAATTATCGTGTAATGTTTACATTGAAAATGACACTTTCAAATAAAAAGATTCAAATAAAAGGTTAATACATTTGCCATTAATTGTTGTTTGCTTGTTTATAATATCCATAATTAATTTAAACCTGATTTCCTTACAAGAAACAACAGGGATCTTGTAAACTTAGCCTGCACTGTCCAGTAAAGTTACTGAATCGATTTCAAGTCACTGAATCGAATCGTTCTAAATGAACCCAGATCGTCCATGAATCGAACCGGCAACCATGAATCGTGATTCAAATCGAATCGTTGTTAAAATGAATCGTTACACCCCTAGTTATTATGTTGTAATGCAGTCATCATAAGCAACAACAAATTATCTAAAAAAATGAAATTTTTGAAGCTAAACACGTCGGAATCGGTCTCATATTCTTTTCAAAATAACTAACAATGTGCAGTTATCATGTTATCAGCCATTTTCCTATTTAGATATTCCTGATCCCTTACTGTAACCAAATATAAAATATGACGCCTGCTTGGTGTGTCATGTATATTCTGTCGATGCAAGAAAGATGATTATGATTGTTACAAGTAAGACTTTCATGAAGTGAAACCAGAAGTTTGAATTTACACAGGAAGTAGGTCACAAGCATTTGGTTTGAGCATGTGAGTTTGAGACGGTTGCAGAAATATGATTTAAAAAGTTTGTGAGTGGTTTAGTTACAGCCCGCGATGGTAATCCAGAGAAGTGAAACATCTGATCAAAATAATAATAATAGACTCTTCCTGGTAAAATCTGGATAATGGGTCTGTAAAAGTTGCACTTGGTGTAGTTCTGTGAACCAATCCTGCTTATTGTCTGGTTTATATATTTGAGGTTTTGTTCCCTGAAAGCATTTGCATGTTTTAATGTCATATTATTTTTCTCTCGGTGTCGGTCTGAAAACATCTGCATTATCACTTTGTAATGACAAAAATTACAAAAAAAAACAATTCAATGCAAAGCATTATGGGACAGATCCCAGACCTGACTGCAAAATAAATGAATGAATGTTGTTTTATTTTCTCTTTTATTCATTTGGTTACACAGAAGTTCAGACCTGTCTTCTCATCGAGGGGGACTTTTAGTTGAGGTTTTTGCGGAGCGTAAAATGTCGTGCAACACATGTGATCACAATAGCAGTTGTCAGAATTTGAACTTCCTTCTTAGGAAAATGATGAGAAACAAAACACCAGACGACTAATTCTTCTACGGGACTTCTGCTACGTGATTTTTTGACCCCTTGAGTTGAGTTTTTTTTTTTGCATCTATGGAATTATGTCAAATACACTAAACGATTTTGTGGACTGTTAATATTAACAGCCTCTTCCAATGAAGCATATAGGATTATTAGAAAGAATCCCCTGTCCCTCCTCTCTCTCTCTTTCTCTTCTGTCAGTTTAATTTTATGTGAACATTTAAAGGGAGCTCAACACTAAACTTAGAGAGTTCTGTGCATAACAGCCGGAGAAGATGTTGATGCTGATACTTACTGCTTTATTATTTAAAGGTTAGTGATAATGATGTGTGTCATCAGAGAGCTCGTTCCACCATTTCGGAGCCACAACAGCAAAGAGTCATGATCTAGTCGAGTGTTTTGCTCTCAGTGAGGGAGGAACAAGCAGTTTATCAGATGCAGAGCGGAGAGTGCAGGTCGGGTTTGACCATGTCCTGGATGTAAGCTGGACCCAATCCATTCACAGCATGGTACGTGTAACGTGAGCACCAATGTTTAGAACTGGATGCGGGCAGCCACCGGTAGCCAGTGAAGAGAACGGAGAAGTGGAGTAGTGTGGGAGAATTTCGGGAAGGTTAAAGACCAGTCGAGCTGCTGCATTCTGGATGAGCTGCAGAGGTCGAATGGCGGTAGCGAGGAGACCTGCCAGGAGAGAGTTGCAGTTGTCCAGGCGGGAGACAAGAGCCTGAATCAGTACCTGGGCTGCCTTCTGAGTGAGAAGGGGACGTACTCTCCTGATGTTGCAGAGTGTGTATCTACAGGATTGTGTTGTCGCAGTGATGTTGGCAGTCAGGGAGAGTTGGCTGTCGAGTGTGATGCCGAGGTTTCCAGCAGTCAAAGTGGGCGTTAGCACAGAGTTGCCAAAGTTGACCGTCAAATCCCGGGTCAGAGAGTCTTTTCCTGGAAAGAGAAGTCTCAGTCGGGGTTGATTTTCAGATGGTGACGTCCACTGAGAGATGTCAGCCAGACAGGCAGAGATCCTGGGTGTCCGAGGGAGGGAAGGAGAGAATTAGTTGGGTGTCATCGGCATAGTTGTGGTAGGAGAAGCCATGCGAACGAATGACAGCGCCGAGAGAGTTGGTGTAGAGTGAGAAGAGGAAGGGACCCAGGAAGGAACCCTGAGGAACTCCAGTAGAAAGAGGACAAGGTTCCGACACAGATCCTCGCCATGTTACCCGGTAGGTGCGGCCGTCGAGGTAGGACGAGAGAAGGGAGAGAGCAGAGCCTGTGACACCAAGTTCCTGAAGGGAATAAGGATCTGTTGGTTGACTGTGTCAAATGCAGCAGAGAGGTCCAGAAGGATGAGGACAGAGGAGAGAGAGGCGGCTCTAGCAGTGTGGAGTTGCTCTGAGACAGCAAGGGGAGCAGTCCCTGAGTCGAATCGTCTCCCCTGATTCTTGATTGTGTCCACCTGTTTCCCATTACCCTCATGTGTCTCATAGTCTGCGTCTCCCTTTCCCTGGTGCCGGAGTGTACCGACTATTCCCCAGCCTGAGCCTGTCGCCTTAGACTTGGTGTTCCTCTTCCTGCCTGGTTTGGTCTTGCTTTTCCCTGTTCCCGTTCTAGAAGAAGTGTTCACTCCATGTTTTCTGTTGCCCTGGTTTACATCCATAAACAGTGAGGTGATGTTTCTTAATTATCTGGATAAATTCGTCTTGGGACAGAGAACCACGTAAAACAATTACATTCACATTACTGGTTTCTCCAGCAGAGTGTGTCTCTGAATGTCAGAGAAATTCTCACTCGACACCGGCGTGAAATCCTCAAAACAGGTTATTTAATGTTTGCAAACAGGAGACCGAGTTGACACACATACAAGTCATGCGCCAAGCCTGCTCAAAGGTTTTCATCTTTGGAGCAGGAATATAAACTGCAGGTATGGCATGAAAACATATGGTTACGCACGTACAGAGGACTGATTGTTTACCCTCATGGGACAGAATGTCCCTCCGAGGCCAGCGCTCCTAATCTCGGCTGACAAGATGTCTGCCAGCTGAGGGTGGCAAAAACCTTGAGTAGTACAGCCTTATTGATATCATGACACACATTATTTGCAGTTTTTCCAACACGGAAGCACAGTGCTCCCTACAACCATCTGGATGTAAATCATTACACAAGGTGTTGAGTTATGGAGCTTTATGACTCACCTGTGCGCATGCGCGCCTGTTCACCAATAAGAACTTTCTGGCAGTCAACATGTCGCACCGTGCGGTCCTACATCTGCTCTGTGCGTTTGGAGTCTTTCACAAAGGTGAGTAAGAGATGTTACAAGTAGATTTGTTTCCTCGCCTTTAGATCATTAGATCGTATTATTATTCTATTTGATTTTAAAGTGCAGCTGTGTTATTCGTGTATCTTTACTATAGTTACGATTTGTGACTAATTTGCATCGATTGCCGAAACCTCCCTCAGTAACTGGATACTGGACTTTCTAACCAAGCGTGACTCCAATCTGTCAGGTTAGAGAACCACACCTCCTGAACCCTCATCCTCAACCCCGGGGTCCCACAGGGCTGCGTGATGAGCCTCTACTCCCTCTTCACATACGACTGCAGACCTACATAGTCCCTGAGCAAGACATCTAACCCCAACAACAACCTGGCACTCAACACCAAGAAGACCCAGGAGCTAATTTTTAACTTCAGGAAAACCAAACGTGGTGCACACTCCCACATCTCCATCAACGGGACGGAGGTTGAGCCTGTTGCAAGCTTTAAGTTGGGTGTCCACATCTCCGAGGACATTTCTTGGACCCTCAACACCTTAACCCTGGTCAAGAAGGCTCACCAGCGCCTCTTCTGCCTAAGGAGGCTGAGGAAGGCTCATCTGTCCACTCAGGAGCAGCTTCTGCCCTGCCGCTGTCACCCTGCTGAATTCTGCACCACGGTGACAGCCCCCGCCCCCCCTACACCTCCCCAATGACACAGCTACTGAACATTTTTCACTTCAATTTGGCCATATTTGCACAATTATGGCACATTTGCCATTCACATGTATACCCTTACTGCTTAATATTATATACTGCTCCATGTACATATTCTTCTCATTTCTAGAAATACAATGCACTTTATCTGCTTTCTTGCACTTCTGGTTAGATGCTAAACTGATAACGTGAGGTTATGAAGTTTCTTTAAGAAAAGAACAAGGTATAAAATGTGTTTTGTAAACCTGTGAACCGATGTTCAGCGTTTCTACCGTGAATACTCAGTTCTCTCCCTAATGTATTTGCAGATGAACAAAACACGGTGGGACATCAGTTCATCGCAGTGGAACTCTAATAAAAAAAAAAAACTTTATTGACAATGAAAGTTACCATTGGCTGTTAATCATTGTCAGTCACACAATACCTATATAGACTTAATCTAGCTTGTGCACAAGCTAGATTGAGCTACATTTCCTCATGTACGTTGACACATCTGAATCTAAGCTTGATTAAATTTAAGATTTAAAATAAGAAAAAAAATGATCAAATATAAAACCAAAGTGTTAGGTGTGATGAGGACTGAATCCAAAAGCAAACCCGAGGCAGACAGTTTTGAGGTCAAATAGAAAGGCTTTATTCAGGGGGGTCTCGTGTCCAGGTGATCCCGTGCAGGGGCTCGTGAGGAGAGGCTCGAGGGTGGGCTGCCGGTAGGTTCGGTGGAAGGCAGGGTGCCGAGCGCAGGCTGAGCAAACGTGCTGGCATGCGTGTCGTGTCGCGTCGACAGGAGACAATAATTCGACACGGAGGCCCAGGAGACAGCAGGCTGTAACTAGTGCCAGATTGTCCATTAACCACAGGTGAGAGTGGTGAGAGAGCGCTCCTCTCGGCCTTCCCGCCCAGCCTGAAAACCCAGGTGCACCAGCCAGCCTAGGATAGAAATATATAAATTAGTGAAGGCCAAGAAATAATAATCACCACACCAAAGACAGATTCCGGATGAGAATCTTATTTCATGTCTGGTCCTGTGAAGTGAGCTCTGGTGTTGATGCACATGTTGTTTCCTGCAGGTCAAACCTCTCTGGTCCAATCCCAGCAGCTTGTGTTAGCAGCTCTAGGAGACAACACCTACTTAACCTGTTGGTTGATGGATTCTAAAGATGTCGTGCAAGTCACGTGGCAGAAAATCATTGCTGGTGGGACGACGGATCTCGCTTCTTACAACAAACACTTTGGTCAGAAAGTGAATACTGGGTTTCAGGGAAGAGTGGAGATTAAATCTGCTGGACTGCAGAACAGCTCCATAGTGATCAGAAACGTGACTCACCAGGATAAAGGATGCTACCGCTGTTTGTTTAACACCTACCCCGATGGTGCTTTCACTGGGAGATCATGCCTCCAGCTCTATGGTAAGAACACTGAAATAATCCTCTACCTCCTCTGTAATATTCCCATGATAACATCTAATGGTCTTTCCTCTGCAGAGCTGCATGGACCCTTTCTACACGTCACAGAGTCACACTCTGCTGAAGAGCTAGTCGTGTCCTGCTCAGCCACAGGTCCACCTGTTCCCACGGTAACGCTGACTGTCCCCCACCACAACTCCACCAGCGTCACCAACACCAATGGAACAGTCACCGTCACCACTACAGCCGTGCTGTCTCGTCTCCATGACAACAGCCACCGGGTTGGATGTGCAGCGCGAGTTCTCTCCGGTCGTCAGATCGATGTGTATGAGATGATTCCTGAGGTCAGACTGTCGCCTCCTGATGGTGAGAAACACTCCTAAAGACATTGATTCATAGGTTGATCAATACTTCTTGACTTTACTTGTTGAATCTGGATCTGATAACAGTGATGTCCGTAAATTAACCTTCATGTGGTCTCACGTACATATTAACATTTCATCTGTAGTTGCTTTATGAATGTTGAGTCTTTCTAATTTCCCTCTTTTCTCACAGATGTTCCTTTGATCACTGGTGTGGTCGTCGGAGTGATCTGTGTTGTTGTTGTTGTCGTTGTTGTTGCTGTCTTTGTTTTTTGTCTTAAACGGAAACACCAGAACAGGTAACTTTTATCTTTATCTTTTGATTAATCATCATTTTGTTAGTGCCAGTTTGTCACAGTTAATATGCACATGGTTGATCCAAACCTTTAAGAATAAATCTACAATTAAATACTTGTTCATTTTGTTTCTTGAATCCATCAGTGTGCCACAAAGGCCCAGAACACCTTTGATGGATCCAGAAGTACGACAACGGACCTCTTCTGTAAAACCTAAAAGACGTGACAACGAAGAACCGTCTGTGCAATTTAAAAGAAACCTGATGTCTGTACAACAAAACCCAGAAGACTGAGGGGCTGAAAAAGAAAACGCTGATGGAAACTCTCAATATCCTCCTTAATGTTTTGAGACGGCATAGAGAAGTTGTCTTCAATTGTACCAGTTGATGATCAATTCATAATTCAAGAATTCTAGCAGATCGAAATGTTTCAGGTTCATGGTTTTACTTTCTTACTTATTGTTTGTAATCAACTTTTAGGTAATTACTGGGGGTAAGTTAACCCTGAGATCAGGGAAACTTTGAGTTATCTGTTCCAGATAGAGAGGTAACTGAAACTCTGAGTCAATCACCATGGTAACAGACTCTGTGACCATGACCTGCTCGCTGGCAGGTTTGCTATAAGAAACCCAGAGTTTCTACCCGTCTCCTCCCACATTAAGAAAGCTGGTAGACATGGATTGCCCGTTCCTACAAAATCCAATTGACATCGAAGCCGTCGTGATTCGAAATGCTTTACGTCGCGAGAGAGTCTTCCGACCCAGATTAGACGTTTTATCATTTCCAGAGGAATTTCTGTTAGAACGCTACCGCTTTACTGGTAACTAGGAAACATATGGACGACATTTCATTCCTACAGTTCCACATACAGATTTAACATGGTATTGACCGAAAATCTCACTGTTTCAAGCTGTGCTGTGGGTTGGTGATGCCCAACCATCAGGGGCGGTGCTGCATTGAATGGCGCCCAGGACGAGACCACTTTTTAGCGCCCCCCCCCCAAAAAAAGTTCACAAAATTCTGCAGTTATATTTTATTTTTTTATTTTAAAATAAGTGAGAGAATTACATTAGTAAAATGTAATGGCAACATCTCCCATCACTCTCATTTCTACAGAAAACAAAGCCAGGTGGAACCTTACTTGGTCCTCTGCGAACCAGCTCAGTCCGAATACTGTCAGTCAGATGTGAGGGCCAGTTAGCAGGGTCGGTTGAGAGAGGCTCATCCTCAACAGTGGGGCTCAGTGGGGGTTCAGCTCCATGCATTTCTATCAGACAGCATATTGGCACTTTTAGTCAAAAACATTACTCAGAGCACGTAGCAGTGGAACATAACACATAGGCCTACTCAGAAATGATATCAGACATATTCACATTACATTAAATTGCAGTTGTCCAGTTGTGTTGTCTAGGCATACCCCCTTCACACACACACACACACACACACACACACACACACACACACACACACACACACACACACACACACACACAAACTCACCTGAAGGCTCATGCTGGGGAAAAGTACAGGCAAAGAGGTCTTCATCTTCAATATCAGATATTTGTGTAGCTGAGGAGATTGATGGCAGCTCATCCTGAAGGACCATTCAAGAAGAGGCCTGTGTAGCTGATGAGTAGATGGCTGGTCCTCATCCTGAGGCTCTGAGACAATTCCAGCAGAGTCATGTGTAGCAGGGGAGGTAGGTGGCTCCTCCTGACCAGTAGCAGAGGATGCTCCAAAATATTTTAAAAGTGACCCTGAAATTGTAGTTGATTTGCAATTGAAATTTAAATCAATAGACCGTAGGATTATTTTTATACAGCTAAAACAGCCTGGGGCCAAATTGACCCCAAAATATAGTAGGGTTAAATAAACATGCCCTTACACTAAATGTCTTTCATTACATGCTACATAAATCTAACTTTTAGGGAGGAAACATTAGCTCCTCGGTTACAGCCTTGAATGGCACACTTTTCGTTCTGACTGTTAAACAATACTTTGTCACAAAATACAGTTGTAGCAAATAGCAAATCTCCGTCTTTGAAACTACCTACAGATTTGAGAATTCCGTTAGTTTAATGACAGGACCTAACATTAAACCAAATGATGGAAATAAATAATAACTGAACTTGTAACAGTTTTGTTGCAAAGCACATATTATGGTGAAATTACAAACCTCGTGTTTGTTGAGTTAAAACCGAATTATTGTTGTATAAGCATTAAGCAACATAGCAAAAAGGCTAACAGACGAAAGAGTTACCCCACCAATTAATTTATGACACATGAATAATCATACAGAGAGACAACATATTTGCATACCTCCATCTTTTGCTCGTTTCTCCTCCTCTTCTTTTCTTTTCTTTCTGTAGTGGGAACCTAATGATTTTAACCTTTTTCTGTCCATCTCTGTTTTTATTTGCCTCTGACTCGACAAGCAACAGATTTCCCATCCCCACAACACTGTCAGTCACGACCAGAAGTCAAGACTAAACCAATTAACCTGACACGTGACACATAATCGTTTTGTATTACCAATTTTTATTGGCCATTTCACACAATTCATAAAAAACAAAAATGTGCAGGAACTATAGGCTTGCATTTATCATTATTGAAATGTGCGTTATTTGTAAGAAAGTCGGGGTGTGACTGACTTTAGCCCACTAATTACATTAGCGTATTTAACAGTGAATCGCTCGACCCCCGCCCCCCCCCCCCCCCCCATGCTGCCAGCTGAGGGTGGCAAAAACCTTGAGTAGTACAGCCTTATTGATATCATGACACACATTATTTGCAGTTTTTCCAACACGGAAGCACAGTGCTCCCTACAACCATCTGGATGTAAATCATTACACAAAGTGTTCAGTTATGGAGCTTTATGACTCACCTGTGCGCATGCGCGCCTGTTCACCAATAAGAACTTTCTGGCGCCAGATTTGAATCAGAATGCGGTCAACATGTCGCACCGTGCGGTCCTACATCTGCTCTGTGCGTTTGGAGTCTTTCACAAAAGTGAGTAAGAGATGATACAAGTAGATCTGTTTCCTCGCCTTTAGATCATTAGATCGTTATTATTATTCTATGTGATTTTAAAGTGCAGCTGTGTTATTCGTGTATCTTTACTATAGTTACGTTTTTGGTGACTAATTTGCATCGATTGCCGAATAATGTCTTATGAATTCCAAATTTCAATATTCTTATATTTCCTAATGGGTGCGTAGTCACCTGTGTGTGCGCGCGCGTTTGGTTCAGTGTGTGCACGTTTCTGTCTGTGCGCGTTACAGAGAGAAGTGTAAATGCGCGACTCTGCAGGGAAATAAATGAATGAGAATGAGCTGAATAATATTTAGTTACCCAGCGAGCGATTATTCGTTGAAAAGACGTCTATGGGCGACGTGGGAAATGGGTTCAGAAGTGAAAGCGTTCTCACAGTATTCGTAGACGTTGAAGAGACGTCTGTGTTTAAAACACACATTTCGACGTGTTTTTTAATACGGAAATGTTTCCTCCTCCACTTTGTGCACAAGTCCTTGACCTCCGTGGAAACGGTCACGAGGTGAAGAAAAGATGGTTAGAATAATTCATGAGGAATTAGGAAAAAAGAGGAGGGAATCCGACTCCACTTTCACTTACTACGTAGTTGATGGTGACGTCACTTAGATGCGTTTCCCGTCGCAGCGGCGAAAATACAATTTCTTCGAAGATGGACTACAAAAATACATCTATGATGCCTTCGTGCGTGTGTTACAGTGCTGAGTCATGCAAACGTCATAAAACAACCAGGTCCAAAGTATTACTTTATTAATAAGGTTGCAACATAAATGAGTTATGCTAACGGTTGCTCACGTGATCGACTCGGTCATCATCGTTATTTTCCGTGAACGGCCGAATGTTACGTCACTATTCAAATATTACCGCCGCAAGGAGAGAGACGAGCGCACATAATTAGGAGAGAATCTAGTCAATTTTCAAAATAAAACATTTTTCAGAAAAATAAATATATTCTTTCTGTGGTGAGGCCCGGTACCAAATCTGGTAAAATCTGTTTCTTATTTTTCTGAACACACACACACACACACAAACATTATTGGATTCATGTATTCTATTGCAGAATTTTTTGGGACTCCGTGATCCCTCATAAAAATGTTAATAGCTCTGCATGTGGCGTAAACTTCGCTGTCTACTTTCTTTTTTGAGTTCCATGCAGACAGATTCCAGATGAGAATCCTGTTTCAAACATGTCTGGTCGTGTAAAGTAAGCTCTGGTGTTGATGCACATGTTGTTTTTCCTGCAGGTCAAACCTCTCTGATCCAATGCCAGCACCTCGTGTTAGATGCTCTAGGAGACAACACCTACTTGAGCTGCAGGTTGATGCAGTCTAAAGATGTCGTGCAAGTCACGTGGCAGAAAATTATTCCTGGTGGGACGACGGATCTCGCTTCTTACAACAAACACTTTGGTCAGAAAGTGAATACTGGGTTTCAGGGAAGAGTGGAGATTAAATCTGCTGGACTGCAAAACAGCTCCATAGTGATCAGAAACGTGACTCACCAGGATGAAGGATGCTACCGCTGTTTGTTTAACACCTACCCCGATGGTGCTTTCACTGGGAGATCATGCCTCCAGCTCTATGGTAAGAACACTGAAATAATCCTCTACCTCCTCTGTAATATTCCCATGATAACATCTAATGGTCTTTCCTCTGCAGAGCTGCATGGACCCTTTCTACACGTCACAGAGTCACACTCTGCTGAAGAGCTGGTCGTGTCCTGCTCAGCCACAGGTCCACCTGTTCCCACGGTAACGCTGACTGTCCCCCACCACAACTCCACCAGCGTCACCAACACCAATGGAACTGTCACCGTCACCACTACAGCCGTGCTGTCTCGTCTCCATGACAACAGCCACCGGGTTGGATGTGCAGCGCGAGTTCGCTCCGGTCGTCAGATCGATGTGTATGAGATGATTCCTGAGGTCAGACTGTCGCCTCCTGATGGTGAGAAACACTCCTAAAGACACTGATTCACAGGTTGATCAATACTTCTTGAGTTCATCTCTTCTGTTTTTATTTCCCAGGTTTTGGTGTTAAGTCTGGATCTGATAACAGTGATGTCAGTGAGTTAACCGTCATGTGGTCTCACGTACATATTAACATTTCATCTGTAGTTGCTTTATGAATGTTGAGTCTTTCTAATTTCCCTCTTTTCTCACAGATGTTCCTTTGATCACTGGTTTGGTCGTCGGAGTGATCTGTGTTGTTGTTGCTGTCATTGCTTTTTGTCATAAACGGAAACACCAGAACAGGTAACTTTTATCTTTTGATTAATCATCATTTTGTTCTAATACCAGTGTGTCACAGTTAATAATGCACATGACTGATCCAAACCTTTAAGAATAAATCCACAATTAAATACTTGTTCATTTTGTTTCTTGAATCCATCAGTGTGTCACAAAGGGACCTCGAGGAGAACAAGAGAGACACGAATGAGTGAGTCTATTAAAGTCATTCTTCTCTTTTGCAGAAACAATTTACTTTTCTTGCTTATCAGACTGAACTGCTGTTTCTGCACTGTGTGTTTGTCCACATCTCTGTTGTTCACTGACTGAATGTTTTCATCTAAAGGCCCAGAACACCTTTAATGAATCCAGAAGTACGACAACAGTTCACTTCTCCAAAATCTGAAAGAATCAACCTACCAACTACTCCACCTAACAAGAGAGACACGAATGAGTGAGTCTATTAAAGTCATTCTTCTCTTTTGTAGAAAAAAAATTATTTTCTTGCTTATCAGACTGAACTACTATTTCTGCACTATGTGTTTATCCACATCTCTGTTGTTCACTGACTGAATGTTTTCATCTAAAGGCCCAGAACACCTTTGACGAATCCAGAACTACGACAACGGTTCACTTCTCCAAAATCTGAAAGAATCAACCAACCAAAACATCCTGAGCGTTTGAAGAAAAATCTGTTTGCTAGACAACAAAACCCAGAAGACTGAGAGGCTTGTAAAATAATACGTTGATGGAAACTCGATATCTATCTATCTATCTAACTATCTATAGATATATATTTGCGTCTAACATACTAATGTTTGTTATATTCTGGTAAAAAGGGCAGAACAACAAACAGTTAAACGTCCCGTGGACCTCAAGCGATATCTAGTGTTCTGTGTGGGAAGAAGTAGTAAAGCACAAATTCTCAATGAAATATCTAGATTTCAATGTTTTACTTTGCAGAGCAAAAAGAAATAGTGTATGAAAGAATTATGTTGCACTTCAATGTTTTATAATGAAAATGATGTTTTCGTGCTCAATGGACGCTTATACACATTGACTTTAAGATTGTTATCGTGACACACTTATGTTGATGATTGAAGTCAATATTACTGTTCATGAGTTTTTAAATGGTTTTATATTTTACTGTTTTCAGTGTGGTATTGTCTATCACAGGGGTCTTCAACGTTTTTCAGGCCAACGATGGCGAGATGGAGCAGGGACCCCCTGTTCTACAGAGTTTCGTCCGCCATCTTTTATTTTTGAGCTTTGCGCTTTTACGCGAGCATGAACGCGATCTGATTGGCTGGTGCCTCTGCTGTCGTATCAGCATGAAAGGTGTTGTGAGTGAACCGGTGCCCAGCTTGAGAGCTGCTGTGGGACGCTGGATGTGTGTTTTGCGGACTGAAAGATAATGTCTTCTCCATTTATTTGTCCGTTCGCCACAATATGTTGGATTTATGTTAATGTGTGACAATAAATACAATTCTGATTCTGAAGACATTTAAATTTGTGGGGAAAAAATTGTCTTATCAACCAAAAATTTCGCGACCCCCCCTGCAGAACCTCCGCGGACCCCCGTTGAAGACCTCTGGTCTAGCAGATTACATATACATATTTCTTTGGTTGGTTAATGATGCCGTTATCACCCCATGTGTTCTGTTGCCCGGGTTACAACCATAAAAAGAGGCTTCTCACATTATGTAAATAATTATCAGAACAACAGTTATAAATTACAGTGAGGTGTTGTTTCTTAATTATATTCGTCTTGGGACAGAGAACCATGTAAAACAATTAAATTGCTGAAATGTAAACTCTTTAATGTGTTGGTGAACTATTTATTGCTATCATTCATTTAATTCATTCACGTTACTTGTTTCTCCAGCAAAGTGTGTTTCTGAATCACGCTACACTTCCACCTACAATCATCTGGATATAGATCATTCTTATTATATATATATATCTAATATACACATTATTTAAAATTCAGTTCTCCGGCATGACTCACCTTGAATTACCTGTGCACAAATGAGAACTTGTGGTAGATAAGAATTAGTATGCAGCCAACATGTGGCACCGTGCAATCTTACATCTGCTTTGTGCGTTTAAATTCCTTCACAAAGGTGAGTAAGAGATGATAGTAGATGTGTTTCCTCACGTTTAGATCATTATTCTATGTGATTTTAAAAGCGCAGCTGTGTTCTTGTTTTATTGTACTTACGTTTATAACAGGTATTATTTATAGTATATTGCAAAATAAATAAATCCATGTTATGGCTTTTGAATTGTTAAGTGTTATATACGCTCACTTAAAGGATTATTAGGAACACCATACCAATACTGTGTTTGACCCCCTTTCGCCTTCAGAACTGCCTTAATTCTACGTGGCATTGATTCAACAAGGTGCTGAAAGCATTCTTTAGAAATGTCGGCCCATATTGATAGGATAGCATCTTGCAGGTGGATGGAGATTTGTGGGATGCACATCCAGGGCACGAAGCTCCCGTTCCACCACATCCCAAAGATGCTCTATTGGGTTGAGATCTGGTGACTGTGGGAGCCATTTTAGTACAGCGAACTCATTGTCATGTTCAAGAAACCAATTTGAAATGATTCCAGCTTCATCCTGCTGTAAGTAGCCATCAGAGGATGGGTACATGGTGGCCATAAAGGGATGGACATGGTCAGAAACAATGCTCAGACATTTAAACGATGCCCAATTGGCACTAAGGGGCCTAAAGTGTGCCAAGAAAACATCCCCCACACCATTACACCACCACCACCAGCAGCCTGCACAGTGGTAACAAGGCACGATGGATCCATGTTCTCATTCTGTTTACGCCAAATTCTGACTCTACCATCTGAATGTCTCAACAGAAATCGAGACTCATCAGACCAGGCAACATTTTTTCCAGTCTTCAACTGTCCAATTTTGGTGAGTTCTTCCAAATTGTAGCCTCTTTTTCCTATTTGTAGGGGAGATGAGTGGTACCCGCTGGGGTCTTCTGCTGTTGTAGCCCATCCGCCTCAAGGTTGTGTGTGTTGTGGCTTCACAAATGCTTTGCTGCATACCTCAGTCAAAGTTGCTCTTCTATCAGCTTGAATCAGTCGGCCAAGTCTCCTCTGACCTCTAGCATCAACAAGGCGTTTTCGCCCACAGGACTGCCGCATACTGGATTTTCTCCCCTTTTCACACCATTCTTTGTAAACCCTCGAAATGGTTGATTAGATGCTTGCATTAATGAGAAATTGAGCAGGTGTTCCTTATAATCCTTTAGGTGAGTGTATGTTAACCCTTTAATGTCCCCACCATGACAAAAGTGATGGAAAAATTACTAAATTATCTTTAGGGCAATAACAGCAATAATCACAGTTATTAAAATTGTGAGAGCAAAATAGTCTGTATGAGTGAAAAGAAGCTGGAGTTTTTCTTTGCAGACAGCTGCTTCTAGAAAAACACAAGGAAACCGTTAGTTTCTCTCCTCCTCTAATCTCTGATTTAACATGTGCATTGAGATCGGTGTGATCTAAATTCTGTGAAGCGCCGAAATGAAGGTTTGCTTTCACAGAAAAGAGGACACTTGTTGCACTTCCTTCCTACCACTCTGCACCAGCGGCCCACTGGCTGGAGAGATGTGTTCTGTGGTCTGCGGCCATAGTTTGCACTTCGTAAGCGTCGCTTACAGACTGCAGCTCTTCTGACGGCTCTCTACCATCATGGACCAGCCGACGCAGTTGTGTTGCGTTCTTCTGCTGCCGTTGTGCTTGTGTTTGGATGCTGAAGGTACGGAACTGACTTTTAATGCGAGGGATTCAGTTCTGCCGTCGGCCCGTATTACGTTTCCCAATTTTTGATTTATTTGTTTTGCAGTGAGTGAATTTAAAACCATCGGGAGAGGACCAGACGTCACTCCCATCTGCAGCAATGCAACAGAGGTCATATTGCTCATAGTGTGTAAGATCAGAACTAACAGGACTGGAGCAGAGTGTCGTCTGCTGTATCGATACGGAGGAGACTTTGAGCACGAATGTGACTCCAGGTTCACTCTTAAGATGGAGAATCAGACCGTGTTTCTCCACCTGACTGGTCTCACACCAGTGGACAGTGGGAACTACACCTGTGAGTGTTCACGTGTGGGCGAGACCGTTACCCTCCATCTGAATATCACCGTGGAAGGTAAACCCATTTCATCCTTTTTACCTTTTTACAGAGTAAATAGCCGTCATGTATCTGACAAAGAGCTTTTTCTTTACGATGTTTCAGGGGAAGAAGAGAGAGAGAGCGGCGTGACGTCACACACGCGGCTTCTAAACGCGCTGATCGGTGCAACAACAGTCATCTGTATAACTGCAGTTATCTTTGGGTTGATCTACAGGGGAAAACGTCACAGGTGAGTTTAATACTGTAATACACCTATTGGGAATAATTTAGCAGCATTAGACATATTTAACTGTATAAATATACGTTGTGGTGAAAACAATTCTTTTAAATATAATTTGTTAAGTTAAAGTAGATATTGAAAAGACTTCAAACGCACCATAGTCTGTACAGTATAATTATACAGTAGTTTACTGTTATCACTGTAGCTGGACTCATCTTTGGGTTGATCTGCAAAAGAAAACTTCTTGGGTGAGACTAAAATAAATGTGTGTGTGTGTGTGTGTGTGTTTTGTGGTGCACTAACTCTGATGCCTTCTAATTTAAAAGGTCGCGGTCATCTGTACGTGAGACTCACGACTCTGTGAGTAAAGTCGCCTTTTTAATCATCTGTACCTTTTTAAACTCCCTCATGTGACCTCCAACCGCTTATTGACAAGCTGACGTTTCCGTGGTAACAAGTCAGTATCACAGTGAGAATATCTTCTCTCGTAGGTTGAAGACGACCCAGATGACCCGTATACGAGCCTCCAGCAACCAGCCGCTGACCTTTACCAGACGATCTCCCACTCAAGAGGCTCTAAAGACCAGGAAGTAGACGGAGGAGACTCTGATCAAAGTTGCCAGGACACTTATGAAAATATGACTCCGTAAGCAGCACGAGGACTATGACTTGTGTTTGTACTTAATCATGATTTCTTGCAATAAGATGTGATTTAAGTAGATGTTGAATGAGCTGAAGGTCCTTTTGAATCACATTTCATTCTCTCATACTATTTCATTTTGAACATTCACACATTCACACACCTTGTTATGAGTTGGGGCCTTTCTGATTGTTACAATAAAAGTTTTAAAATAATCTACAAAGAGATGAATTTCGGTTCTTTTGACCATGATTATTATAAATGTTGTTATTATTAGTCATGTTGATTGCAACTGCATAATGATAATTGAGGGGTGAATGTCCCTAAAACCTTTCAACCTTCCCGTCACATTAACTAATCTAAACACCACGAGCTTCTATTCATTCTGCTGCTTCCATTCCGGGTGAAGTGAGACCTGCTGTCCACTAGGTGGCTTAGTAACGATACGTCCACTGAATTGATTAATCGATTTATATTCCTGCGATCCAACTGAATCGATCTGTGCTCCGCAAATCGGCATTCCGGACGACATATATCGATTACAAATCGATTGAAATGGTACATAATCGATTGTATCGATACTTGGAAACAGCACATTGGATTTTAGCACAAAAACTGTATGGATGTGTGTTTGTTTGTTTGTTTTTTAGCACTTTAGACACGTTAAACGTTACTGATTCAGTCTGCCTGTCTGTGACGTCATCAGTACGCAGCGGCAGCCGCGCGAAACTCGGAACAACAACAAAACACAGCGTGGAGGAGACGACTGCGAGCAAGACATTTACAAACGATCCAGCGCGTGGAAACATTTTGGCTTTTGCAAACACGGAGGTGTTCTAAATAAGTCGGTCGCTGTTTGTAGAATTTGTAGAAGCCAAATAAAAAAACACGGAAACACAACAAATCTTTCCGGCCATCTACTAAGGCGCCGTGGGATTAAACAACGACGACAGTCAGGACCTCTAGCAGCGTCTCCGCTGCAGCAGCAGCAGGTAACTCCAGCTCTGCAGACACCTCAGGCCTCGCCAGCACCAAACTCAACATCACAGTAACAATTGTTTATCTGTAAAGACATGCGACCCTACAATGTGGTTGAAAATCCGGGGTTCTGTGGATTGATCCAAACATTGTGTAATTATCGTGTAATGTTTACATTGAAAATGACACTTGATTCAAATAAAAGGTTAATACATTTGCCATTAATTGTTGTTTGCTTGTTTATAATATCCATAATTAATTTAAACCTGATTTCCTTACAAGAAACAACAGGGATCTTGTAAACTTAGCCTGCACTGTCCAGTAAAGTTACTGAATCGATTTCAAGTCACTGAATCGAATCGTTCTAAATGAACCCAGATCGTCCATGAATCGGCAACCATGAATCGTGATTCAAATCGAATCGTTGTTAAAATGAATCGTTACACCCCTAGTTATTATGTTGTAATGCAGTCATCATAAGCAACAACAAATTATCTAAAAAAATGAAATTTTTGAAGCTAAACACGTCGGAATCGGTCTCATATTCTTTTCAAAATAACTAACAATGTGCAGTTATCATGTTATCAGCCATTTTCCTATTTAGATATTCCTGATCCCTTACTGTAACCAAATATAAAATATGACGCCTGCTTGGTGTGTCATGTATATTCTGTCGATGCAAGAAAGATGATTATGATTGTTACAAGTAAGACTTTCATGAAGTGAAACCAGAAGTTTGAATTTACACAGGAAGTAGGTCACAAGCATTTGGTTTGAGCATGTGAGTTTGAGACGGTTGCAGAAATATGATTTAAAAAGTTTGTGAGTGGTTTAGTTACAGCCCGCGATGGTAATCCAGAGAAGTGAAACATCTGATCAAAATAATAATAATAGACCCTTCCTGGTAAAATCTGGATAATGGGTCTGTAAAAGTTGCACTTGGTGTAGTTCTGTGAACCAATCCTGCTTATTGTCTGGTTTATATATTTGAGGTTTTGTTCCCTGAAAGCATTTGCATGTTTTAATGTCATATTATTTTTCTCTCGGTGTCGGTCTGAAAACATCTGCATTATCACTTTGTAATGACAAAAATTACAAAAAAAAACAATTCAATGCAAAGCATTATGGGACAGATCCCAGACCTGACTGCAAAATAAATGAATGAATGTTGTTTTATTTTCTCTTTTATTCATTTGGTTACACAGAAGTTCAGACCTGTCTTCTCATCGAGGGGGACTTTTAGTTGAGGTTTTTGCGGAGCGTAAAATGTCGTGCAACACATGTGATCACAATAGCAGTTGTCAGAATTTGAACTTCCTTCTTAGGAAAATGATGAGAAACAAAACACCAGACGACTAATTCTTCTACGGGACTTCTGCTACGTGATTTTTTGACCCCTTGAGTTGAGTTTTTTTTTTGCATCTATGGGATTATGTCAAATACACTAAACGATTTTGTGGACTGTTAATATTAACAGCCTCTTCCAATGAAGCATATAGGATTATTAGAAAGAATCCCCTGTCCCTCCTCTCTCTCTCTTTCTCTTCTGTCAGTTTAATTTTATGTGAACATTTAAAGGGAGCTCAACACTAAACTTAGAGAGTTCTGTGCATAACAGCCGGAGAAGATGTTGATGCTGATACTTACTGCTTTATTATTTAAAGGTTAGTGATAATGATGTGTGTCATCAGAGAGCTCGTTCCACCATTGCGGAGCCACGACAGCAAAGAGTCATGATCTAGTCGAGTGTTTTGCTCTCAGTGAGGGAGGAACAAGTAGTTTATCAGATGCAGAGTGGAGAGTGCGGGTCGGGATGTCGGGCTTGACCATGTCCTGGATGTAAGCTGGACCCAACCGTCAAATCCCGGGTCAGACAGTCTTTTCCTGGAAAGAGAAGTCTCAGTCGGGGTTGATTTTCAGATAGTGACGTCCACTGAGAGATGTCAGCCAGACAGGCAGAGATCCTGGGTGTCCCAGGGAGGGAAGGAGAGAATTAGTTGGGTGTCATCGGCATAGTTGTGGTAGGAGAAGCCATGCGAACGAATGACAGCGCCGATAGAGTTGGTGTAGAGCGAGAAGAGGAGGGGACCCAGGAAGGAACCCTTAGGAACTCCAGTAGAAAGAGGACAAGGTTCCGACACAGATCCTCGCCATGTTACCCGGTAGGTGCGGCCGTCGAGGTAGGACGAGAGAAGGGAGAGAGCAGAGCCTGTGACACCAAGTTCCTGAAGGGAGGAAATAAGGATCTGTTGGTTGACTGTGTCAAATGCAGCAGAGAGGTCCAGAAGGATGAGGACAGAGGAGAGAGAGGCGGCTCTAGCAGTGTGGAGTTGCTCTGAGACAGCAAGGGGAGCAGTCCCTGAGTCGAATCGTCTCCCCTGATTCTTGATTGTGTCCACCTGTTTCCCATTACCCTCATGTGTCTCATAGTCTACGTCTCCCTTTCCCTGGTGCCGGAGTGTACCGACTATTCCCCAGCCTGAGCCCGTCGCCTTAGACTTGGTGTTCCTCTTCCTGCCTGGTTTGGTCTTGCTTTTCCCTGTTCCCGTTCTAGAAGAAGTGTTCACTCCATGTTTTCTGTTGCCCTGGTTTACATCCATAAACAGTGAGGTGATGTTTCTTAATTATCTGGATACATTCATCTTGGGACAGAGAACCACGTAAAACAATTACATTCACATTACTCGTTTCTCCAGCAGAGTGTGTCTCTGAATGTCAGAGAAATTCTCACTCGACGCCGGCGTAAAATCATTAAAACAGGTTATTTAATGTTTGCAAACAGGAGACCGAGTTGACACATACAAGTCATGCGCCAAGCCTGCTCAAAGGTTTTCGTCTTTGGAGCTGGAATATAAACTGCAGGTATGGCATGAAAACATATGGTTACGCACGTACAGAGGACTGATCGTTTACCCTCATGGGACTGAATTTCCCTCCGAGGCCAGCGCTCCTAATCTCGGCTGACAAGATGTCTGCCAGCTGAGGGTGGCAAAAACCTTGAGTAGTACAGCCTTATTGATATCATGACACACATTATTTGCAGTTTTTCCAACACGGAAGCACAGTGCTCCCTACAACCATCTGGATGTAAATCATTACACAAAGTGTTGAGTTATGGAGCTTTATGACTCACCTGTGCGCATGCGTGTCTGTTCACCAATGAGAACTTTCTGGCAGTCAACATGTCGCACCGTGCGGTCCTACATCTGCTCTGTGCGTTTGGAGTCTTTCACAAAGGTGAGTAAGAGATGTTACAAGTAGATTTGTTTCCTCGCCTTTAGATCATTAGATCGTATTATTATTCTATTTGATTTTAAAGTGCAGCTGTGTTATTCGTGTATCTTTACTATAGTTACGATTTTGGTGACTAATTTGCATCGATTGCCGAATAATGTCTTATGAATTCCAAATTTCAATATTCTTATATTTCTTAATGGGAGCGGACTCACCTGTGTGTGCGCGCGCGTTTGGTTCAGTGTGTGCACGTTTCTGTCTGTGCGCGTTACAGAGAGAAGTGTAAATGCGCGACTCTGCAGGGAAATAAATGAATGAGAATGAGCTGAATAACATTTAGTTACCCAGCGAACGATTATTCGTTGAAAAGACGTCTATGGGCGACGTGGGAAATGGGTTCAGAAGTGAAAGCGTTCTCACAGTATTCGTAGACGTTGAAGAGACGTCTGTGTTTAAAACACACATTTCAACGTGGTTTTTAACACGGAAATGTTTCCTCCTCTACTTTGTGCACAATTCCTTGACCTCCGTGGAAACGGTCACGAGGTGAAGAAAAGATGGTTAGAATAATTCATGAGGAATTAGGGAAAAAAAAGGAGGGAATCCGACTCCACTTTCACTTACTACGTAGATGATGGTGACGTCACTTAGATGCGTTTCCCGTCGCAGCGGCGAAAATACAATTTCTTCGAAGATGGACTACAAAAATACATCTATGATGCCTTCGTCCGTGTGTTACAGTGCTGAGTCATGCAAACGTCATAAAACAACCAGGTCCAAAGTATCACTTTATTAATGAGGTTGCAACATAAATGAGTTATGTTAACGGTTGCTCACGTGATTTACTCGGTCATCATCGTTATTTCTCGTGAACGGCCGAATGTTACGTCACTATTCAAATATTACAGTCGCAAGGAGTTGTGGGACGTAATGATCTCCTTTCCTTTCGTAAAGGATGGTCCAGTGGTTCTCATGCTAAAGGAGCAAAGGAGGGAAGCATTGAAGCTCCTCTTCCTCTCCGTTTTGCTACTCCCACAGCGTTACAGTTTTATCAGATTGTTATAGATAAACAAATTACTCGCCACAATCATAACATAATAACAAGCAAGTGAACATTTATACATCTTTTTCTGAACAGGTACCAGCAGAAACAAGTTTCCTTTTGCAGATTTAAATTGATATCATTTCTTATCTATAAATCTATCCATATATACATCACAAAGATGCTCATACAAATTAATGCATACACGTGCATACATGTGTGCATACACACATAAAAATGTTAATAGCTCTGCATGTGGCGTAAACTTCGCTGTCCACTTTCTTTTTTGAGTTCCATGCAGACAGATTCCAGATGAGAATCCTGTTTCAAACATGTCTGGTCCTGTGAAGTGAGCTCTGGTGTTGATGCACATGATGTTGTTTCCTGCAGGTCAAACTTCTCTGGTCCAATGCCAGAACCTTGTGTTAGCAGCTCTTGGAGACGACGCCTACTTGAGCTGCAGGTTGATGGAGTCTAAAGACGTCGTGCAAGTCACGTGGCAGAAAATCATTCCTGGTGGGACGACGGATCTCGCTTCTTACATCAAACACTTTGGTCAGAAAGTGAATACTGGGTTTCAGGGAAGAGTGGAGTTTAAATCTGCTGGACTGCAGAACAGCTCCATAGTGATCAGAAACGTGACTGACCAGGATGAAGGATGCTACCGCTGTTTGTTTAACACCTACCCCGATGGTGCTTTCACTGGGAGATCATGCCTCCATCTCTACGGTAAAAACACTGAAATAATCCTCTACCTCCTCTGTAATATTCCCATGATAACATCTAATGGTCTTTCCTCTGCAGAGCTGCATGGACCCTTTCTACACGTCACAGAGTCACACTCTGCTGAAGAGCTAGTCGTGTCCTGCTCAGCCACAAGTCCACCTGCTCCCACGGTAACGCTGACTGTCCCCCACCACAACTCCACCAGCGTCACCAACACCAATGGAACAGTCACCGTCACCACTACAGCCGTGCTGTCTCGTCTCCATGACAACAGCCACCGGGTTGGATGTGCAGCGCGAGTTCTCTCCGGTCGTCAGATCGATGTGTATGAGATGATTCCTGAGGTCAGACTGTCGCCTCCTGATGGTGAGAAACACTCCTAAAGACACTGATTCACAGGTTGATCAATACTTCTTGAGTTCATGTCTTCTGTTTTTATTTCCCAGGTTTTGGTGTTAAGTCTGGATCTGATAACAGTGATGTCAGTGAGTTAACGTTCATGTGGTCTCACGTACATATTAACATTTCATCTGTAGTTGCTTTATGAATGTTGAGTCTTTCTAAGTTCCCTCTTTTCTCACAGATGTTCCTTTGATCACTGGTTTGGTCGTCGGTCTGCTCGTTGCTATCGTTGTTGTTGCTGCTGTCATTGCGTTTTGTCTTGAACGGAAACACCAGGACAGGTAACTTTTATCTTTCTATTAATCATCATTTTGTTCTAATACCAGTGTGTCACAGTTAATATGCACATGACTGATCCAAACCTTTAAGAATAAATCCACTATTAAATACTTGTTCATTTTGTTTCTTGAATCCATCAGTGGGCCACAAAGGGACCTCGAGGAGAACAAGAGAGACACGAATGAGTGAGTCTATTAAAGTCATTCTTCTCTTTTGCAGAAACAATTCAGTCCCCTCTGTCTGATTCTGGGCTTCACTTTTCTTGCTTATCAGACTGAACTGCTGTTTCTGCACTGTGTGTTTATCCACATCTCTGTTGTTCACTGACTAAATGTTTCGTCTAAAGGCCCAGAACACCTTTGACGAATCCAGAAACACGACAACGGAACTCTACTGGAAACCGTAAAAACCGTGAGAAAGCAGAACCGTCTGTGCGATTTAAAAGAAACCTGTTTCCTGTACAACAAAACCCAGAAGACTGAAGGGGCTGAAAAGGAAAACGCTGATGGAAACTCTCAATATTCTCATTAATGTGTTGAGACTGGTAAAAATATTGGTTGTCAATAACACAACATAACCCACTGTCTTGTATCAGTTTATAGAAAATAATCCCGGCAGATCAAAAAGTAGTTTTGACTTTTAATTATCTGTAAACTGCTGCATTTGCACCTATTGTTTGTTCTACTTTTTAAATGTGTTTTAACGTTTTATACTTTTATACATAAAAACAATATGAACTGAATTTTAAAAATACAGTCATTGATTGAAATACTGATTGTCTGTGATTCGTGTGTTAAAGAACAATTCAACAAGTTAAGTGTCATCTTATTCACGTAATTATGGGCTTTGAATTGAATCCATGTTCATCATCATTGACTCAAAGAAACATTGAACACAATCTGGAGTTCATGCAAAGTAAAGCGTCTCAAGTTCTGGTACTTTAATCTCAACGTGACGACGTAACAGAACAAACTGCAGCTCACACATCAGCAGAGGAAGAAACCGTTTTGCAGTAAACGGCCACTGGAGGTCCTGCTTTCCTCCAAAATGCTGCGGAAGAGTTGAAGCCGTTTCGGAAGTCGGGGAGAGAAATCCAGCAGCAGGAGCGTCGCCTCCAGTCCGCTGCTAGTTTATTGTGTGAAGCAGGTCGTCCTGCTTCAGTCCCTCATCACCTGCAGCACAGGACGCACCTCCACTACTGGCGGATCACTTCGGCCTCATCTGGCAGCCGGTAAGTCCCGTCTTTTATTTTGAAGGACTCCGCATCGATTGCGGCGGTATCGATCGGAGTTTAATTAAAAGTAGTCGCAGCCTTTTATTCTTAGACTATGAATTAGAAGGAAATACATTAGTTTGTCCACACTTTTATTTCATACATAATATTTAACTTCTTGTTTTTTTGCCCCCACATGAAATGAACTCATTAAGATACATCAAAACTAAATTAATTATAGCTTCACTCATTTGCTACACATTTCCTAGGAGTTGTATTTGCTAGCAGATTACATACTGGTATAAATATATATTTTTTGTTTGGTGAGTAAAGAACTTAAGTTTAAAAGGGTTCACTCTTTGATTTTTTTTGCCCTGGGTTACGACAGGTAAATTAATAACGTGTAAACTCTTTAAGCGTTGAACTATTTATTGCTATCATTCATTTCATTCATTCACATGTAAGTTACTGGTTTCTCCAGCAGAGTGTGTCTCTAAATCGTTCCAGTGTCACTAACAATCATCTGCATATAAATCATTCCATACAAAGTTCAGTTCTACAGCAGGACTCACCTTGGATTACCTGTGCGCATGCGCGTACGTGTGCATCGATGACACTTGTGCAGCCAACATGTCGCAGCGTGCAGTCATACATCTGCTTTGTGCGTTTACTTTTGGTCATGGGACAAAGAACCACGTAAAACCACAAAAGAAATTGTAAACTCTTTAAAATACTTATTCTTATTATTCATTCCATTCATTTGTATTTAAATAACCTGTTTCTCCAGCAGTTTGGGTCTGAATCATGTTACAATGTCCCCCTATGATCACCTGGATGTGAGTCATTCCATACAACGTTCAGATCTCCAGCAGGACCCACCTTGGATTACCTGTGCGCATGCGTACCTGTGCACCAATCAGCACTTTCTGGCGGTAGATTTTGAATCAGTGTGCAGCCAACATGTCGCAGCGTGCAGTCATACATCTGCTTTGTGCGTTTGGATTCTTTCACAAAGGTAATGATAGTAGATGTGTTTCCTCACCTTTAGATCATTATTATTGTTCTATGTGATTTTAAAGCGCAGCTACTCGTGTATGTTTATTGTACTCACGTTTATGACGGGTATTTTTCATATCGCGAAACGAACAAATGCATTTCATGGCTTTAGAATTTCAATAGTGTTGTATTTCTTGAATGCTTTAATGTCCCCACATTGCAAATAGTAATGGAAAAGCTTTTTTTTCTTCGCATTCTTATAATCTTTAGGTCAATAATAACAATATTCTCAAAAGAAATCCACAGATCTCACAGTTGATAAACTACAGGCCTGTGACAGAAGTTAGAACAGCAAGAAACGTGAAATACAAGCGATACTTTCAGTCGACAAAAGAGTGGTGAGAGTCAAACTACCACTGTAAGTGTGAAATAGGGTTTATATTTTGCATACAGGTGTTGGAGATAAGCCCAGATGACGGTTGATGGGAATTGCGCGCGCGCACACACACACACACACACACACACAGAGGACCGGCCGCAAAGCTACAGATGTAAAGTAAAAAGAAATATACAAACTAAAGAGCACAATGTATAAATATGTGCATGCGTTAGACAAACGCTAAAGTGCACCGTGCTTTTTTGCTAATATTGCACAAGATTTGGTGACATGAAGTCACAGCAGCTGTCAGTCCACAGTGTCCGTACCACACAGTGATTGATGTGTGGAGGACGCTCTCGACCGTACCTCTGTAGAAGCTGCTGAGAACTTTGGTCTACATTCCAAATTTCCTCTGCAGCCTCTGCTGGGTCGTCCTAGTGATCTGGAGCGTGTAGTGAGACCAGGTGAGGTCATCGCTGATGTCAGTTCCCAGTAATTTAAAGGTTTTCACCAGTTCCACCTCCGTCTCACCATTGTACAGAGGTGTGTGCTGCACCATCTTCCTCCGCGGGTCGATGATCATCTCCTTGGTCTCGTCTGTTTTCAGGAGAGGTTATTATTTTGACACCAGGCCACGAGTTCCTCCACCTTCCTTCTGTATGCTGCCTCAGCCCCACCAGAGATCTTCCCAATGACCGTGGTATCATCTTCAGACTTGATGATTCTGGTGTTTTCTTGGGGGGGGCACACAGTCGTATGTGAAGAGGGTGAACAGCAGGGGACTCAGTACGCAGCCCTGGGGGGCCCCTGTGCTCACAGTTCTTGTGGATTTCTTTACAATAGCATAGATGGGACAAGTGCTCGAGATGGCTCAATCACGTGAAGTTAAGGTGTGCTCACCTGTGTGTGCGTGCATGTTTCTATTTGTGTGTGTATCAGAGCAGTGTAAACGCATGTAAAACACAAATGCATGTAAATATGTAAATAAGATGAATAACGTGAGGCTATAGTTTGTTTAAGAAGAGAACAAGGAGTAAACTATGTGTTGTCAATCTGTAACAGATGTAAGCTGTTCAGCGTTTCTAGCGTGCATGCGAATACGTTCTATCTCTAATATATTTGAGGAGGGATAAAACACAATGGGACATCAGTTCAGCGCTAATCCCAAATAAAACTTAATTGACAATGGAAAAAATATACATATATATTATGTTGATGCACATGATGTTTTTCCTGCAGTTCAAACTTCTCTGGTCCAATGCCAGAACCTCGTGTTAGCAGCTCTTGGAGACAACGCCTACTTGAGCTGCAGGTTGATGGAGTCTAAAGACGTCGTGCAAGTCACGTGGCAGAAAATCATTTCTGGTGGGACGACGGATCTCGCTTCTTACAACAAACACTTTGGTCAGAAAGTGAATACTGGGTTTCAGGGAAGAGTGGAGTTTAAATTTGCTGGACTGCAGAACAGCTCCATAGTGATCAGAAACGTGACTCACCAGGATGAAGGATGCTACCGCTGTTTGTTTAACACCTACCCCGATGGTGCTTTCACTGGGAGATCATGCCTCCAGCTCTATGGTAAGAACACTGAAATAATCCTCTACCTCCTCTGTAATATTCCCATGATAACATCTAATGGTCTTTCCTCTGCAGAGCTGCATGGACCCTTTCTACACGTCACAGAGTCACACTCTGCTGAAGAGGTAGTCGTGTCCTGCTCAGCCACAGGTCGACCTGTTCCCACGGTAACGCTGACTGTCCCCCACCACAACTCCACCAGCGTCACCAACACCAATGGAACAGTCACCGTCACCACTACAGCCGTGCTGTCTCGTCTCCATGACAACAGCCACCGGGTTGGATGTGCAGCGCGAGTTCTCTCCGGTCGTCAGATCGATGTGTATGAGATGATTCCTGAGGTCAGACTGTCGCCTCCTGATGGTGAGAAACACTCCTAAAGACACTGATTCACAGGTTGATCAATACTTCTTGAGTTCATCTCTTCTGTTTTTATTTCCCAGGTTTTGGTGTTAAGTCTGGATCTGATAACAGTGATGTCAGTGAGTAAACCGTCATGTGGTCTCACGTACATATTAACATTTCATCTGTAGTTGCTTTATGAATGTTGAGTCTTTCTAATTTCCCTCTTTTCTCACAGATGTTCTTTTGATCACTGGTTTGGTCGTCGGAGTGATCTTTGTTGTTGTTGTTGCTGTCATTGCTTTTTGTCTTAAACGGAAACACCAGAACAGGTAACTTTTATCTTTCGATTAATCATCATTTTGTTCTAATACCAGTGTGTCACAGTTAATATGCACATGGTTGATCCAAACCTTTAAGAATAAATCCACAATTAAATACTTGTTCATTTTGTTTCTTGAATCCATCAGTGTGTCACAAAGGGACCTCGAGGAGAACAAGAGAGACACGAATGAGTGAGTCTATTAAAGTCATTCAACAATTCAGTCCCCTCTGTCTGATTCTGAGCTTCACTTTTCTTGCTTATCAGACTGAACTGCTGTTTCTGCACTGTGTGTTTATCCACATCTCTGTTGTTCACTGACTAAATGTTTCGTCTAAAGGCCCAGAACACCTTTGACGAATCCAGAAACACAACAACGGAACTCTACTGGAAACCGTAAAAAACGTGAGAAAGCAGAACCGCCTGTGCAATTTAAAAGAAACCTGTTTCCTGTACAACAAAACCCAGAAGACTGAAGGGGCTGAAAAAGAAAACGCTGATGGAAACTCTCAATATTCTCATTAATGTGTTGAGACTGGTAAAAAAATTAGTTGTCAATAACACAACATAACCCACTAGACTGTCTTGTATCAGTTTATAGAAAATAATCCCGGCAGATCAAAAAGTAGTTTTGACTTTTAATTATCTGTAAACTGCTGCATTTGCACCTATTGTTTGTACTTTTTAAATGTGTTTTAACTTTTTATACTTTTATACATAAAAACAATATGAACTGAATTTCAAAAATACAGTCATTGATTGAAATACTGATTGTCTGTGATTCTTGTGTTAAAGAACAATTCAACAAGTTAAGTGTCATCTTAATCACGTAATTATGGGCTTTGAATTAAATCCATGTTCATCATCATTGACTCAAAGAAACATTGAACAAAATCTGGAGTTCGTGCAAAGTAAAGCGTCTCAAGTTCTGGTACTTTAATCTCAACGTGACGACGTAACAGAACAAACTGCAGCTCAAACATCAGCAGAGGAAGAACCCGTTTTGCAGTAAACGGCCACTGGAGGTCCTGCTTTCCTCCAACATGCTGCGGAAGAGTTGAAGCCGTTTCGGAAGTCGGGGAGAGAAATCCAGCAGCAGGAGCGTCGCCTCCAGTCCGCTGCTAGTTTATTGTGTGAAGCAGGTCGTCCTGCTTCAGTCCCTCATCACCTGCAGCACAGGACGCACCTCCACTACTGGCGGATCACTTCGGCCTCATCTGGCGGCCGGTAAGTCCCGTCTTTTATTTTGAAGGACTCCGCATCGATTGCGGCGGTATCGATCGGGAGTTTAATTAAAAGTAGTCGCAGGCTTTTATTCTTAGACTATGAATTAGAAGGAAATACATTAGTTTGTCCAACGTCTCTATGATGACGCTTTGATGGAGCTGATTGTGAAGACATGGACGTTATTTTATTTTATTTTTAGAGCGTTTTTTGGCCCCACATTAAATAAACTCCTATACCTGTATCTTATCATTAACATACAAAACTTCTATTTCTAACTGAATTCATTATAGCTTCACCCATTTTATACACATTTCTTACAAGTTGATAGAGAATTCTGTATGTTTTGAGTTGAATGGTTTGATTATGTGAAAGAAAAAAACAAAACATAAAAGGAGAAAAATGATCAGTTGTGTTCAAGAAATGTTACGACGCATCTGCTGTTTGGGACTGAACCAGCTGCAGTGCACAGCTGCCCACATTTAGGCTTTAGGTTGCTTTTATTCGAGGACGTTATTCTGAATGCAACACAACTTCTTTCCTCCCATCGTGTCTGCTTGAGTTTCACATTAAAAGCCTTGAGATGACTTGAGATTTGCATCGAGACATCAGCGGCATAATTGCAGTGGAGACGTGATTTTAACTGCTGCCCAACAGGAGCATGCCGCCAGCTTGAAGCCAGATGGTTGGCGCTGTAAAACGACACATGACGCCCGTAAAGCTCTGCGGTCTGGACCCGGCCTGTCTTGTGGTTTTTAGGTGGTTTGGTTGAGATTGATCAAAGGCCACTTGAGCCCTCGTTTCCACCTTTTGCAGGATAAATATATTTGATCTGACAGTGTAGAATTATGGCATTCTACACACAAAGTGATGATTAAAGCCACAAGGCAGCCGGTGTCGGCACCTCCCACACAAGTTCTTTGACTGCAGGTATTGATTTTGAAATCCCGAGGCCGTCGCCGTCTAGACATCAAAGGGTGGCACCTTGCTTTGCTGCTGTGTGATTGTTGGTTAACCGGACAGGGTGTGCATGCTGCGGATCATCATGTAAAACCTCCAGCGATCCCTTGTGAGTCAGCAGCTGTTGTTGTTGTTGTTGATGATGCTGACACACGTATTGCCATGGCAACTCATTTATCAAAGCTGCAAAAAGGAAAAAGTGAATTACCTTGGAAGCCAAGAACGTAATCCGTGCCGAGGAGACGCTGTTATCGCCGGTGGAAACTCTCTGGTGTCATGTTTCCCATTACAGCAGGCGGGAGGATGCAGCTACGCCCGGGCTGACCAGCAGCAGCTCAAACAAGTCACGGCACTGGACCGCTGACGGGGTACGTCTCCATCCCTGCCTCTGCATGCACGCTTGTGTCTTTGCTAATGATTCACTCTGCACGTCTGATCCGGCTCTCTGATGGTGTTTGTGTCCGCAGCCTGGATGTGATTCTCGCTGTTTGTGTGCGTGTGTGTGTGTGTGTGTATGAGTGTGTGTGTGTAACCCAGCCTCAGTGGGCCATGTGTGGACCCACCGTGTCCCTGTGTCTGCTGCTCTGGATGGTGGTGATGCGAGTGTCCAGAACACAAGGTACGTTCTGCTTTCATCTGGGGCAAAAAACATGAAACTGGTGCTGCCCGACCTTTTGGCTTGTGACCTTTTTAACAAAAAAAAGGCGAGAACTAATAATCCTCCTCCCTCTTGCCATGACATTAAAACGTCATATGTTCTCTGAACTCAGGTCAGGTCGCGGCTCTCACCGCGCCGCATGCAGAGGTTGGTCGGCCCGTGCTGATCGGCTGCAACCTCACCATGCAAACGGGCGAAACGGTCAAGCAAGTGCGCTGGCTCGACAGGCACAAGAGGCTCCTGCTGGCGTACCTGCCGACCGTGCCGGTGCGCGTCAGCCACCAGGCCCCCGGCGTGCAGCTCACCGCCAGCCACAGCGACGGCAGCCACATCACCATCACTACGGTGCGGCCTGAGGACGAGGGCTGCTACCGCTGCGTCTTTGACGTTTACCCCCGGGGGCCGCTGGAAGGCACCACGTGCATCCGGGTCAATGGTCAGTCAGAGGTCAAATCTCATGGTCTGTTTCCATAATCGACTAGCGAAACATCCCCATCAGTATTTTGACTGAACATCTTGCCGTGCTGCAGCTCACGCTAAACATCTGGACCTTTTCAGGGTCACGGATGATGTTTGTTGTTCCCACGAGACCCCTTGCAAGACAGGAAGCAGTAAGCTTGGGTTTGAACTAGCAGACCACCCACCCAGCTAACTACCCGGCAGCACTTCCTGTTGTTGCTACTAAATGTGCACACACATTTTGAGTGAACCCCGACTCTTTCTGCTGACGTCCTGCAAAGTTTATACTGCGCAATTAGCAGCCAATGGAATTCTGCATACATTCAACATACAGTCATCTTCATTTTTTCCTGATATTAACAATAATAACAGGCGCATTTTTCTCCGTTCCAGGTCGAGTGCACATGGAGGGCAACCAGACGGCCGTGAGCGGGAAGCCGGCCACGCTCTCCTGCCGGTACAACCTCCCCGAGAAGGTGCAGCAGGTGCTGTGGAGGAAGACGGCCGAGCAGGGCGACACCACCACCGTGGCCTCCTTCACCAAGCACGGCTCCCACAAGACGGAGGAGCAGTACAGGGGTCGCGTCAGCTTGAGCCGCACCCTGGGAGACACCCGGCTGACCATCCAGGAGGTCAGGACGGAGGACGAGGCGTGCTACACCTGCGAGTTCCACACGTACCCGGACGGCACCCGGAGAGACCGCGCCTGCCTGTCTGTTTACGGTGAACGCCCGTCTCTCTCTCTCTAATGCAGACGTAATGCAGAGCGTTTGGAGGGGTGTTTGAAGCTGGTAAACTCTATGTTTACCCCATTAACGTGGCAGCAAAGCACACATGACTTAATATCCGTGTAAAGGCGGCTACTGCAGATAACGTCGCTGAATTATTTTTGTTTGTTCCACTAACCCTTGCAGACTCGGTACCAAGGCGTTACAGGCTGTTCTTATGTAAACCGGATGTGTCTTTGTATAGACAGTCAAAAAGACGCACAGAAGAGCTTAAAACTTGATCGTATTAGACTGTGAAGAGCTTTACTTTACATACTTTAAGCTAAAAGGAAACGCTGCTACTTTCTGTGTGTGTGTGTGTCCCAGTCAGAGCTCAGGAAAGGGAAGGAAGCTCAGTGGAAAAACATCTCAAGGGGGGGGGGTCACTAAACTACCGTTTGGGCGACGGCGCTTCGCCACCTCCGGCCTCGCGGAGCCCCGAGCTCTTTTTTCCCCTCGCTGTGCCAGCGAGTAAGAGAGGTGTGAAGACACAACGTTAAAACCAGCACGACGCCACCAGTATCTCAAGAGATTGAGTGTCTGCTGCTCTCCCTCCTTGTTGACGGGGGGACGGTGTCACTGAGGAGAAAGGGGGTGATTTAATGTGGCAGAAAGGCCGGGGGGGGGGGCTCTCTGTTTCCCCAGACACAAGGCCTCAGTGTGTGTGTGTGTGTGTCCTTCTCCTCTGAACAGGCTTTGTTTCATCCGACAGAGGATCCAGACACACAAACCCGAGTTAGTAAAAGCTGCTTTGCTTCTGTTCTTGCCGAAGGGGGGGAGAGGGGGAGAGGGGAGGGGAGGGGGGAGGGTCTGTCTCTCCATCTCTGTTTTCTGTTGTCTGTGATGGAAAAGCTCAGACAAAATAACAACGGATGCCATAGAGGAAGAAACGACTGATGCTCAAATGCACAAGCGAGTCGCTGAACATCATCTTTCCAATCCCCCAGTTTTACCCAAACCAGAGGTGAGTCACGTGACCTCGTCCCCGGGAGTCGGCGAGGCCAACTGCACTGCCCGGTCCCGACCCGCGGCGGAGATCACGTGGAACGTCGGCGGGGACAACCGGACGCTCGGACCGCCCACCGCGTCCGCCTACGAGCAGGGCGACGGCACGACGGTGGTGACGAGCACGCTGCTCTTCCACCCGGCGCTGCTCAGCGACGTGTCCGTCCAGTGCGTCGTGCACCACCCGGGTTTGGAGAAACCACTGACGGTGTCCGTCAACACAAACAGTGAGGGCCTCTCTGATGTCTCACGTCTTGTTGTCATAAAACAAATATGAGCTTGTCCTTTACATTTATGTGTGTGTGTGTGTGTGTGTGTGTGTGCGTGCCCCACAGTGTCTCCAGCCACGGTCGTCCTCCTCTCGGTGTGCGGTGTGGCGTCGGTCCTCCTCCTCTGTCTTTGTGTGTGTCTCTGCAAGTGCTTCATCTGTACTGAGGGTGAGTCCCGACTCCTCCGCGTTCGCTCGTGCATCGCTTGTCAAAAGAGGTGTCGACAGGTTTCCGTCCTTCGTCTGTGCTGCTCAATCACATTTAATCCGCCTGACACAGGAAACGGTAACGGTTGAAATACCGAGTTTTTGCAGCAGCTGACGGAAAACTACTGTGGCTCCTGTTATGAGAGTACGTGAAGGTGGATGTTTCCTTTTAAGGCCGCGAGCAGCTCAGAAAGACGTGGGTGAAGAAAGTGAAGAAGAGGCACTTTTGAGTGAATCCTCGACTGCTTCAGAGGCTCTCGTCTCTGGGGACATTTTAACGGCCCGTCCTGTCGCGCCGGCCAAGTTTTGAGAGCCCCCTTGTCACTGTACTGATGGTGATGAAGTATTTCTGCTGCTCACATAAACATCGAAAGCATTGTGGAGCCTTCTGAGAATAGAGCTGAACAGTCATCGGGGTGGAGACGAGCCCCGGTGTGAAGTGAACACGCGGGTTCGTTGAGGAAAGCGAGAAGAGCGTCGTTCCAAGCGTGAAATTCCGCCCATTGTTCCGAAAGCGCAGGCAAAAGGTCGACGGGGCCGCCAGTGCTTGCTGATGTGTCCTGACTCCCGTTAACACCTTTCCCACAATCCTCTCCGGGTGACGAGCGCTGCCCATTTCCCCTTTTTAATCTCGAGTGTCCAACCGAAGTTATCGCGGCGCCAACGGACGCCTCGGCTGACGCGGGCAAAACAGAAGCGTCGAGGTCGGCGCGCTCCCACGGTTAATCTCTATTTGGCGCACAATTTCCAAAAAAGACTTATGAGTGTTTTTCTTTTCTTCCGCTGCACTGCCTCGTCTTTATTTTCTTGTGCGATAAGAAAGAAGAGGGCGCATACGCCCGTTTTCCTAACGTGTCAAAGAAACATGCCGACTTTGTTTGTCGCTTCCGAAGTCCACATCCCTCCAAAACAAAGGCCTCAATCACGCTGCTGGTTTAACAGTGTTTGCGTTCTCCTCAGAGGCTAAGGGACTTAAATACTGTATTTGTGTGTGATTGATGGGTTGAGCCAGCGTTTGCTCGACCATCTGTGGCATTTCTTCACTAGATGGCAGCTGGGTCTCTGCGAAAATAGATTCTCTCAACAACAACAACAACAACAAAAATAGGCTTCCCTTTGTTTTCCACGTTGCTTAAAAAGTCTCTCCTCACTTTTCAACTGCGTAGATCCTGAGCTGAATACCAAGTGGTTGTTAGGAGTTACCAGCCGGAATGAAAGACCCTCTTTCTCTGTCTAATCCTTTGGCCTCTGGGGGGGAAACGGGGGCATTGACGAGTAGGAACCCGCCCAGTCGATAACAGCGCTCCGCTGTAGGGACACTCGCGTTCTGTGTGTCTGTGAGAGCGTTTACTGTGACGGGATTCACGCTTCAGTTCGATGGGAGGAGAGCTGCGGTTCCTCACTCCTTATTTGGAGCCGACCTCGCTCCTTTTGCTCATTCTGTCACGGCGTTTTTAAACTTGCATCATGTAGAGCGCGCCGCTGATCTCTCCGGATGTGAGTGATCAGATGTGAGTGATCCGATGTGAGTGATCCGATGTGTGTCAACATAAATTGTAATAATAAGGCAGTGGATTGCAACATGCTATCAAAGAAAAAGTTCCAGTGAACCTCAGCTCCAAAATACATGTCTCTCACTTACACTAAGTAGTTTCTAGAAATGCAGTTTCAAAGAAATGCAAGAGAAAAAAAACTTAAATATTTGACACTTTTTTTACCAGTTTTGAAACTGAAGAAGAGCAGACATAAAAAGCACAAATACCAGAGTTCGTCGTGTAACATAATCGTAACTATGCTACAATATTGGGACTAACTACTGTAGAACCAGAGTGATCTGCAGGCCTCCGACACGCCGCTCGCCCTCTGGTTGTTGATTTGGGTGCACTGACCCTTTAAGACACTGCTGGAGCGACGCGGCGCATTTAAAGCGAGGTGAAGAGACGTTGTCGTGTCTGCGGCCCGAGTTGAACCGCGAGGCGCCCACAAATAGGCCCTTTGTGGTTCCCTCTGGATCGGGGGGGAGGAATTCGGCCTTCAATCACGGCTGGGAAATTGGGCCGAGGCTCTTCCAGTAAAGTTCTGCTGGTCTATTTGCGATTGTTTTTTTTTTAGTGAAGCCGGGTGGAGGCGTGCAGACGGCGCAGTGGTGGTGCAGCTACGGGAACAGGAAGTCGACCTCGGATTGGATGAAAGCCGACGTTTTCAGTGGCACCTTTTTTAATCTGTGGCAGCACAGGAAGCAACAGGGGCAGCGACCACGTCCGGTCATGGGGGCAGAACTGGACACCGATTGCTCCTTTTTGAGAGGCGATGATTCGAGCAGCGACCCTCTTGTGTTCACAGGATGCTTGTTGCACCTCCTCAGGAATATCTCACACATGCACTCTGAGGCGTGGCAGGCCGTTAGTCACGGCTGAGGAATTCCTGCGGTGTTTCGTTATTTTGGTGCATGTGGTCTTTTGGGGCACGTAGGCATGCATGTGCTTGCACGTTTTAATGCATTCCTGTGCGAGGATCTCTCGTTCCCACATATGATGAAATATACTATGACGAATAAAAGTAGCCGACTGTAATATTGTATTTTATTGTATATTGCTTTTAGTTCTATTGTTGTACTGTATTTGTCACTTTTCCCTCTTTAAAGGAATCTTTACTAGCTGATTTTTCCCTGTCAAACTCGCACTGCTTGATCTTTCACCGGTGACCTCTCATGTGAGGAAAAAGGGCGTCTCGGCCCGACAGGACATGCAGGTCGCAGAGGAAGGACTTGTGTCGATGAGCGCGAGATAAAAAAGTAAAACGTTTGTGGAAAGCTTTGTGTCCAGCTAATCGCGTGTCTTTTCTCTTTCCTTTTCTCTCCTGCGTCCAGACTGATGTGGAGGCCCCCGAGGTCACCGCTGCCGTGATGATGGTCCGGCGGCGCTCCGGGCCGGACCTCTCGGCATAGTGGCACGCGGCTAGCGGGTCGAAGGGAACTGAGCTGCCGCAGAACCGAGCCGCCGCCGCCGCTGGTTCTGCTTCCACGAGCCGGGGAGACATTTACTGCCACGTAAACAGAACTAAAAACCTAGTTATTTAATGCTGCGTGTTGCACTGACCGCATAACGTGTGTGTAATCAACTACTTGGACATGTCACGCTTGAGAAGACTTTGGTCCGTCTGTTTTCTTTTGGATTGCGTGATAGGTATCATTTTATTTCAATGCTCAAACCTCAAAGCTAAATCCTGATGGAGCCGCCTGGAGCCCAATGAGAGGACGCTTCTGGTAAAAGAAGGAAGGAAGGATGTGACCAAACTGAACTTCGCATTAGGAGTTACAGGAAAGGAGGCTTAAAAACAGACTTTTAGTGAACCAGCCGTCGCTGTGACTCAGAATGAAAGGATACAACTGAGGGGAATAATGAAAGGCTTGTTATTTTTAGCTGCCGTGTCGTGGGGACGGAGAGGCTCGGTCGACATTGTTGGCTTCTGAACTTCTGTTTAAGGATCACTGCTGTTGCCCTCGGCCCTTCTGACACGAGAGGTTATAAAGAGTCAACGGGCTTTAAAAATTATGAAGAATTTAATAACTAACAGAAGTAATAAGCAATGCAGTCACAAAGTGAAATAAAGTATGTATAATATTATTTTGCGAAATAGAGAAGTCCCCTCGTTCAGTCTCACATGAGACTGAGTCTCACCTCTTCCAATCTCCCGGGGGGGCGTGTCCCGTGTGCTGCAGTCGTATGTCATTGGCCGCACATTCGAGCCCAGCTCCTCCCTCATCGATTACTTTCTGCTCCAAGGCATCACATGACTCCCTCCCGTCTCCATCTGATGATCGAATCTGAAATCCCTCACTGACCCAACCGATCCCTGTTCACTTAATACTGCAGTACATTCAATGATCTCACCTTTGGCTTAAAGCCCCTTTGTGTAAACGTGACATAGCATGCATAATAACATCACATTTCATCACATCTTACACATTATAGTTCCATATGGTCCAAAATCTGAATATTTGCCTCACTCGGCTGTTGTAGATCCTTTGCTCATCTATTACCTGACAGGAGAAAAAAAACCCAAAAAACTTTTTGGGGATAAAATTGGAAGAAAGCCATAAATGACGGCAAGGTTGTTAATGTTTACAGTAATTATATGACTTAAATTAGGATAAATTGTGTTTGATTCATATTGCATTCACTTCATCTAACACGCTAATGTAATAACTAACATCACACAAGCTACTAATTACACTAACACTAAACATTACTACATGTATTATAGTTTGCACCACTAGGTGTGCTCTTCTGCTAACATGTCGCCTAAACCGCATAGTTTTTTAGAAAATCTCATTTTAATGTAAATTGTCAGGAAATCATATTTTCTAATAAAGCTTTAATATAGTTTTTGGATATACTTTCAGTAATTATCTGTATATAAAGAGGATTATAATTAAGTGTTAATAAATGACTACGTCGAAGCTACATCTTGTAAGAGTCGATAACTAGTTACAGCCACTGATGCTGAGAATATGAACTGAGAAAATGAAAGTGGATCAGAAATAAAGTTGATATTTTGATTTTGATGAAATGTTATCTTTTGTTTGACTGTTTTTTAATGATCTTTCTTTTGGAGGTTATTTTTATCATCTGAAATACACATTGCTAAGTATTTGTTGGCATGAAATTAAAGCAATTACATTAAAGGTCATTTAGCTGACGCTTTGAAAAATATTATCTGGAGGAAACTGCTGATTTCGATCAGACTTCAAAGTAAAACAAACAATTGGTAATGTTTATTTAATAATGATTCAAGTAATCACTTTTCTTTTCTTCACCCTGTTTTGGAAATGAACCATTGTAACGTTTTCCACAAACATCCGTCATGGAATTTGACATTTTTCTTCCCCTTCGAGTTTCCACAAACCTCCCAACAACCGGAAAGGGCACGTAAGTACTTCTTTTGTTACTGGAGGCCCCCGTCGCCAACCTTGGGCGGACTTAATAATAAATAGCATCGTCTTTGCTCCCTCTGGGTCTCCCTACTCAGAAATAACAAAACAATCATGAAGCATGCGGCTGGTTCCCTTTGAGTTCAGACTCTGACGTTCAGAGTTTTGTTCCCCGTGCCACTAGATGGTGGCCATGTTGCATTCTCTTCAGACGTTTTCTAGTTGTCCCCTCCAGCACTGATTCACTTTCTCGGCTGAGTTTGTGTGAGTGCGAGTGCCTGATTCAAACTAGGTTGACTTCTAGCACCTTCATAACCACACGTCCCACGGGGCAGGTTCTTCGTGCAGATGTGTACTCACGCGGTCGACTGACGCTTCTTCACTCTCCACACTATAAATATATGTTTGTACTGAATGTATGGCATTGCATGCTGGATTTCAAATACATTTTAAGAACATAACGTATTTGTCCGCTTTTATTATATTATATATAGTATAATTTTATACTTCATGACCTTTCAGAGTCAAGCGTCCCGCGGGGAGCCCCGCGGAGAGTCTCGGTTCAGCTGTCATTCACTGCAGCGGGTTTCAGTCTGAAGTGAAAGGAGCCACTTCCTGGATTCAGAGGGAGCTGATCGTGTGATGAGCTGAAATACGACAATGAGAAGCCCCCCCGACTGCTGCAAACACGCATTGGGTTAAAGGTGAGTCTTGAATGTGGGAGACGGTAATATACTAACACCGTGGGTTAGTTTTCAACGGGGACATGTCCATTGAGGACATAAATCAGTTCAATCTGCACAAACAGTAAACGGATAATTGAATAGTACCACCTGCATTTCCTGTGATGCATTTAAAGTGCTTTAATATGCAAACTCAACAGAATATAATATACAATAAATAGTTTGTTTTGGCAGTAAATGTGATAAATATTGTTCAAACATTTGCTTTGTTACCTTGCTAGCAGAAAGCTAATATTCCATCATTAGTGTCCGCTAATGTACTGATCCCCATCACATTCCTCAGTAAATATTAAAGATGGAGACTTATTTCAATTCATTGCAACACCAAAGAGAGACTGAAGTATCTCCACATCTTCTGGATGGATCTCAACGACACCTCGTACACGTGATCAATGTCAGGCCATGAGAATATAACCGATCAAGCACACTGCATAAAAATAGCATAGCGACAAAAAACAATTATTGAGAAATACAGATCAGCGAGTACTCAATGACAGTTATTTAACCGTAGCGGATTGAATTGAGGGCTCTACTCATCGTTTTCATAGATGTGAGTTGTCGGCAAAGCTTCGGCGGGGGGCTGGTGGCTCGGTGTGTCCCGGCATTTTCCTGCACAATTTGATTGAAAGGAAAGATGAGCCCTTCTGCCCCGGAATATGCACAACGTTGTGTATCAATTCTTTGTTGTTTTGTGGCTCTGTCACTCTTGTTTTTTCGATTAGACCTCCAGCAGGAAGTCCGCTGCAACAACTGTGAACAAAAGTCCAACGATGCTCACCTTCACACCTACAGCTTGACGTGACACATATTGTTAGCATTATGACGACAAACACCGTCGGCAAGACAACGCGGATCAAAAACGGCCACAGTGGCTCCTCGGGCTCTGGAAGACACCAGAGGACATCTTGTTAAGCATCAAAACTAAGCCATGCAAAGGAAGCCAGAGAGTGAATTAACTTCTGTTACCCGGTTCCGAAGGCATCGATGTCCCTGTGCTGAGCTCGCCTGAAAAGCATTCAGATGTTGTTTGTGCGTTACGGCTTCGATCGAGTTATTTGGGAAATACTGAAGGCTTTCAAATGAATGATTCCGTTCAAACTTAAACGTCCTTGTGTAGATTTGATCGTCACTTACAGATGTTCTCACTCACCGTGGACAGAGACGTCAACGTAAAGACTGAGAAAGATCGGGGAGGATGTCGCAGCCAAGCGTTTTAAAAGTTGCCACTCCTTCCTCGTGTGAGTCCTGCTGCAGACGTTGCCGAGGTCATTAGTCTGCAGCATTAACTGTGCAGCTAATCCAAAGGTCTCCTCTGAGGAAAGCTTCACATCCGTGTTACGTCTGACTCTAACCTTCACTTCACAGTCTCAATATTAACCTGCAAAAGGGAAAAACAACAAACATAAAAGAAAAATGTGTAAAATGTTACCAGCTCTAGATGAAATAACATGGAATCAGTAGGAATGTTATTTGAAAATCGGTCTGTAGATCACAGAAACAGCTGCAGCTGAAGATCCAGGTCAGCAAGCGGTGTGAAGTATCTTTGTGGTTTCAGCCCTTTGGTTCTATAAACTAAAAGGTTAAATAGTTTTACATGAACCGGATGTTGGAGTTTGGGTCTGGGGGCCTGCTCATCTAGTGCAGCTAATTTTATCTCATTTCTGCTGAAATACAAATAAATAATAATAAAAAGTACACCGAATATTTCCAATCAACCATCTACACATAAACCTTTAATGTGCACGTTATCTGATTCCTATCCCTGAATACTGTGCAACAAAGAAACAAAGACGTGTTTGGAGAGTATAACAGGAACTTACTATCAGCGTCCAGTGTGAGGAGCAGCGCCGCAGAGATGGACACACGCGGTCAGCCGGCAGTTACGTCCCATCGCGAAAAAAGAAACCAGCTTTACGCTTCTGCTCTGTCAACGTAAATGACATGTGGTTTACTTCACTTCCTGTTTTTCGTGTGCCGTGGTCTTCAGCGTGTGCGCCCCCCCCGCCTACGCAACACATCACGGCACGGAGGGGGACATCACCTCACGCACGCCTCGTTTCAGCGTTACATCACCTTCATTTTCTTTTTTACTATCGGAATGATTTTGTCTGTCAGCAGGGAATGAGGCCTCTTACTTCGGATCGCATGATGTCATTTAATTATACAGAATCATGAGGTCATTATTACATTCTTGATTTACAGCGTTAAAGGACACGATGTTTATACAAAGAGTAACAGAAGGTCATTAATCGGCCACACAGGTACAGTTTAAAGTGACGCTTTCATCTTTACTCTTATTGGACAAAAGAATCAATTCAAGTCAATCACATGACACAAAACATTCGAACCCGTCTACGTAGAGACAGTTTGCAATTGGTCCGTGATGACCTCACGCTCCTCGTGGGGTCACCAAGTGAGTCTCTCGCAGGGCGGTTCCTGAACGCGGATAGCCGCGTACTCCGACGTCTCCTGCCGCGGCCGCCGCGGCCGAGCGGCGACGGCGGCGGGCGGCGGGTGTTTGAGAGCGGCGTACAAGATGGAATCCCCCGCTTCCGCTGTGTCCTCCCTCCTCTCGCCGCACACGTGCTCACCGCCCCGCGGCATTGGCGGTTCGTTGGGGTGCGAGGGCGGGGTCTTCCTCCGGGTCGACCTCCGACATGGCGGCGCGGAGGGGCTTCCTCTCGGCAGAGGCGGAGGGCCGCAGTCCGAGAAGGGTTGCTCGGACATGGGGAACGCCGCGTACTGGGGGGGAAGAAGCATCTTGCATTAAATGTTTGAAGACTTTCAGAAAAAAAAGGGGAAGAGAAGGTTTGACTTTGTCTGACCTGGTTTTCCACTTGCGTCTCTTTCTTTGACTTCCCTGCATGTGGAAATTTAGCTGAAATTAGTCACAGTTTTCAAAGATACAATCACGTTCGTCATGAAGCACTCGCGCGACGTCTCACCTTTACACCCCCGCAACGATGCGACCGTTATAATCACCACTGTGGCGACAAACGCCACAATCCCCGCGGCAACGTACGCGTACAGCCAAGGATCCGCTGAGGGCTTCTGACCCGAAGGGCTTCCTGCTTGAAGAAGAGGAAGTTAATGTGGTTGCGCTTGACCATCAGTAATGAAAGCTCCAGAATTTGGATTTAACTGAAGACGTAGAAATCCAGTGGAATAGAAGTTTCACTGTCGTTCTTACTTGTGTCGTTGCTAAAATTGTTGCGCTCGTCATCACCTGTGAAACAAAGCACAGCAGCAATGAGGAGCTTTACTGACATGAGGCCACATTTGGTTCAACTTGTATGTATCTGCACAATGTGACAAAGGCCTCTTTGGCCAAACAGATGCATTGAATTACTGTGAAAGTCTCGCTCACCGTGGACAGAGACGTTGATGAGATGACTGACAATTCCTCCCGCTTTACACTGATACAAACCCGAGTCGTCTATGCCGACGTTTTGGAAGATCAAAAATGACATCCCAACCAAATCTCCTAGACGCTTCCACTCTGTTTTAATGTGAGCGCTGCTGCTGATGTTGATGCGGACATTATTCTCTTGTTTGTTCCAGGAGACTGAAGGCGTTGAATCACTGCAGAATTCAACTGTGCAGTTTATCCGAAGGTCTTCTCCCAGGAAAGTTTCAAAAGACGTGTTCTGGTTGACTTTAACGTCCATTTCACAACTTGTATCTTCATCTGCAAAATGAAAGCAAATAAAAACAGAAAAGGTTCATTCATCCTTATTCTACAGTTTAATGTAGCAATGTAACAATTAGGGCTTTTGGATAATTGAATGTTATAATTTATCTTTCAATGGAATTGTATCGCAGTGCAATCATATATCGAGATATCCACATCCACAATTACATTGTTTAGATTGATTAGAACAAACACATAATCAAATTTCTCCCTAAATCTGTTATTTTGAACTACAGATTTGAATAAAAAGATGAAATACTGAGTGTATGAGCTTCACAGCTGTAGCTCTACCATCTCACATTAATGCTTATTTCAGGCAGGAGAAAAAGCTTCAAAACTGTTTGTAAATTAAAAAGAATGCTTCTTTAAGTAATCTGAATGCAAAGCTTTATAGGACTTTTCAAGATGTGTAGATAATGTTTTAGAGCACGTGTGAAAGCTTGAAACTTGAAAAACAACAAATGTGATGCAGTAAAACAGATGAAACACACGGAAACTGACATTTAACTTTGTAATAAATGGAAAGACAATTTGCATGAAATGGAACTGAGAGTGACCCCCACCTGACTTTAACCTTTGAATTGAAAAGGCAACTCTACTGCCGTAACACTGTGGCAATATGTAACATTTCAAGTTATGATTTTGTTTTGCTCCAAGTCAACTTTCTCTGCTGCTCACTACCACCAACAACAGTGACTATTGAATAAAACATCCTCTGGCCTCAAACTACAAAGAAACAAATGAGGCAAAAGAAAGCCACACACTTATAGACAAATGCATGAATGACCGTGTGGTCGGTGGCAGTAAATAGAGTCGTTTCCATCAAACTCCCACTTACACCTGTAGCGGAAGGAGCGTCCAAAAAGGAGCATTTTCAGCATCAGAGAACGGCATTATCGGCTACGTTTACATGTCGGTTTAACAGACATTCAAGCTGACGTTTTACTCCGATGGACGGATTAAACATGGGAGTCCTGCAGAGGAATGATAAGCGACATACACAATTACTGAGGATCAAATAATAACTTACAGTCAGCTTTTAAGTCGAGAAGCATCCCTGCCAAGACGAAGGCCTGCAGTACGGTCCAGCCGTGGTTGGGCCTCATGATGCCTCAGTCGCAGTCTGTCCAAGTGGGAAGTCCTCCTCCATGCTCATCATTTAACAGAGAAGTGCTGAAGCCACTTGGTTGCATGCTGCTTCCTCTTTCTGCTCTCTGCTCGCTCCCTTCCTACCTCGGCCTCTTCCCCCTCTAAAGCAGGGGCGGTGAGTGCGCTGCAGGGGAGAGCAGGCCTGTGTGTGCGCTTACTTCTCTAAATGTGGCAGCTCCGATGCAGTGAAACATCTCAGATTAGGAGGATCTCACAGTTTAAGGTGCTCAAACCAGAAAAAAGAAACCCGTGCTCCCTGACATTACCTCGCCTTTCCTGTACGAGTCTCGTTTCAGTCTGTGCATCTTGACAGCGACATCCTCGCTTCTCGTCAATGTCTGTGGTTCATCCTCTTGAGCTCACTTCCTCCACCCTTCCACCATCTTCATCATCTGCGTCTCCTGCAAACTCGTGCGTCTTTGTGCACAGCAGTGCGGTTTCAGAGGAGGCTGCACGGGGAACTTAAGGGGTGATGTGGACGCCGCGGCATCGCTTGTGTGCGTGTTGCTGCTGTCAGGCAGCCGGTGGACTGCTTATCTGTCAATGAATCTGCCTCATTAAGGTTTGAACCGTATGCATGAAAGTTGGTTTATTTATCACAGACTTCCAGTGGATGTGGTGCATTCAAATGTGTTCCCACATCAAAGAAGAAGTAGTAGAAACATTTAGGCCCACCTTCATTGGGTTGTCATATTGTAGGTGGCCCAAACATACCTAATATGAATTTATGATTTGCTTATTAGCTTATGTGTTCTTCATATAAAACCTTACTTTCTCAGATATGGAAGTAAGTGTAGAGATGTAGTCAGATCCTTAACTGGAGAAAAGGCCTCACTACCCATCTGTTCTTAAATGGAACTTTATGAACTTCATTTATACTATTAGATACACTTTTTAATGTTATTCTCCCCCCATTATTCTGCAAACATCAGTAAAAATACTGTACATCAAATTTTAAAATAATATTTTAATACAATTTGCGATATCTGGTTTCAATGCGCACAATGAGCCAAGTAGGGTTATTTGGAGTAATAATACAAATCATTCTTGTTGAGGAATAACAACAACAACAACAGCGCCATCACGTGGCGCCCAGTGACGTCAGAGTCGTGCGACTGTCCGCGGAGAAGAAGAAGTTCGTCAAGTTGAACGAAGAAGAAAAAAAAGCGAGACGGAATTTCAAACGTCTGACAGCATTTCATCCGCAAACAAGACTAAACGGTGGAACGCAGAGCCGTCATTCCACCGCAGAACTGCGGGGACATTTCAAACGCGAGCTGCTGGAGACACCGCGTCTTCTCCTCGTGGGTAAGTTTCAGTTGACTAAAGTAACGTCGGCCTCATCGTGAGGTTTGCGCGTTGCGTCTCGTGGAGGACGCTTGCAAACGCGTTTTCAGTTACGTTAAATGCACTAAGTCGGTGAATCCATTGGTTCGTTCAAACAAAAGATTGTGGGGAAAAATAATTCATATCAACACACTACGAGAGTTCTACTCTAACGTAATAAAAACCTACTAAAGCCGACAACGTGATAATTAAAGCTCTGTGTGTTTCTCTCTTTCTCTTCTAGTACTAAGCGAAGGCGCGTGCACGAGTTTATCCTCCAGAGAGACTCGTGCACGCGCAGATGGAGTGTGGACAGAGAACATCCTCAACGTGCTCGTCACTTTAATAGGATTTATTAATAGGATTACTTTAAAAACTTTATTTGCACTTTCTCTTTACCTATAGACGCATAAGAGCATCGCGAGGCCCTCAAGAGGAAGCAGCTGACTCCGGTGACATGGGGGGTAAAAAGGGAGCAGGATGGGAACGTGTGACATGTTATTGGATGGAAATAAACGGCCTCACGTTGTAGTCAAAAGGAAAACTTGCCTCTGTGTTTGTTTCCACGCTCCTACACTATGGTGAATAATTGTTAGATTAGTCGACTAATCGGAAAAATAGTCGATAGATTAATAGATTACAAAAATAATCGTTAGTTGCAGCCCTAGCGCTTGTGACCTCGTACTTTTTAAATAAAAAGGAACGCTGGTGGGGAAACACCTGAGACAATGACAAGGATTAAAGTGTTAGGGGACTAAGAATCACAGTTGAATAAACAAATTTTGACTCACAAATGTTCATAAGTATATGATTAATAGCATTTATTGTGTAAACCAGTGATAAGGAGTTGTTTAAGGCAAACTTCTGGTTTCACTTCTTAAAAGTCTTACTTGTAACGATAATAATCATCTTTCTTGCATGGACAAAATATACATGACACAAAGAACCAAGCAGGCGTCACATTTTAGATTGTTAGAATAAAGAATCAGGAAAATCTAAATAGGAAAATGGCCGATAACATGATAACTGCACTATTTGGTAGTTATTCTAAATAGAATACGAGACCGATTCAGAGACGGGAACAACATGTTTAGCTTCAGCTCTTTATTTCTTTTTAGATAATTTGTTGTTTCTTATGATGACCGCGTTATAATTTAATAACACTACATTCATCACAAAGCAAAGCGTGCCACCTAGTGGACAGCAGGTCTCACTTCACCCGGATTGGAAGCAGCAGAGCTGGAGCTCTACAGAAGAGCCTCTGGACGAGTGTCCTCTGTGGTGGACGTGTTTGACTGATTGCTGTTGTGGAGACAGTTGTGTGGGCCGACAGTTGAATAAAGCACGCTGTCCCTCCGCATGAAGGTGCTGTACGGCGCGATGGCTTCTGCCTCCTGCAGAGAGACACGTGACTTTAATAACAGGAGTGAAGCCAGATGAAAAACATGAATGTGTTTGTAAAAGAGAGGTGACATTGTTTCCGCACCGTGTTTTCAGGAGTGTGCGGTGGTTCTGTTTGTCTTCTGATGGGTCAGAAAACAATGCATTAGTAACTCATCTTCGTTTCCTCTATTCTAAGTACCATGGAAACAAATGAAGGACATCGACTTCCTCCATCGCTTCTGACAGTAAAGTGCTGCAATTTATGACTGCAGCACATTTGAAGTATTATATTTATATAGTTAAAGATGTCTGATGCGGCTAAATTATTCCCAATAGGTGTATTACAGTATTAAACTCACCTGTGACGTTTTCCCCTGTAGATCAACCCAAAGATAACTGCAGTTATACAGATGACTGTTGTTGCACCGATCAACGCGTTTAGAAGCCGCGTGTGTGACGTCACGCCGCTCTCTCTCTCTTCTTCCCCTGAAACATCGTAAAGAAAAAGCTCTTTGTCAGATACATGACGGCTATTTACTCTGTAAAAAGGTAAAAGGTATGAAATGGGTTTACCTTCCACGGTGATATTCAGATGGAGGGTAACGGTCTCGCCCACACGTGAACACTCACAGGTGTAGTTCCCACTGTCCTCTGGTGTGAGACCAGTCAGGTGGAGAAACACGGTCTGATTCTCCATCTTAAGAGTGAACCTGGAGTCACATTCGTTCTCGAAGTCTCCTCCGTATCGATACAGCAGACGACACTCTGCTCCAGTCCTGTTAGTTCCGATCTTACACACTATGAGCGTTATGACCTCTGTTGTATTACTGCAGATGGGAGTGACGTCAGGTTCTCTCCCGATGGTTTTAAATTCACTCACTGCAAACAAGTCAATTGAAGATTACAAATTCTCCATTTTCACAAATTGTAAGTAAGAGATTGCTATATTTTTAAAGAAAAAACACTTGATTGTATGATGCATTGCGTGTTTGTTCTTGTTACCTTCAGAGTTAAAGCAAACCGGGAGGTACAGCAGCAGAACAAAGCACAGTTTCCATCCCGACATGCTGGTCCACCTGCAACTGAAGCTGCAACTGAAGCTGCACGTGCACTGAAGGGAGGTGGACGCACCGTGAACCTCATACTCTACAATAAGAGGTGTGAAAAAGGAAGTGCTGCTTCGGGAGCTTCTACTTTCACACCAACACACTGTGAGACTCTCATCAGCTGTGGAGGGCCGGACCGAACAGAGTAAAGTGTAAAGCTGCATCATTTGGGTCACAATGTCCTTAAGAAAGGTGAGCTTGAGCTGTGAATAGAAGCTTGTGGTGTTTAGATTAGTTCATGTGACGGGAAGGTTGAAACTTTTAGGGATATTCACCCCTCAATTAGCATTAATCAACATGATTAAAATAAACTAAATTATTCTCTATGTACAATATTAAGGACTTTTATTGTGACAATCAGAAAGGTCCCAACTCATAACAAGGTGTGTGAATGTTCAAAACATTAGTACAAGAGAAATAATGTGTTACTCCCTTTATTGCATTTCCTAATCCTTCAACCACTGCTTTACTTTCATAGAGAGTATTTAAAAACAAAGTAGTAACTTAAAAGGTTACATTTCATTACCAAATGGAGAATACGGATTTTTAAGATCCTCCTGTGTGAACTTGTTAAAATATCTCTTGACACTTGTTATTGGACACAGTCACCGACAAGCAACATTTCAGTGATAAACGTGTTTTCAGACAATGAATCTTGAATATTTTGTGCAGTGAAAGAGGACAGAGAACAGTTACACTGATCCCAGTGAAATGTCACTCAAAAGGACCTTCAGCTCATTCAACATCTACTTAAATCACATCTTATTGCAAGAAATCATGATTAAGTACAAACACAAGTCACAGTCCTCGTGCTGCTTACGGAGTCATATTTTCATAAGTGTCCTGGCAACTTTGATCAGAGTCTCCTCCGTCTACTTCCTGGTCTTTAGAGCCTCTTGAGTGGCAGATAGTCTGGTAAAGGTCAGCGGCTGGTTGCTGGAGGCTCGTATACGGGTCATCTGGGTCGTCTTCAACCTACGAGAGAAGATATTCTGACTGTGATACTGACTTGTTACCATGGAAACGTCAGCTTGTCAGTAAGCGGTTGGAGGTCACATGAGGGAGTTTAAAAAGGTACAGATGATTAAAAAGGCGACTTTACTCACAGAGTCGTGAGTCTCACGTACAGATGACCGCGATACTGCGCACCTTGACCTTTTAATTAGAAGTCATCAGAGTTAGTGCACCACAAAACACACACACACACACACACACACACACACACACACACACACACATTCATATTAGTCTCACCCAAGTTTTCTTTTGCAGATCAAGCCAAAGATGAGTCCAGCTACAGTGATGGTTACACCGATTGAAGCACTTAGGATTGCCATGAAAGTAACACTGAAGATGAATCGCTCCACTAAAATGTCTGTAAATACAAGAAATGTTTGATGAATGACGTTGGTATTTACTCACTTTGTAGAGAAATATTATAATTTTGATATTTTGTAAGATTATATTGTTGCTAATTAAAAACACTGCTACTACTCACAAAAACACAACTTCTATGATCACAGATGTTAAATAAACTCTACTCTCTGGTCTCTGAGACACACTTCGAGTGACGTTTCCTTTTACCTCAATAACAATGTGGTATTCTCTGATAAGCAGAACTGAATCACTCAAATTAAAGGTCATTTCAGGACCTTCAGCGTCCAAACACAAGCACAACGCCAGCAGAAGAACGCAACACAACTGCGTCGGCTGGTCCATGATGGTAGAGAGCTGTCAGAAGAGCTGCAGTCTGTAAGCGACGCTTACGAAGTGCAAACAATGGCCGCAGACCACAGAACACATCTCTCCAGCCAGTGGGCCGCTGGTGCAGAGAGGTAGGAAGGAAGTGCAACACGTGTCCTCTTCTCAGTGAAAGCAAACCTTCATTTCGGTGCTTCACACAGGATTTAGATCACATAGATCTCAATGCACATGTTAAATCAGAGATTAGAGAGAGGAGCCAAACTGACTGTTTCCTTCTGTTTTCTAGCAGCAGGAGTCTAAAGGAAAGATCGAATAAATTCAACAGCTCTCAAGAGTTTGTCTGAGGACGCACAACGATTTAAAGTTGGTTCGACGGGATTTGACGCGATGTTAGTTAATGTGGTTGTGTTTGACCATCAGTAATGAAAGATCCAGAATTTGGATCTAACTGAAATGTAGAAATCCAGTGGAATAGAAGTTTCACTGTCGTTCTTACTTGGGTCGTTGCTAAAATTGTTGCGCTCGTCATCACCTGTGAAACAAAGCACAGCAGCAATGAGGAGCTTTACTGACATGAGGCCACATTTGGTTCAACTTTTATGTATCTGCACAATGTGACAAAGGCCTCTTTGGCCAAACAGATGCATTGAATTACTGTGAAAGTCTCACTCACCGTGGACAGAGACGTTGATGAGATGAGTGACAATTCCTCCCGCTTCACACTGATACAAACCCGAGTCGTTTATGCCGACGTTTTGGAAGATCAAAAATGACATCCCAACCAAATCTCCTAGACGCTTCCACTCTGTTTTAATGTGAGTGCTGCTGCTGATGTTGATGCGGACATTATTCTTTTGTTTGTTCCAGGAGACTGAAGGCGTTGAATCACTGCAGAATTCAACTGTGCAGTTTATCCGAAGGTCTTCTCCCAGGAAAGTTTCAAAAGACGTGTTCTGGTTGACTTTAACGTCCATTTCACAACTTGTATTTTCATCTGCAAAATGAAAGCAAATAAAAACAGAAAAGGTTCATTCATCCTTATTGTACAGTTTAATGTAGCAATGTAACAATTAGGGCTTTTGGATAATTGAATGTTATAATTTATCTTTCAATGGAATTGTATCGCAGTGCAATCATATATCGAGATATCCACATCCACAATTACATTGTTTAGATTGATTAGAACAAACACATAATCAAATTTCTCCCTAAATCTGTTTATTTTGAACTACAGATTTGAATAAAAAAGATGAAATACTGAGTGTATAAGCGTCACAGCTGTAGCTCTACCATCTCACATTAATGCTTATTTCAGGCAGGAGAAAAAGCTTCAAAACTGTTTGTAAATTAAAAAGAATGCTTCTTTAAGTAATCTGAATGAAACGCTTTATAGGACTTTTCAAGATGTGTAGATAATGTTTTAGAGCACGTGTGAAAACTTGAAACTTGAAAAACAACAAATGTGATGCAGTAAAACAGATGAAACACACGGAAACTGACATTTAACTTTGTAATAAATGGAAAGACAATTTGCATGAAATGGAACTGAGAGTGACCCCCACCTGACTTTAACCTTTGAATTGAAAAGGCAACTCTTCTGCCGTAACACTGTGGCAATATGTAACATTTCAAGTTATGATTTTGTTTTGCTCCAAGTCAACTTTCTCTGCTGCTCACTACCACCAACAACAGTGACTATTGAATAAAACATCCTCTGGCCTCAAACTACAAAGAAACAAATGAGGCAAAAGAAAGCCACACAGTTATAGACAAATGCATGAATGACCGTGTGGTCGGTGGCAGTAAATAGAGTCGTTTCCATCAAACTCCCACTTACACCTGTAGCGGAAGGAGCGTCCAAAAAGGAACATTTTCAGCCTCAGAGAACGGCATTATCGGCTACTTTTACATGTCGGTTTAACAGACATTCAAGCTGACGTTTTACTCCGATGGACGGATTAAACATGGGAGTCCTGCAGAGGAATGATACGCGACATACACAATTACTGAGGATCAAATAATAACTTACTGTCAGCTTTTAAGTCGAGAAGCATCCCTGCCAAGACGAAGGCCTGCAGTACGGTCCAGCCGTGGTTGGGCCTCATGATGCCTCAGTCGCAGTCTGTCCAAGTGGGAAGTCCTCCTCCATGCTCATCATTTAACAGAGAAGCGCTGAAGCCACTTGGTTGCATGCTGCTTCCTCTTTCTGCTCTCTGCTCGCTCCCTTCCTACCTCGCCCTCTTCCCCCTCTAAAGCAGGGGCGGTGAGTGCGCTGCAGGGGTGAGCAGGCCTGTGTGTGCGCTTACTTCTCTAAATGTGGCAGCTCCGATGCAGTGAAACATCTCAGATTAGGAGGATCTCACAGTTTAAGGTGCTCACACCAGAAAAAAAACCCCGTGCTCCCTGACATTACCTCGCCTTTCCTGTACGAGTCTCGTTTCAGTCTGTGCATCTTGACAGCGACATCCTCGCTTCTCGTCAATGTCTGTGGTTCATCCTCTTGAGCTCACTTCCTCCACCCTTCCACCATCTTCATCATCTGCGTCTCCTGCAAACTCGTGCGTCTTTGTGCACAGCAGTGTGGTTTCAGAGGAGGCTGCACGGGGAACTTAAGGGGTGATGTGGACGCCGCGGCATCGCTTGTGTGCGTGTTGCTGCTGTCAGGCAGCCGGTGGACTGCTTATCTGTCAATGAATCTGCCTCATTAAGGTTTGAACCGTATGCATGAAAGTTGGTTTATTTATCACAGACTTCCAGTGGATGTGGTGCATTCAAATGTGTTCCCACATCAAAGAAGAAGTAGTAGAAACATTTAGGCCCACCTTCATTGGGTTGTCATATTGTAGGTGGCCCAAACATACCTAATATGAATTTATGATTTGCTTATTAGCTTATGTGTTCTTCATATAAAACCTTACTTTCTCAGATATGGAAGTAAGTGTAGAGATGTAGTCAGATCCTCAACTGGAGAAAAAGCCTCACTACCCATCTGTTCTTAAATGGAACTTTATGAACTTCATTTATACTATTAGATACACTTTTTAATGTTATTCTCCCCCCATTATTCTGCAAACATCAGTAAAAATACTGTACATCAAATTTTTAAATAATATTTTGATACATTTTGCGATATCTGGTTTCATTGCGCACAATGAGCCAAGTAGGGTTATTTGGAGTAATAATACAAATCCTTCTTGTTGAGGAATAACTAGATTTGCTGCAACAACAGCGCCATCACGTGGCGCCCAGTGACGTCAGAGTCGTGCGACTGTTCAAGCGCGCCACCTTTTGTCGCAGAGAAAGCAAGTACGTTTTTCTTTACATGTATTAGAGAATTCACCCTAAAACACACAAAGTCCGGTCAGCCTGCTTCCCTGTGCTGTTGTTCCGCAGCAGCACAACCGCGCTGGTTTACAAAGCGAACGCTTGTTGGAGCTGCAGCATCAGTCCGACGTCATCGACCACGTCGATTACGAGAAATCGTCGACGCGGATTTCGATGGTCGACGCGTTGTGTGTACAATAGAAGTCAGAGCTGCTGGTGTTTTTCATGCGGCGTTGGCCTCCATCGTCTGCGTCACCGCGGAAAAGAAGAAGTTCGTCAAGTTGAACGAAGAAGAAAAAAAAGCGAGACGGAATTTCAAACGTCTGACAGCATTTCATCCGCAAACAAGACTAAACGGTGGAACGCAGAGCCGTCATTCCACCGCAGAACTGCGGGGACATTTCAAACGCGAGCTGCTGGAGACACCGCGTCTTCTCCTCGTGGGTAAGTTTCAGTTGACTAAAGTAACGTCGGCCTCATCGTGCGGTTTGCGCGTTGCGTCTCGTGGAGGACGCTTGCAAACGCGTTTTCAGTTACGTTAAATGCACTAAGTCGGTGAATCCATTGGTTCGTTCAAACAAAAGATTGTGGGGAAAAATAATTCATATGAACACACTACGAGAGTTCTACTCTAACGTAATAAAAACCTACTAAAGCCGACAACGTGATAATTAAAGCTCTGTGTGTTTCTCTTTCTCTTCTAGTACTAAGCGAAGGCGCGTGCACGAGTTTATCCTGCAGAGAGACTCGTGCACGCGCAGATGGAGTGTGGACAGAGAACATCCTCAACGTGCTCGTCACTTGAATAGGATTAATTAATAGGATTACTTTAAAAACTTTATTTGCACTTTCTCTTTACCTATAGACGCATAAGAGCATCACGAGGCCCTCAAGAGGAAGCAGCTGACTCCGGTGACATGGGGGGTAAAAAGGGAGCAGGATGGGAACGTGTGACATGTTATTGGATGGAAATAAACGGCCTCACGTTGTAGTCAAAAGGAAAACTTGCGTCTGTGTTCGTTTCCACGCTCCTACACTATGGTGAATAATTGTTAGATTAGTCGACTAATCAGAAAAATAATTGATTGATTAATAGATTACAAAAATAATCGTTAGTTGCAGCCCTAGCGCTTGTGACCTCGTACTTTGTAAATAAAAAGGAACGCTGGTGGGGAAACACCTGAGACAATGACAAGGATTAAAGTGTTAGGGGACTAAGAATCACAGTTGAATAAACAAATTTTGACTCACAAATGTTCATAAGTATATGATTAATAGCATTTATTGTGTAAACCAGTGATAAGGAGTTGTTTAAGGCAAACTTCTGGTTTCACTTCTTAAAAGTCTTACTTGTAACGATAATAATCATCTTTCTTGCATGGACAAAATATACATGACACAAAGAACCAAGCAGGCGTCACATTTTAGATTGTTAGAATAAAGAATCAGGAAAATCTAAATAGGAAAATGGCCGATAACATGATAACTGCACTATTTGGTAGTTATTCTAAATAGAATATGAGACCGATTCAGAGACGGGAACAACATGTTTAGCTTCAGCTGTTTATTTCTTTTTAGATAATTCGTTGTTTCTTATGATGACCGCGTTACAATTTAATAACAATACATTCATCACAAAGCAAAGCGTGCCACCTAGTGGACAGCAGGTCTCACTTCACCCGGATTGGAAGCAGCAGAGCTGGAGCTCTACAGAAGAGCCTCTGGACGAGTGTCCTCTGTGGTGGACGTGTTTGACTGATTGCTGTTGTGGAGACAGTTGTGTGGGCCGACAGTTGAATAAAGCACGCTGTCCCTCAGCATGAAGGTGCTGTACGGCGCGATGGCTTCTGCCTCCTGCAGAGAGACACGTGACTTTAATAACAGGAGTGAAGCCAGATGAAAAACATGAATGTGTTTGTAAAAGAGAGGTGACATTGTTTCCGCACCGTGTTTTCAGGAGTGTGCGGTGGTTCTGTTTGTCTTCTGATGGGTCAGAAAACAATGCATTAGTAACTCATCTTCGTTTCCTCTATTCTAAGTACCATGGAAACAAATGAAGGACATCGTCTTCCCCCATCGCTTCTGACAGTAAAGTGCTGCAATTTATGACTGCAGCACATTTGAAGTATTATATTTATACAGTTAAATATGTCTGATGCTGCTAAATTATTCCCAATAGGTGTATTACAGTATTAAACTCACCTGTGACGTTTTCCCCTGTAGATCAACCCAAAGATAACTGCAGTTATACAGATGACTGTTGTTGCACCGATCAACGCGTTTAGAAGCCGCGTGTGTGACGTCACGCCGCTCTCTCTCTCTTCTTCCCCTGAAACATCGTAAAGAAAAAGCTCTTTGTCAGAAACATGACGGCTATTTACTCTGTAAAAAGGTAAAACGTATGAAATGGGTTTACCTTCTACGGTGATATTCAGATGGAGGAAATGCGTCTCGCCCCCACGTGAACACTCACAGGTGTAGTTCCCACTGTCCACTGGTGTGAGACCAGTCAGGTGGAGAAACACGGTCTGATTCTCCATCTTAAGAGTGAACCTGGAGTCACATTCGTTCTCAAAGTCTCCTCCGTATCGATACAGCAGACGACACTCTGCTCCAGTCCTGTTAGTTCTGATCTTACACAGTATGAGCGTTATGATCTCTGTTGTATTACTGCAGATGGGAGTGACGTCAGGTCCTCTCCCGATGGTTTTAAATTCACTCACTGCAAACAATAGTAAGTTAAAGATTGCTATATTTTTAAAGAAAAAACACTTGATTGTATAATGCATTGCGTGTTTGTTCTTGTTACCTTCAGAGTTAAAGCAAACCGGGAGGTACAGCAGCAGAACAAAGCACAGTTTCCATCCCGACATGCTGGTCCACCTGCAACTAAAGCTGCAACTGAAGCTGCACGTGCACTGAAGGGAGGTGGACGCACCGTGAACCTCATACTCTACAATAAGAGGTACGAAAAAGGAAGTGCTGCTTCGGGAGCTTCTACTTTCACACCGACACACTGTGAGACTCTCATCAGCTGTGGAGGGCCGGACCGAACAGAGTAAAGTGTAAAGCTGCATCATTTGGGTCACAATGTACTTAAGAAACGTGAGCTTGAGCTGTGAATAGAAGCTTGTGGTGTTTAGATTAGTTCATGTGACGGGAAGGTTGAAACTTTTAGGGATATTCACCCCTCAATTAGCATTAATCAACATGATTAAAAGAAACTAAATTATTCTCTTTGTACAATATTAAGGATTTTTATTGTGACAATCAGAAAGGTCCCAACTCATAACAAGGTGTGTGAATGTTCAAAACATTAGTACAAGAGAAATAATGTGTTACTCCCTTTATTGCATTTCATAATCCTTCAACCACTGCTTTACTTTCATACAGAGTATTTAAAAACAAAGTAGTAACTTAAAAGGTTACATTTCATTACCAAATGGAAAATACAGATTTTTAAGATCCTCCTGTGTGTACTTGTTAAAATATCTCTTGACACGTGTTATTGGACACAGTCACCGACAAGCAACATTTCAGTGATAAACGTGTTTTCAGACAATGAATCTTGAATATTTTGTGCAGTGAAAGAGGACAGAGAACAGTTACACTGATCCCAGTGAAATGTCACTCAAAAGGACCTTCAGCTCATTCAACATCTACTTAAATCACATCTTATTGCAAGAAATCATGATTAAGTACAAACACAAGTCACAGTCCTCGTGTTGCTTACGGAGTCATATTTTCATAAGTGTCCTGGCAACTTTGATCAGAGTTTCCTCCGTCTACTTCCTGGTCTTTAGAGCCTCTTGAGTGGCAGATCGTCTGGTAAAGGTCAGCGGCTGGTTGCTGGAGGCTCGTATACGGGTCATCTGGGTCGTCTTCAACCTACGAGACAAGATATTCTCACTGTGATACTGACTTGTTACCACGGAAACGTCAGCTTGTCAATAAGCGGTTGGAGGTCACATGAGGGAGTTTAAAAAGGTACAGATGATTAAAAAGGCGACTTTACTCACAGAGTCGTGAGTCTCACGTACAGATGACCGCGACCTTTTAAATTAGAAGTCATCAGTTAGTGCACCACAAAACACACACACACACACATTTATTTTAGTCTCACCCAAGAAGTTTTCTTTTGCTGATCAACCCAAAGATGAGTCCAGCTACAGAGATAACAGTAAACTGCTGTGGTGCCTTTGAAGTCTCTTAAACATCTACTTTAACTTAACAAATTGTATTTAAAAGAAGTGTTTTCACCACAACGTATATTTTTACAGTTAAATATGTCTAATGCTGCTAAATTATTCCCAATAGGTGTATTACAGTATTAAACTCACCTGTGACGTTTTCCCCTGTAGATCAACCCAAAGATAACTGCAGTTATACAGATGACTGTTGTTGCACCGATCAGCGCGTTTAGAAGCCGCGTGTGTGACGTCACGCCGCTCTCTCTCTCTTCTTCCCCTGAAACATCGTAAAGAAAAAGCTCTTTGTCAGAAACATGACGGCTATTTACTCTGTAAAAAGGTAAAACGTATGAAATGGGTTTACCTTCCACGGTGATATTCAGATGGAGGGTAACGGTCTCGCCCACACGTGAACACTCACAGGTGTAGTTCCCACTGTCCACTGGTGTGAGACCAGTCAGGTGGAGAAACACGGTCTGATTCTCCAACTTAAGAGTAAACCTGGAGTCACATTCGTGCTCAAAGTCTCCTCCGTATCGATACAGCAGACGACACTCTGCTCCAGTCCTGTTAGTTCTGATCTTACACACTATGAGCGTTATGACCTCTGTTGCATTGCTGCAGATGGGAGTGACGTCAGGTCCTCTCCCGATGGTTTTAAATTCACTCACTGCAAACAATAGTAAGTTAAAGATTGCTATATTTTTAAAGAAAAAAACACTTGATTGTATGATGCATTGTGTGTTTGTTGTTGTTACCTTCAGAGTTAAAGCAAACCGGGAGGTACAGCAACAGAACAAAGCACAGTTTCCATCCCGACATACTGGTCCACCTGCAACTAAAGCTGCAACTGAAGCTGCAACTGAAGCTGCACGTGCACTGAAGGGAGGTGGACGCACCGTGAACCTCATACTCTACAATAAGAGGTGCGAAAAAGGAAGTGCTGCTTCGGGAGCTTCTACTTTCACACCGACACACTGTGAGACTCTCATCAGCTGTGGAGGGCCGGACCGAACAGAGTAAAGTGTAAAGCTGCATCATTTGGGTCACAATGTCCTTAAGAAACGTGAGCTTGAGCTGTGAATAGAAGCACCACAAACTTGGCGACGAGGATGGGATGGACGCGTGATCTGGACTCTGACGGACGGACAGGAGGCCATATAGTATAGGTGATTCCTCCCTGAGGGTGAGAAGCTGCCGTCCCAACGAGACCCGGATAACCGATCCATTCCAGTTCAAGAAAAGAAACGAAGAACACGCAGTGAGAGATCAAAATTATTTTAAGACAGACAGAGTCATGACAAAAGTGTTTTAGGCCTATCTCACAACGAGTGTGTTGTAGGCAGACGTGTCTGGGTCACCTGTAGTATTTTCTCGAGTTGCATATCCTGTGTCTCCTGAAAATTCACAGGCCAACTTTGGATAAATGCAGTAGACTGAGTGACCAGAGAAAGCAACGGTCAACTGACTTGCCTTAGTTATCCGTTTGTGCGCACCTTTATAGGCGCGTACACTCCTTGTGTACAGATACGGATATCTAAATGAGTAGTGTTCAGAGTAAAGGGGAGACGGGTGATAACCATGAGACTAATATCCTGCAACCATTGTGTAAATTTATGTCAGAGCGTTATCCTGGCAGTTTGAATCAAATACAAAAATGGGCTGAATTGGGGTTTCCTTCAAAGGGGAGTTTGAGTGAGAATCAATTGGAACAGTTGGAATTGCAACTGAGGGAAAAGGAGAAGAACGATGCAGCTCAGCATGCAGGCCTGTCGGGAAGAAAGCAGAAGAAGAATGTGGTATTTAAGGCAGATTGGGAAGCTTTCAAGATGTGAGATCAAGTATGAGTCGGAGAGATGGGAGAGACAGAGGTTGGTAGCATTTAATTCATTAAAGACCGAAGATCCTACAAAAAGTTTTGAAACGTGTACCCCTTCTAACCCCAAAACACTTTATCCTTGTTTTTATGAGTTCCTGAGGAGATTGGTGGACACGGATCTGGACTCCCCCCCCCCCCTCACTGCTACTCCAGCTCCCGCCTTCATGAGCCCGCAGTCTCCTCAGCAGGAAGCAGCACAAGCAAACCTTCCTCGGTTTGACAACAGCCCACCAGGAGGGAAGCCAGATTCAACCTCCAACACCAGCCACATGACCTTTTCACCTACTGTGACCCGCTCGCAGGCTCAACAAAGGCGGGCCTTGCTCAGAGAAGGAAAAAAAACGTTGTTCGATCCTGCAGCTTCTTTTCCAGTGGAAGGGGCGCAAGGGCCGATGATGGTCTTCAGACCCTGGTCAGATGCCGATGTGACCAAGGCAATGAGCCACGTCTGCAGTCCTAAGGACAATCTTGCTAAGTGGGAGATTGATCTTCAGCAATTTGTCACAAAATACCATCCTAGCATGTCAGAGCTGCGGCATCTGATGTGCAGACTTCTGACACATGACTATCACAAAGTTCAGAGTGTGTTCAACACCACAAGAATGGCTGCTCGCCTTAAAGATCCTGATTGTGAGCATGGCACGGATGTGGACATTAAAAGTGCTGTAGATGCTCTCATTGTGTTGGTAAAAGAAACTTTTCCTCTGAGACTGAACCTGTCCATCGTCACCTCTATGACACAAGGGCCACAAGAAACATGCAGCTCATTCCTGGGACGCCTGACGACAGCTTTTGACATCCACAGTGGCCTCAAGCGACCTGATCCAATGGGGGCACAGCCCCTGATGCCATATGAAGTCCATCTGAAAGAACATTTTATAGGCAGAATGAGACCTGAACTTAAACGGATGGTGAAAAGATCATGTGCAACCTGGAAAACGTGTGCTCTTGCAGACATCCTTCAGCACGCTGAACACGCTGAAGATGAGTTACACAAGGAAGAGGACAAACTAAAAGGTTTTGAAAAGGCTCAGTATGCGATGTTTACGTGCTTGCAGTGCCAACAATTTGTCCAAGGCCAACGTGGAAGAGGTTATGGAAGAGCTCGTGGCAGAGGCAGATCAGATCGGACTTACGGGAGTTATGATCCAAGCGTGTGTTACAACTGTGGACAGCAAGGACATTGGCGAGCAGAGTGTCCTGAGCACATGAGGATGAGACACATCACACGTCTGACTGAGGGAGGCAGAGGGAGGGGCGGACCCCAGAGACGGATCACCCCACCACGATGAGAAAGTAACACACCCTACACAAGCTCATAAACGAAACAAATAGCTAACACAACCACACACACACACACACACACACACATCTTAGATTACAGGTCGAGTAACTAACTCATTTTTATATTTAGAAATTCCCATAATTGACATTGATGATTTCTTGCCATCCGGTAACGCTTGTAGTTGACTCAAGAGCATTTGGCATTGTGTTTGAGCTCAACATCAGATGGCATTTACAAAAAAAAAAGACTAAATTGCAATTATTTTAGATGTTCAACTACAGTCCAAAAACCCTCCCGTATGTATATGGATGAAAACTATTAGCATACCTTGATGCATAAATTACTCATGACCGTGTACAAATTGCGCGTACACACACAGTAGAATATTACATGCATGAACATTACATTGCACATCCCATGTAAGCACAGGGCGAGATAGAAGGTATGTGGACGTATGGCATGACCAAAAGTTGGAGAAAGAGAGATTGTGGTTGAAGTATGTGTATTGGTCAGAGGAGGCTACTGCGGTGTCTGTATCTCTCTCTCCTTCCCAAAGGAAAAAAGGTGTTTCTTGATTCTACTCTATGTTTCATTGGCTAAACCATCTCACTGGGATACAGGATCTTGGTCCATGGTTGCAACAGCGTCTCGGCCTAAAGTTCAGACCGGGTGCAGAGGATCCTCATGAAGAGTATAGCGCTAGTGGTAATGTAGATCGCACTACGTTGATCACAATGGTAAGTGTACACAGAACAGTAGAGCTCGTTGAGGAATACACACAACACGCAGACTTGTATAGCCTCCCAAACAAGAAGACATAAGTTTGTTTTGTTTTTTTTCTTTTTTGGGCGCGGCTATAAATGGATAGGATGTCCAGTGGGTTACCACAGAAGTCAGGTGTATTCCACAGAAGCGCTTAGGAACATCTACATAATTTATAACTCCCTGCAGGGTCGGCCCATCTAAATTATGTGGCTGATATGATGATTTGCAGCCCATCAAAGGAGGCTTGTAAAATTGACACAATTTCGCTACTTAAACATTTGGCAGAGAACGGACATGAGGCTTGCCTACGAAAAACTTAAATTTGCTCTAGAACAAGTGACGTATCTGGGACATGTGATCACAGCTGAGGGCAAAATCCCTCTCTCCCAAACGTATTGGGGCAATTCAATTGGTACCAAAAACAAAACAAAACAAAAAACGAATGATGAGTTATTTGGGGATGATTTCATACTGTAGAAAGTGGATCCCAAATTATTCGGAAAGAGAGGCACCTCTCTCGTTCATGGTCCATGATAAAGGCCTCAGCGCGCATGACAAACTGACTTGGACTACTGAAGCTGAAAAGGCTTGTTAGGACATAAAGACTTCCTTATCACAGGCCCCGACTTTGGGCCTACCGAGACCCGACTTACCGTAGACTCAGTTCATAGACCAGAAGGACTGTTACATGACATCAGTTTGTGTCATCTTCATGGAGGGGAACTTAGGCCTGTTTCCTACTTCTCCTCAAAACTTGACCCTGTTGCTTCGGGTCTTCCTCTCTGTTTGCGAGCAGTGGCAGCAGCCGAGAGAGAGATTTTAGCATCATGTGACATTATGGGCTTCTGTGATGTGACACTTCTGTCTTGCAGCAGACATTCATACCAAGGCCTGATCTGTTGGACACAGCTCTTCCCAATGCAGATCTTTAGCTGTTTGTGGACGGCTCTGCTTCTCGCTCACCCGAAACAGGCGGCGGCCAGGAAACAGGGGAGCGGATGCAGCGGCAAAGAAGGCAGCCTCACAGGGCTTCCTTTTCCCCTTCACTCAAATGCTTTCCACACCGACCGATCCTAGTCCTTATGCCGATCTTCCCACAATTCAGTCTCTTGCCGGTGCACAGGAGCATTCCCTGTGGAAACGATCTGGTGCCATTCTTGAGGGCGGAATCTGGACAGGGCCAGACAGTGGGCCTTGTTTGCCACATGCTCTCTTCCACATTTATGCTAAGTTGTCTCATGGAAGAGATCACGTGGGCAAAGGGGGGATGTGCACTGCTATAAATGAGCATGCTGAGATATTGTGCTAACCTCTCCCCCTCACTCTCAGCACTGCACGGGCAGGTAAAAGCGGTACTTCCATCCCCGGCTACTGCAGTCCAGCACCACCTGAAACCAGGAGACTGGGTCCTCATTAAGGGTCACCGGAGAAAGCACTAGAAGCAGAGACGCTACACAGGACCCTTCCAAGTACTCCTGACCACGGAGACAGCAGTTAAGGTGGAAGGGAAAGCGACGTGGGTCCACGCCAGCCACTGCAAACGCATCCCGGATCCAGGAGACGAAGGAGCACCTCCATCTGGTTCCGGTTAAGGGGTTGTAGGGTGGAGAGCCCTCCCCCACTGCAGTGTTCCAAGACACCAACGAGCCCGTTAGAGATGGCAGAGACGGCAGAGACAGCAAGGACGGCAGCCACCCGGAGAAAAGCGATAAAAGACAGATCTCCAGCGCCAAAGGACACTTAGGAAGCATGGTTGGCGCCTGAGAATGAACATGTGCATATTCCTGACGCTGGCCACATTTGTGCTGATTTCCCTCACAATCAATGAGTTACAACCCCCTTATGTGAAGATCACGGATTCCAGCCTTCTCCACCTCTCCAATAGAGAATTTTAGGAAGGGAAAATAAGCTTCCACTGTCCAGCAAAACAATGCGACGAGACGAGTGTTTGCTCTACACAATCGAACATGATGCATAGGTTAAAATAGAAAGCCACGTAACTGAAGTTGTGTGTGTTGCCGGGGTAAGAAGAGATAGAGTATGTACTGTGTGGGTGCACGGAACATTTGATTTAGCAGATGCACCATTCTGGTGCAGTAAACCACGATCGTGTCAGTGAGACACAGCCTAAAACAGTACCACCTGAAATAATTTACGAGGCCGTTAAACCACAGGCCATGACCTCCCGCAGGCCAGAACAGCCCCCCACTAAAGCACTTGGAGGCAAAGGTTGATCTCTTTCAAATGTCCAAAAGGGGGGGTGTGGAAAGGAGGGTTGCAAAGCTCACATGTTACGGCTGAGCACGCCGCACTCAGGTCACTGGTCAGTCCTGAACTCAGAGGACTTTAGGACTCAGTGTCAGACAAACGACACTTGCACAGTGACTCTAAGTCCTAAATATGACACAAGTTGGGATAACCCGTTCTGGTGCGCTCAACTTGCAGACTGTACGACGGAGCCAGCCCACTTCACACGGCTAGATTGGCAGTATGCGTGCAAAGTAAGCCTACAGTTAAGAGAACTTCCAACCCGTACACCACCGTACGAGCATGACAATATTGCGTTGACTATTGTGAATGACCTTGCTAACGAAAGGAATGTCTAATTGTTGGATATGTCAGCATATGCCCACTTCATCTAGAGCACCTATGCTGGTTCCTGTTCCATTCACGGAAGCCGAGGGGTGGCCTGAGCTATCTCATCGATTTGTGAGTAATGATAAAGACGGTATTAATCAAGTGATGTTGCTTAGATTAACCTATTACAAAAGATATGTCTAACAGGGGTTACGATATCAAGTGCAAATGACTCTCAGGGAGACCAATTGCACACCGGACAGTAAGGTGTTAAAAAACCCCGCATGTACTCTCATACCAAATACAGCATCTATTCGATTGGAGATGGGCATACAGGGCATCCCCTGGGCAAATGATTTTAAAGTCACACACTCAACCTGGAGTAGACATAATTGTAGTAAACCTTAATCCCAACTAGACCTCAGAGTAGAGATTGTACCAAACCAGCACCTCCCATTCCGGTCCATCCCTTAACCAACGTCAGCTGCTGTATTAACTTCTGTGCTCTGGATGGATTTCATCTCGGTACGAGTGACTGTAGTTATGATATTATCAGCTTTACCACTGAATCCAAAGATCTCGCTTTACCGGAGCAGGTTTATTTAGTTTGTGGCAACATTGCTTATAGCTGTGTTCCAGTCATAGGGAACCTTCACAAAAAGTCAGATACTGGGAAATGCTTTTCAGCATACCTTGTACCCCTAATTAGACAGGCTGACTCCAAGGAACTTTCTCCATTACATGTACGTCATAAACGTGCCATTTCAATAGGTTCAAGGATTTTGAGCATACTAATACCATCGTATGGCACCTACAGGAGCCAGGAGGAAATAATGGCACTCTCAACAGTACTGGAAAGACACAGGAATAAGACTTCAAAGGCACTTTCCGAAATGCAAAAGGAAGTAAATGACATCAAACACATGGTATTACAAAATAGAAGGGCTCTGGACCTCGTTTTGGCCTCGCAAGGCGGGGTATGCAAGATAATTAACAGTGAATGTTGCACTTACATCTCTGTTGCAACATCGCAGTTTATGATGTGGTGACAGACACAGAGCAAGGCATTAAGGAATCGCTCGAAGACCACGGATGGAATCCTTTTGGGGAAATGCAGGCATGGGTTGGATCATGGGGAACTTCTCTCTTCTAGGAACTGCCATGGCATCATTTTGTCTGTAATTATTATAACCCTAATTGTAACTGTTTTAAAGCTCTTTGTAAGGAAGGTTGTCAGTACTTATGTATCAGTTGAACACATGAGTATTACTACGCAGCGTCTAGTTCAGAAATGGACTCCACCATCCGGATAGCCTTGACAGGGACAACGAATGTGAATATTGTGTGTAACTGGACGATATTTCATGTGTTGGTGGTTTAAGTAAATGTTCTCATGTACTTTGAGTTAATGATGTATGTTCTACGGTTTTTTATGTTTAATTTTTCATTCTTGATTTTGAATTGATCGTTTAACGTTTTCCTGATTTCTTAGTTGTCAAAGAATGACAAAAAGAGAGGGATGTCGGGGGAGAATTTGTTGAGGTGCATGTTGTGAGAGTCTCAAGAACTTGTATGTGACCTGACCTAGTCTACGATGAAATCCATATGTGGCTTGGGCAGATCATGTTCTTCTATTTACCTTTCTCCTGTGTTTTCCTGTCTGTCAAAATGATCGACTTGGTCCCACTAAGAGGGTCGTGGAGGTTCCCGAAACAACATCTGGTTAGCTTTCCTCGAACCTTCAGAGATGTATAAAAGCTCCTCGTCCCCCATAGAAACTTTGTCAGATCTTCCTGCTCCTTTTGGGGGAAGGAACTTTCTGTCCCTTTTCAGCTGAATTGTAGTCATTTGACTTCTGTCTGTGCTTACGGCTTGTGCTGATGATCTCTGTATTCTTTATCATTTTTCTACATTCTAGTTAGTAATAAATACTTAATCACAAAGCAAGCTCAAGATACTTTTGATTTCTCACATGGGCTAAATCCACAAATTTCCACCACAGTTACCTTCAGAGTTAAAGCAAACCGGGAGGTACAGCAGCAGAACAAAGCACAGTTTCCATCCCGACATGCTGGTCCACCTGCAACTAAAGCTGCAACTGAAGCTGCAACTGAAGCTGCAACTGAAGCTGCACGTGCACTGAAGGGAGGTGGACGCACCGTGAACCTCATACTCTACAATAAGAGGTGCGAAAAAGGAAGTGCTGCTTCGGGAGCTTCTACTTTCACACCGACACACTGTGAGACTCATCAGCTGTGGAGGGCCGGACCGAACAGAGTAAAGTGTAAAGCTGCATCATTTGGGTCACAATGTACTTAAGAAACCTGAAACTATGAAAACGATAAACATTGATAATAATCATGGCTAAAAGAATGTCATGCTGTCGGTCCAGCAGCTCCCCCTGTGTTTGTTTGCTTTGCCCGTGTTTTCCCGTCTCTGCAAGGAGGCGTGGTCTCCCCCTGTTCACCCCCGAAGGGTGTGGCTGGAACAGCTGACGGCAATCAGCCATCAGGGGACTCTCCTCCATCAACCCGGGTCTCCCTGCCATTCAGCGCCAGATCGTTCCGTCGTCAGAGAGTGCTCCAGGATCTCTCCCTGCCCGCTCGCTCTCCGAGGCCAGTCTCCACTCCAGACTCAACTCTGCCCTGTTCACCTTTTTAAGTGTATATGTCTGAATAAACACATTATTTTCCAGGCGGAAGAACCTCCCCTGTGTGCTGCGCTTGGGTCCACGCCCATCTGCCTCACCATAACAAAGGTCCATAATTCTTCTCTTTGTACAATATTAAGGACTTTTATTGTGACAATCAGAAAGGTCCCAACTCATAACAAGGTGTGTGAATGTTCAAAACATTAGTACAAGAGAAATAATGTGTTATTCCCTTTATTGCATTTCATAATCCTTCAACCACTGCTTTACTTTCATAGAGAGTATTTAAAAACAAAGTAGTAACTTAAAAGGTTACATTTCATTACCAAGAGGAAAATACAGATTTTTAAGATCCTCCTGTGTGTACTTGTTAAAATATCTCTTGACACTTGTTATTGGACACAGTCACCGACAAGCAACATTTTAGTGATAAACGTGTTTTCAGACAATGAATCTTGAATATTTTGTGCAGTGAAAGAGGACAGAGAACAGTTACACTGATCCCAGTGAAATGTCACTCAAAAGGACCTTCAGCTCATTCAACATCTACTTAAATCACATCTTATTGCAAGAAATCATGATCAAGTACAAACACAAGTCACAGTCCTCGTGCTGCTTACGGAGTCATATTTTCATAAGTGTCCTGGCAACTTTGATCAGAGTCTCCTCTGTCTACTTCCTGGTCTTTAGAGCCTCTTGAGTGGGAGATCGTCTGGTAAAGGTCAGCGGCTGGTTGCTGGAGGCTCGTATACGGGTCATCTGGGTCGTCTTCAACCTACGAGAGAAGATATTCTCACTGTGATACTGACTTGTTACCACGGAAACGTCAGCTTGTCAATAAGCGGTTGGAGGTCACATGAGGGAGTTTAAAAAGGTACAGATGATCAAAAAGGCGACTTTACTCACAGAGTCGTGAGTCTCACGTACAGATGACCGCGACCTTTTAAATTAGAAGGCATCAGAGTTAGTGCACCACAAAACACACACACACACACACACACACACACACACACATTTATTTTAGCCTCACCCAAGTTTTCTTTTGCAGATCAACCCAAAGATGAGTCCAGCTACAGTGATAACAGTAAACTGCTGTGGTGCCTTTGAAGTCTCTTAAACATCTACTTTAAATTGTATTTAAAAGAAGTGTTTTCACCACAACGTATATTTATACAGTTAAATATGTCAAATGTTGCTAAATTATTCCCAATAGGTGTATTACAGTATTAAACTCACCTGTGACGTTTTCCCCTGTAGATCAACCCAAAGATAACTGCAGTTATACAGATGACTGTTGTTGCACCGATCAGCGCGTTTAGAAGCCGCGTGTGTGACGTCACGCCGCTCTCTCTCTCTTCTTCCCCTGAAACATCGTAAAGAAAAAGCTCTTTGTCAGATACATGACGGCTATTTACTCTGTAAAAAGGTAAAACGTATGAAATGGGTTTACCTTCCACGGTGATATTCAGATGGAGGGTAACGGTCTCGCCCCGATATGAACACTCACAGGTGTAGTTCCCACTGTCCACTGGTGTGAGACCAGTCAGGTGGAGAAACACGGTCTGATTCTCCATCTTAAGAGTGAACCTGGAGTCACATTCGTGCTCAAAGTCTCCTCCGTATCGATACAGCAGACGACACTCTGCTCCAGTCCTGTTAGTTCTGATCTTACACACTATGAGCGTTATGATCTTCTCTGTTGTATTGCTGCAGATGGGAGTGACGTCAGGTCCTCTCCCGATGGTTTTAAATTCACTCACTGCAAATCAGTCAATTGAAGATTACAAAAAACAATTCTCCATTTTCACAAATTGTAAGTAAGAGATTGCTATATTTTTAAAGAAAAAACATTCTTTTGTATGATGCATTGCATGTTTGTTGTTGTTACCTTCAGAGTTAAAGCAAACCGGGAGGTACAGCAACAGAACAAAGCACAGTTTCCATCCCGACATACTGGTCCCCTGCAACTAAAGCTGCAACTGAAGCTGCAACTGAAGCTGGCACGTGCACTGACACACTGTGAGACTCTCATCAGCTGTGGAGGGCCGGACCGAACAGAGTAAAGTGTAAAGCTGCATCATTTGGGTCACAATGTCCTTAAGAAACGTGAAACTATGAAAGACAAACATTGATAATAATCATGGCTAAAAGAATGTCATGCTGTCGGTCCAGCAGCTCCCCCTGTGTTTGTTTGCTTTGCCCGTGTTTTCCCCTGTCTCTGCAAGGAGGTGAGGTCTCCCCCTGTTCACCCCCGAAGGGTGTGGCTGGAACAGCTGACGGCAATCAGCCATCAGGGGACTCTCCTCCATCAACCCGGGTCTCCCTGCCATTCAGCGCCAGATCATTCCGTCGTCAGAGAGTGCTGCAGGATCCCTCCCTGCACGCCCGCTCTCCGAGGCCAGTCTCCCCTCCAGACTCAACTCTGCCCTGTTCACCTTTTTATGTGTATATGTCTGAATAAACACATTATTTTCCAGGCGGAAGAACCTCCCGTGTGCTGCGCTTGGGTCCACGCCCGTCTGCCTCACCATAACAAAGGTCCATAATTCTTCTCTTTGTACAATATTAAGGACTTTTATTGTGACAACCAGAAAGGTCCCAACTCATAACAAGGTGTGTGAATGTTCAAAACATTAGTACAAGAGAAATAATGTGTTATTCCCTTTATTGCATTTCCTAATCCTTCAACCACTGCTTTAGTTTCATACAGAGTATTTAAAAACAAAGTAGTAACTTAAAAGGTTACATTTCATTACCAAATGGAAAATACAGATTTTTAAGATCCTCCTGTGTGTACTTGTTAAAATATCTCTTGACACGTGTTATTGGACACAGTCACCGACAAGCAACATTTCAGTGATAAACGTGTTTTCAGACAATGAATCTTGAATATTTTGTGCAGTGAAAGAGGACAGAGAACAGTTACACTGATCCCAGTGAAATGTCACTCAAAAGGACCTTCAGCTCATTCAACATCTACTTAAATCACATCTTATTGCAAGAAATCATGATTAAGTACAAACACAAGTCACAGTCCTCGTGCTGCTTGCGGAGTCATATTTTCATAAGTGTCCTGGCAACTTTGATCAGAGTCTCCTCCGTCTACTTCCTGGTCTTTAGAGCCTCTTGAGTGGGAGATCGTCTGGTAAAGGTCAGCGGCTGGTTGCTGGAGGCTCGTATACGGGTCATCTGGGTCGTCTTCAACCTACGAGAGAAGATATTCTCACTGTGATACTGACTTGTTACCATGGAAACGTCAGCTTGTCAATAAGCGGTTGGAGGTCACATGAGGGAGTTTAAAAAGGTACAGATGATCAAAAAGGCGACTTTACTCACAGAGTCGTGAGTCTCACGTACAGATGACCGCGACCTTTTAAATTAGAAGTCAGCAGAGTTAGTGCACCACAAAACACACACACACACACATTTATTTTAGTCTCACCCAAGAAGTTTTCTTTTGCTGATCAACCCAAAGATGAGTCCAGCTACAGTGATAACAGTAAACTACTGTGGTGCCTTTGAAGTCTCTTAAACATCTACTTTAACTTAACAAATTGTATCTAAAAGAAGTGTTTTCACCACAACGTATATTTATACAGTTAAATATGTCAAATGTTGCTAAATTATTCCCAATAGGTGTATTACAGTATTAAACTCACCTGTGACGTTTTCCCCTGTAGATCAACCCAAAGATAACTGCAGTTATACAGATGACTGTTGTTGCACCGATCAGCGCGTTTAGAAGCCGCGTGTGTGACGTCACGCCGCTCTCTCTCTCTTCTTCCCCTGAAACATCGTAAAGAAAAAGCTCTTTGTCAGATACATGACGGCTATTTACTCTGTAAAAAGGTAAAAAGTATGAAATGGGTTTACCTTCCACGGTGATATTCAGATGGAGGGTAACGGTCTCGCCCCGATATGAACACTCACAGGTGTAGTTCCCACTGTCCACTGGTGTGAGACCAGTCAGGTGGAGAAACACGGTCTGATTCTCCATCTTAAGAGTGAACCTGGAGTCACATTCGTTCTCAAAGTCTCCTCCGTGTCGATACAGCAGACGACACTCTGCTCCAGTCCTGTTAGTTCTGATCTTACACACTATGATTGTTATGATCTCTGTTGCATTGCTGCAGATGGGAGTGACGTCAGGTCCTCTCCCGATGGTTTTAAATTCACTCACTGCAATCAATAGTAAGTTAAAGATTGCTATATTTTTAAAGAAAAAACACTTGATTGTATGATGCATTGCGTGTTTGTTCTTGTTACCTTCATAGTTAAAGCAAAGCGGGAGGTACAGCAGCAGAACAAAGCACAGTTTCCATCCCGACATGCTGGTCCACCTGCAACTGAAGCTGCAACTGAAGCTGCACGTGCACTGAAGGGAGGTGGACGCACCGTGAACCTCATACTCTACAATAAGAGGTGCAAAAAAGGAAGTGCTGCTTCGGGAGCTTCTACTTTCACACCGACACACTGTGAGACTCTCATCAGCTGTGGAGGGCCGGACCGAACAGAGTAAAGTGTAAAGCTGCATCATTTGGGTCACAATGTCCTTAAGAAACGTGAAACTATGAAAAGACAAACATTGATAATAATCATGGCTAAAAGAATGTCATGCTGTCGGTCCAGCAGCTCCCCCTGTGTTTGTTTGCTTTGCCCGTGTTTTCCCCTGTCTCTGCAAGGAGGTGAGGTCTCCCCCTGTTCACCCCCGAAGGGTGTGGCTGGAACAGCTGACGGCAATCAGCCATCAGGGGACTCTCCTCCATCAACCCGGGTCTCCCTGCCATTCAGCGCCAGATCATTCCGTCGTCAGAGAGTGCTGCAGGATCCCTCCCTGCACGCCCGCTCTCCGAGGCCAGTCTCCCCTCCAGACTCAACTCTGCCCTGTTCACCTTTTTATGTGTATATGTCTGAATAAACACATTATTTTCCAGGCGGAAGAACCTCCCGTGTGCTGCGCTTGGGTCCACGCCCGTCTGCCTCACCATAACAAAGGTCCATAATTCTTCTCTTTGTACAATATTAAGGACTTTTATTGTGACAACCAGAAAGGTCCCAACTCATAACAAGGTGTGTGAATGTTCAAAACATTAGTACAAGAGAAATAATGTGTTACTCCCTTTATTGCATTTCCTAATCCTTCAACCACTGCTTTAGTTTCATACAGAGTATTTAAAAACAAAGTAGTAACTTAAAAGGTTACATTTCATTACCAAATGGAAAATACAGATTTTTAAGATCCTCCTGTGTGTACTTGTTAAAATATCTCTTGACACGTGTTATTGGACACAGTCACCGACAAGCAACATTTTAGTGATAAACGTGTTTTCAGACAATGAATCTTGAATATTTTGTGCAGTGAAAGAGGACAGAGAACAGTTACACTGATCCCAGTGAAATGTCACTCAAAAGGACCTTCAGCTCATTCAACATCTACTTAAATCACATCTTATTGCAAGAAATCATGATTAAGTACAAACACAAGTCACAGTCCTCGTGCTGCTTACGGAGTCATATTTTCATAAGTGTCCTGGCAACTTTGATCAGAGTCTCCTCCGTCTACTTCCTGGTCTTTAGAGCCTCTTGAGTGGCAGATGACCGCGATACTGCGCACATTGACCTTTTAAATTAGAAGGCATCAGAGTTAGTGCACCATAAAACACACACACAAAGATACACACACACACACATTCATATTAGTCTCACCCAAGTTTTCTTTTGCAGATCAAGCCAAAGATGAGTCCAGCTACAGTGATGGTCACACCGATTGAAGCACTTAGGATTGCCATGAAAGTAACACTGAAGATGAATCGCTCCACTAAAATGTCTGTAAATACAAGAAATGTTTGATCAATGACGTTGGTATTTACTCACTTTGTAGAGAAATATTATAATTTTGATATTTTGTAAGATTATATTGTTTGCTAATTAAAAACACTGCTGCTACTCACTAAAACACAACTTCTATGATCACAGATGTTAAATAAACTCTACACTCTCTGGTCTCTGCGACACACTTCGAGTGACGTTTCCTTTTACCTCAATAACAATGTGGTATTCTCTGATAAGCAGAACTGAATCACTCAAATTAAAGGTCATTTCAGGACCTTCAGCGTCCAAACACAAGCACAACGCCAGCAGAAGAACGCAACACAACTGCGTCGGCTGGTCCATGATGGTAGAGAGCCGTCAGAAGAGCTGCAGTCTGTAAGCGACGCTTACGAAGTGCAAACAATGGCCGCAGACCACATAACACATCTCTCCAGCCAGTGGGCCGCTGGTGCAGAGAGGTAGGAAGGAAGTGGAATGAGCAATGAGGAGCTTTACTGACATGAGGCCACATTTGGTTCAACTTTTATGTATCTGCACAATGTGACAAAGGCCTCTTTGGCCAAACAGATGCATTGAATTACTGTGAAAGTCTCACTCACCGTGGACAGAGACGTTGATGAGATGACTGACAATTCCTCCCGCTTCACACTGATACAAACCCGAGTCGTTTATGCCGACGTTTTGGAAGATCAATAATGACATCCCAACCAAATCTCCTAGACGTTTCCACTCTGTTTTAATGTGAGCGCTGCTGTTGATGCGGACATTATTCTCTTGTTTGTTCCAGGAGACTGAAGGCGTTGAATCACTGCAGAATTCAACTGTGCAGTTTATCCGAAGGTCTTCTCCCAGGAAAGTTTCAAAAACCGTGTTAAGGTTGACTTTAACTTCCATTTCACAACTTGTATCTTCATCTGCAAAATGAAAGCAAATAAAAACAGAAAAGGTTCATTCATCCTTATTCTACAGTTTAATGTAGCAATGTAACAATTAGGGCTTTTGGATAATTGAATGTTACAATTTATCAATTTATCCGCATACACAATTATATTGTTTAAATTGAAAAAATGAAAAGGACAAACACATAATCCCTCAAATTTCTCCCTAAATCTGTTCATTTTGAACTAAAGATTTGAATAGAAAGATGAAATACTGAGTGTATAAGCGTCACAGCTGGAGCTTTACCATCTCACATTAATGCTTATTTCAGGCAAGAGAAAATCATTCAAGACTGTAAATTAAAAATAAAACTTGTTGATGCTTCTTTAAGGAATCTGAATGTGAAGCTTTTTAGGACTTTTCAAGAGAATGTTTATGCAGCAAAACAAATGAAACACACGGAAACTGACATTTAACTTAGTAATAAATGGAAACACAATTTGCATGAAATGGAACTGAGAGTGACCCCCACCTGATGCACAGCGTCCCCAAGGGAACTTTAACCTTTGAATTGAAAAGGCAACTCTACTGCCGTAAAACTGGCAATATTAAACATGGGAGTCCTGCAGAGGAATGATACGCGACATACACAATTACTGAGGATAAAATAATAACTTACTGTCAGCTTTTAAGTCGAGAAGCATCCCTGCCAAGACGAAGGCATGCAGTACGGTCCAGCCGTGGTTGGGCCTCATGATGCCTCAGTCGCAGTCAGTCCAAGTGGGAAATGTTCTTCACATCATCATTTGGTTTATCAAACCACAGAAGTGCTGAAGGTGAAGCCACTTGGTTGCATGCTGCTTCCTCTTTCTGCTCTCTGCTCGCTCCCTTCCTACCTCGGGCTTAAAACCTCACTTTCTCATATATGGAAGTGTAGAGACGTAGTAAGATCCTTAACTGGAGTAAAAGTAAAGACACCTCACTATGAAAGTACTTGGCAAAATTAACTCAGATTAGGGTGTTACAGTATTATATAAGCCTTATTCACAACGTTTTGATTATTATTACTGATGCATTTAGCTGTCGTAGGCCTTTCTATATTGTACCATGACCATATAATCTTTTCCCCTGCATTATATTTCATAAGCAAAATAAAACATATGAAGGACGAAACATATCGGAAAAGTCCCATCTGTTCTTAAATGGTACTTTATGAACTTTGTTTACACTATTAGATTCATTTTATTGTATTCTTCCCCCCTATTATCCTTACAACAGCGCCATCGTGTGGCGCAGAGTGACGTCAAAGTAGTGCGACTGCGCAATCGCACCACCTTTACGTCATGACGTGAATCTCTGCCTCTCCTACGAGCCGAAAATGGCGGAGTATCTGGCATCCATTTTCGGCACAGAGAAAGACAAGTAAGTTTTATTTCATATTTATTCGAGAGGTCATCCAAACAAATACGCTTATAGGAAGTGCGCGCGCAGCTGTGATTCTCCATCGTCGGATGGGCTCTGTTCGTAGCCGCGGCGCTGCTGAATGCTCTCGTCAAGCTCACGTTAGCAACAGGAAGCTAACTCCTAGCTAGCACATTGAATGGAACTCAGGAAGGCACCTCGGCTAGCGGTTAACCTGCTTCCGTGAGCTGTTGGCTTGTGCCAAAACGTGCCATTTGATAGCGTGTTCTACGGTGTGTTGATACATCCGTGAATATCCGACGCATCTTTGCGTGTTATTAAACGAGCCGGTGACGGTAACCGTCTCGGTTAGTCAGTGAGCCCGCTCGGTAGCGTAACGTCAGCTGCTTCGCTCACGCGCATTGTGTTGTTCCGTTTCACCGGTGGAGTGCAGCAAACCGCAGCCTGCGCACAATAAACAGTCAATCCGTTTGCAAACCCGTACACGGGCCTGTGTTCCGTGTCCCTTTATTGCAGCAATGTGACTGTTCGTTTGTGTGAGGCAGCTATTCTGAAATCATGAGCTTGATTAGTGGAACAGAGCGTGATCTCTGTGCGATTGTTGTCTAAAATATTCGTGAGCAACCTTTTCAGCAGTCTACGGTATCTTTTTAACAAAGAATTTTCTCTTCTCTTCTGTTCCAGGGTCAATTGTTCTTTTTATTTTAAAATCGGCGCTTGCAGACATGGAGACCGCTGCTCGCGATTGCATAACAAACCGACCTTCAGCCAGGTGAGGACCCGTCAAAGAGTTCCTGTGTAAAAACAGACCAGCCACTGTCAACTTATTACAAGATATGTTGTGCAATCTTGATTAGAGGTTGATGATCGGAAGCAGCAGAAATCTAAACATTCATGTCAGTAGCCTGTCTGATCACATGCTTCTTTGCTCTTTCTTCCTGCAGACCATCTTGATTCAGAACATCTACCGTAACCCCCAGAACAGCGCACAGACGGCCGACGCTTCACGCTGTAAGTTGCACATTTGACAGCATCCCCCCGGCAACCGATGTTAGGTACTGCTTCAGCCCTGTTGGCTGGAGACCCGCTTGTGACCCTGTTATCTCCCAAGTATCCCAAACATTTAGTTATTAGCATCACGGGATACCGTCCAAAAGCACAAACGCCTCCTTATGATCCTACTCTTTTTCAACCGTGTGTAGTTGAGCCTTCAGACACAAACCACAAACGGGACTCGCAGGCCGACTGGTTATGTTAGAATACATAGAACTGTGTGGACTGTAAACAGATGTAGAGATGAAGCAGTGCCTTTCATACAGGTAAGTGTGACTGACTTTCCTTAGGCCCCGTGTTTAAGATATACATCTCGTGAGTTTTAAAGCATTGCGGTGCCTCTGCCGTTAACACAAGCTACATTCGTAACTTCAGCATCACATACGACGGTTGACCTTTCAAAAAGTCCTCCATCAGCGGTCCTGTGCAGACAAGAGGCTTGATTTAAAATGTAACCAGTCGCTGTGGCCTATTTATAGGACAATGAGTAATATTATTGAGTATTGTTGTTTCTTGAATGTTGCATGCATATTTTGTTCTTTTGTGCATGTGACACAATTCTGGACGGTTTCAATTTTTTTAGGACACAGCTTGAGATCATTCGGGGGCCTATTTGTATGGACCAGCATCTCTAAAGACTCATTTATACGCCAAGAAAATGTGTCCATTCTTGTGAATGAGTAACTAACAGCTGTATTCTGTAGGGTGTCATTGAAGCAGTACATGCTAGTGGTAGAAAACGATGAATAAAGTTTGCAATTTCTCATAATGTATTAATTGAAAACACAATAAGCAGCAAGACAAAAGTAGGCCTCTAACTTCCTCTTTAGCTTGTTTAAAAACATGTGCAGTCACTATGTGTTTGATTTAGTTTTGGTAAAACAAACATTCTCTTTTAACCTTATTTATGCTTAACTAAACCAAAAAAAAAGTAATCAATCGTAATTAAGAATACACACATAAAGCATAGAACTGTTGCCCATTTTCATTCAATTATCCTAAATATTATAACTATGTGGTACAAAACTAAAAGTAGAGGGGAGGGAGCAAGTATTTCAAAATCATTAACAGTGAGCAGTGCAGGAAATAAGCTTCTCCGCCGACAATAGTATCAATAACACAGTGGCCATTTCTGGGGATTTTCACTCAGTTCATGTGATCATATAATTAAGATCCGGGACGGACAGCACCTAAAATTCTAATCAAATATTTTCCTCCTCAGCTCTTTATTTTGGTTGATTTATGTCACAGGAGTTTACGTTTTGTATTTCAGACCATTCCCCTCTTGAACATTCATAACCTTCCAAACTCTGCCCAGTCTGCTGATGGTTTACACTGTAAGTTCTCCCTTCATCTGCAGGCCCCTCCAGCACTGACTGCACTTAATTTACCGTATCACACCTCCCCACATAGATCCGGCTTAGTGTAGCAACACACCCTCTGCAGAGATCATTTCCCAGGGACAGGCCACGTTTCCCTGGCGTAACTCACTCTAAACGAGTCGCGCAATAATGTCTTTGGTGTCGCGTCCTTCATTTTACCGATGAACTTACTCCTTCTGTGTCATTCGCGTCACACTCGACAGTGTCGCACTGACTGCGCCGTCTCTGCGTCTGATTCATTGAAGCGGGTTTCTACCAGTGCCGTCCTCGACTTGGGAACTTGTGTTGCCATGAAGTAGTGGAACAGTACAGATGGGCCCATCTGCCCATGATGTACACACAGTTACACAAACATAATTGTAAAGAAGGTGAAACATTGGAAAATCATTTAAAAGTAAAACCTTACTAACCAGGCGGGTGGGGGGGGGGGGGGACCAGGCTCAATGCTGTGTTTTAATTTGCTTCTGTGAAACCGGTTGGGAGAGCGTAACATATAACATACAGACTCTTCGCCCGTTGGATCTGTTTACAGGGTATAATTATCAAAACCAGTCGTATCATGTTTATGCCGTTTGTTCAAAGCCACATGGCCCATATTCAGAACCAGTGTCGCTGTGGCGTTGCCTTGACTGTCCCTCGTTGGCGTTTTGTAGGTGCCGTCAGCGATGTGGAAATGCAGGAGCACTACGACGAGTTCTTTGAGGTTAGTAACCTTTTGTCTGCTCTTGATTCTCGCTCGTCGCACAACGTGACGTGGATGCCGCGTGATCTGCCTCGATGTGGCACATGGCAGCAAAGGGTTGCCAAAAGGTATCGAGTTTGTGCTGAAGCCAGAGTGACCAGGAGCTAATATTTACACAGGAGGAACAGCTGCTTTCACACATGAGATTACCATACATTTTATTAACTTATTTCTTTTTTACATGTTTTAACGATTCTGTAGCCTCCCTTAATATTATTCATAATGCTTTTAGTAGGTTACTTTGACGCCTGCATTTCCATTCGAATCTCCCAGAAAAGAGCACAGTTTGATCTTGTTTACTTGTTTTATCTATTTAGATAATCTGACTTAATGTCTTAACTTAACCACCAAACAGTTAATAATTAAACTCTCAGTTCAGTAGAAAACAAGGTTTCATTTAAAATATGTAAAAAAGTGTTTTCTGTGAATCTCCACATGCCTGCAGGTCTTCAGTTAGTTGTTCAGTCAGGGTAATAAGCCAATTTCCTTCTTAACGTGTCAATAAACCCAGCACTCGGAGCCTGTTGTTGACTTTAGGTGTTGTTGTTCTGATACAGGAGGTGTTCACAGAGATGGAGGAGAAGTATGGCGAGGTGGAGGAGATGAACGTGTGCGATAACTTGGGCGACCACCTTGTCGGGAACGTCTACGTTAAGGTCGGTGATGGTTCTAAATGTATTCTCAGTAGAGGCGGCGCTAATGCAAATGAGATTGATAATGACTGGTCTGATAGAAAGGAAAGTATTTAAAGAACAAAGTGTCTCGTTTGGACATAAAGCGGCGCTTTCGTTACCACCATTTGTTCTGTTGCTTGAATCATTTGACGTTTACTAATTTTTGTCATTGCCGTTTGTTTCTTTATCTCTCACTCACATATCTCATGCTGTCCTTTGTTATCTTTGGTGTTCTCTCTCTGTGTAGTTCCGTCGTGAGGAGGATGCAGAGAAGGCCGTCATGGACCTGAATAATCGCTGGTTCAACGCCCAACCCATCCACGCAGAGCTCTCCCCCGTCACTGACTTCAGGGAAGCGTGCTGCCGCCAGTATGAGATGGGGTGAGTGACACCTGGTCAGCGCTGTCATGTCCTCTAATGTAGTAATATCGTTTTAATGTGAAGAATTTTCTGAGAATAATTTGCTGTCCAATCACAATAGATGTGATTGTGGAAAAGCAGATGACGCCTTACAGTCTGCAAATATATTTTAAGCTTTGGACAGAATACAAAATGAGAATCTTTGTGCAGAATTGTTGGATTTTGGGGCAAGTCTATCTAACCAGCTGCATGGGCACTGTGATAATTACTACGTTTTACAGCGAGAGGGCAACGGGGGGAGTAAAGATGTTCTACTTGGTGGAAAGTTTAACCCTTCCCTGTTTTCCCGCAGAGAGTGCACCCGAGGGGGCTTCTGCAACTTCATGCACCTGAAGCCCATCTCGCGGGAACTACGAAGGGAGCTGTACGGCCGCCGCAAGAAAGGGTACGCAGTCCTCCGAAAGCTCCACGTTCACTTTGGATCAATGGGGATTTGTCAATTCACCTTTTTCCTCCCCCCCCCACCAGGAACGGCTCGGAGTCGCGCTCCCGGGAAAGACGCTCCCGTTCGAGGGACCGACGGCGGGAGCGCGAGAGGCCGAGAAGGTCGAGGGACCGAGAGCGCTCTGGAAGGTTCTGAATTGATCCACGACCGACCCACACGATGTCCTACCGAACCCCCCCCTCCCGACCCCGGCAGTGATAACAAACGTATTTTCTTTATTGTTAAATCGTTGACAGTGTTTTTCTTTTATTCCCTTTTTTTAAGACGAGCTTGTGTCGCTTTCTCAATAAAAACAGATTTGTAATTCTCCACTCCGCTTGTTTATGTGAACATGAGGTTATTTCTTATGGAGAGCTTCATACAAGGAAAAGTGATTATGTACATGAGTCTAACTGTATGGTCAACAACGAGTGGGAAGGGGTTTAAGCTTTTAAAAGTGTACTCTCACAAAAAAGTATCTAATTGTAATTATATATATAATATATAATCTGGCAGACTAGATTGGGATGGTTGAGCACCAGGTTTTACGTGATCAATCGCTACCTGTCCTGTCTTCTGTTCTGGCACAATAACCGGTGCAACCGGTCGGACCGGTAATCTGGATTGTAAACTTCTCTAATTGTATGTTTCTATAACATTGCAAACGACCATGTTTAAATGGCAACTTGTTTTGTTCCGTTACACTGTGGATGATGCAATACTTTCCCTGCCACCTGTACTGAGTGTTCCAAGATTAGTCAGTTAAATGTCCAAATGTTTACTCATTTAAGAAAATAATAACTGGTTGTGTTTTTCGGTGAATTCTTGAACATAGAAGTTGCACTAGAAAGAACTATTTTTTTCACAAACACTAAATAATTTGCCCTGAATAAAACAAACCAAAAATAGCATTTACATGTTTGCGTACATCTCTGTATGTATGTGTAGTTTATAATTTGGCAGCAGCATTCCACACATGAGAAGCGCTCAAGATGTCACATGCGTCAAAAGGACACGCAGTCAATAAAAGGTAAACAGAAGGGACACGCAGCGTTAGGGGCGTTTCTCCGGACCCGAATCGAGAAGTCCTTTCTCTGATTGGCGCAGCGGACCAAACAGACGCCCTCGCGGCAGCCAATCAGAGAGGGCCGTTGAAGTTTGGCTGCCTCCTCCTCCTCTCGATGCACGCGTGTGTCTTTGTCGGTGAGTGTTAGCTGCACATTCTCGTACTCGCCTCCAGTGTCCGTCGTTGTCCTCGGGGATTCTGCCTCTTCTCCTGCCGGTGTTATTAAAGCATAAGGTGAGTGCGAATTAACGGCCAGGTGCAAAAAAAAGATAAAAATATATTTGAACGATGCATCAAATCGCTGTGACGCTTTGTGACCGAGAGCCTGAAATCTGATGCAACATCGAAGCTGCGCACATTACCACTTTTTCCTGCACGGTTTGTCAGCTACTTTACTTCTTCTTGCACTGAACTCGATATGTTCTGTTTGTGTGTTTATTCTCTGCCAATTCGCACGGTTTGGTGTTTACCATTAACGTACTGAACCGTTCACACCGTTGTGTCATTTCCTCTATTCGTTTCTTTTTTTTTAAATCAAGTCTTTTCCAATCCAATGTTCCTGTTGGTTCAACACCGGATGTTGTGTTTATGGTGTTTTTACTGCAACAGACTTTTAATGTGACCTTTTATTTGGGTCGATAAGACATCGGTGATGAATTCAAATGAAAACCCTGATTCCACATAAATGTTATTTATTGTTGCAAAAGTACATTTCTTGAATTTTGCCTTTTTTTTAAACCAGAATTACAGCCATATATTGATCTATCTGCCAAAATAAATGTGCTATATTCTAAGAACACCAAATGAATTCGAGATATATAAGAACCCAATTATAACCCTTTGTTTAGCTCATATATTTCCCCTTTCTGGCAGCTCTTCATCACAGCACACCTGGTTTCTGACCATGTGTCGCGTTTCCAGCTTTGTGGCTTTTACTGGCTGCATTCCTGCTGCCTACATTCTGCCCCCCCCCCCCCAATTCATGGCTGAGTGAACGTCTGTAGGCTGCTGTTGTCCAGCTGTTTGTTGCTGGCAGAGCATTTGTGTGGCCCGTTTAAAATGACTTTGAAATGAAATTTGACTGTGTTCGCTGCGCTGTGAGAGCAGGAGATTAGTAACGAGTAGAATGTCTGATAAAGTGAGACTGGTCCAAGGACTTTTCATTCCATCGGGTTTGACGCTGCCAAGCTGCGATCAGGTGATTTTCAGCCCGGTTGGTATTTGAGGATTTGTTTCTTGGTTTTAATGCAGCTCGTTCAACAAAATTAACTTCATCCTCTGCACGTCTTTTCTGCCATGCAAGCCTGGTCGCGTGTTCCCCCCCCCCTCTCCCCTGGAGGATCACGTTGCTCCCCCCTCGAAGCCTTGATGGCCAGCAGATACCACTGATTCTTTCCTACATTTAGCACCATAACGAGCAGAGAGACGCCTGGTGTCTGTAGAGCTCTGATCCCCAGAAGTGGAGTCACACATGCTGGTTTCAGGGGCTTTAAAATGAAACGGAAGTTAAATTCAACGGGATTTTATTCACCGTTGCATTTGATGGAAGCTGCGTGTTTCAGGGCAGATTTTCTCTGCGGTGCAGAGCTGTTTGCTTAAAGAAGGTGTTGTTTTTTGGCCCCGCTGTGTGCATTGTGTATTAGTGACGGTTCATCTGCTGGGGTTTTCTACCACACAACAGAGAAACCCAATGAGAGTATTAATGTGTAAAGAAAACCTCTAAATCCACAGGTTTTACCAGCTGGACTTTGGAACTTGTTTGTGTTTTTGCCTGATAAATGATTTTAAATTGTTAATCAATCACGCATGTAGTAGCAGATTCATAACCTGTCAGATTACAGAATGATCTCCAATTTAAGATGAATGTCTCACATTTAGTGACACAAGACTTTTATGGCATTTTTTACGACTGCCAGCGATCGGTAATTGAGTCAGTTTATGTTTTCGCACTGATCATGTAAGGTAGATAAACCAAACCGCAGTAAGACTTAATCTTACTTATAATCTATCGTTTTTTATACATTGAATGTATGATGCAATATTGGCAAAAGCTTGATCAGCCAGTGATGCAGGACTTTCAACTTTCAGTTCAGGTTTTTTTTTTTTTCTTCTTCCCCCTTTCTGTTTTTTTTGACTTGACTAATACGTGCGCTGACGTTTGAAATACTAAGCAGTGAATGTGTGTGGGAGGCAGCCAAAGTGCCTGCTTAAGCATGACTAGGCTTTATTCTTTGGCGCTGGTATGACTTGGCGACAACGGAAGGAAGGAGTGGTGGTTCTGTGTTTGTTTGCCAGTTTGTGCGGCCGACGTGTGGTAACACATCGTTGAAATGTGAGCCCTGAGGCGGCACCTTGGCATTTTCTCACTTTTGCACGTACCTACAAATGATAACATGAAGCTTCCCCCCCTGCTTTGTCCAGGCTGAGCCATGCCGTCAGTCCCCTCCACCAAAGAGGCCGCCGTCAAGGCCCCGGCGTGCCCCCACGCCGCCAAGCTGCTCCCCCACGGCAACGGAGAACTCAAACTCCGGGAGGGCCCCTTCCCGCCGAAGAGCGCCGACAAGTCGCCGCCGATGGCCGAAGACGAGCCGGACCTCAGCATTCAGATCAACACAAAGGGCGTCGCCGCCGAGCGCAAATGGATCCGGCCCGACCTCCCCAGTCGCTGCACGTGGAGCCTCGGGGCCTCGAAGGACGAGTCCCCCCACCCGCAAGTCGCCAGGTCGGTGTGACGCAAAGAACCCCAAAGAAACGCTGGTTGGACGTATCATCGTGCCTTCCATTACTTTTGTTTAAACCAGTGGCTCCAGAAACAAGTGGAAGCACGCGTTACTGTCTCCGGCCTTTGCAGTGGCTCTGAATGTCTTCGTCTCTCTCCTCCTCGCAGGTCCGTCGCTCCGACCATTCTGCCGAACATCCTGCACCGGATCGGCGACACTCCGCTGGTTCGCATCAACAAGATCCCCAAAGCGTTTGGACTCAAATGCGAATTGCGTGAGTGAAGCGCGGACGCGCCGTCCCGCCGGACGATCGGCGTCCCGCCGTTGTTTTCTCGTCGCCGCGGTACAAACGCGCTCGCGCTGGGATCGAGATCTTGAACCGTTCACTTGGCTTTAATAACTCTTTCCGCGGTGCGTTTAGTGGCCAAGTGTGAGTACTTCAACGCCGGCGGCAGTGTGAAGGACCGGATCAGCCTGCGGATGGTGGAGGACGCAGAGCGAGCCGGGCTCCTCAAGCCGGGCGACACCATCATAGAGCCCACCTCTGGAAACACTGGTAACTACCTACACGTGTTGCTGTGGGAGGCGGGAGCGGTGTGTTATTTAGATGTACAGCCTCAGTGTGTGTGTGTGTGTGTTTCAGGTATCGGCCTGGCTCTGGCTGCAGCTGTGAAAGGGTACCGCTGCATCATTGTCATGCCCGAGAAGATGAGCATGGAGAAGGTGAGTCACTCACTCCTGCGTTCTCTCATGGTGGACTCCAGTTAAAGTGAGATGTAGAAAAGATGATTGTTTTTTTTTCTTTTTCTCTAATTTCTTCCACACAGGTGGACGTCTTGAGGGGACTTGGAGCCGAGATCGTCCGCACGCCCACCAGCGCTCGCTTCGACTCCCCGGAGTCTCACGTCGGCGTCGCGTGGCGCCTCAAAAACGAGATCCCCAACTCCCACATCCTGGACCAGTACCGTAACCCGAGCAACCCACTGGCCCACTACGACACCACAGCCGAGGAGATCCTGGAGCAGTGTGACGGTACGGGCGGCTTCGGTCTTCGGCGTTATTGTGTGTCGGTAGACCTTAATCAGCCGAGTAAACCTGAATTTGCTCTTTGCTCCGCCCCCTCAAAGGGAAACTGGACATGCTGGTGGCGGGAGCGGGGACGGGGGGGACCATCACAGGCGTCGCCCGCAAGCTGAAGGAAAGATGCCCCAACATCAAAGTAGGTCGTGTCCGCACGGAGGCCTCTCGCCTCACCATTCCGACCGCCCGTTGAGCTCCTCGCCGTCTAACCCGGGGTCCGTGCTGCCCGCAGATAGTTGCCGTTGACCCAGAAGGCTCCATCCTGGCGGAGCCCGAGGAGCTTAACAAGACGAATAAGACGCAGTACGAGGTGGAGGGCATCGGGTACGACTTCATCCCCACCGTGCTCGACCGCTCGGTTAGTCCCGGCAGCCTTTTCCGCTCGTCCTCTCTCCCTTTTTTTTTTTTTTTTTTTTTTCCATACCGCCTCACAACGCCACGTTTCTCCTGCGTTCCAGGTCGTGGACAGCTGGTACAAGTCGGATGACGAGGAGTCCTTCAACATGTCTCGCATGCTGATGCGAGAGGAGGGCCTGCTGTGCGGTAAGCGATCAGGCTCGGCACTAACGCCGGCGAGGTGAAGAGGTCAGCCCTCCTCACGGCCTCTCCTCTGTGACAGGTGGCAGCTCCGGGACGGCCATGGCGGCCGCAGTAAACGCCGCCAAAGAGCTGAAGGAGGGCCAGCGCTGCGTGGTCATCCTGCCGGACTCCGTCCGCAACTACATGTGAGAGTCGTCCCCTGGTGTCGAATAACTGCCCAGTCCGTTTCTGCCATCCCTGAGGGTTTGACCTAATGCACATGCAGAAATGTGATCCGCTGGTTGGGGTTGGACCAGGTCATGCAGGTTCATGGTGCTCGTAACCAGGGAGCCTCTTCTAACACAGACCAACAAGACACGCCTTTAATGGTTGCTGTCCAATCGATTGAGGCTGAAAAGCAGCGTGAATTCAAAATACAATCTGATGACAATAATTATTTAGCAACTTCTAGCTCCCTTCAAGGTTGTAGAGATCCTGGGGAAAGACTTAAATAGTGCTGAGGTGTGTAGTTGGTGTAGAGTTTGATAATTGGGGTCACTGTTGCACAAATGGCACAGGAATGCAGCCATTTAGAGGAGCCTTTGGATCTGTATTGTGGAAACGACTAAAAAGCTAAATGATTTTTTTTTTTTTGTCCCCTCCTTAGGTCCAAGTTCCTGAGTGACAAGTGGATGCTCCAGAAGGGCTTCCTGAATGAGGAGGACCTCATGGTGAAGAAACCATGGTGTGTGTGTGTGTTTTACTGCAGGGTTTACTCTCTTTTGTGGCGTCGTGAAACACCGTCTCACATTACTGTGTTCATCAGGTGGTGGAACCTGAAGCTGCAGGCGTTGAACCTCTCCGCCCCCCTCACCGTGCTGCCCACCGTCAATTGTCAGAGGACCATCAAAATCCTGAAGGAGAAGGGCTTCGACCAGGCGCCCGTGGTGGATGAGGCTGGGTGAGGGTCCTGAAACACAAACCAACCAACTGTCCCAATAAATTTCTAGACGTTTTGTGTTTTATTGTTGTGCCGTGTGTGTCTTTGTGCAGGTTAATCCTGGGCATGGTGACTTTAGGGAACATGTTGGCCTGTATTCTAGCTGGGAAGATCAAGGTGTCGGACCCCGTCAGCAAAGTGCTCTACAAGCAGTTCAAACAGGTCAGACGCGAACGTAAACAGCGCTGTTTGTGATGCTCTCGGGATGCTTCCCAAACGACTCAAAGGATGAAATTGAAGAGTAAATTTTTCATTTTCGTTGGCCCGACTGCAGACGCCAATGAGACAAATCAGTTTAGGATTTTGTCCAAAACCGATGTTAAAACTAGATTCCTGTCATTTCATTCCGCCAAACCACCAACTGTAGAAGGCGAAATTAAATAAATATAATAATAATTATTTTTTTATTTATTGTCCTCGTTAATTCTTTTTTTCTTCCTTTTTAGATTCGTCTGACTGATCATTTGGGAAAGTTATCCCGCATTCTGGAGACTGACCACTTTGCGCTGGTGGTACATGAACAGATCCAATGTAAGTACATTTTCACAGATCCGCGGGTTCTTGCCCGATGTCACCTGGGATTGACTCCAGGCCGCTTGCGCCCCTCTAAGCATAAGCGGTGTAGAAGATGACTGACGTATACACAAATGCTCTTATTTCCCTGAGCTCTCGGTCCATCTGTCTCCAGCCCTAAAATCTGATCAACTAAATGCGTGTGCAAAATGTTTGCATTTGGCTCCATCTAGTGGTGGTGTGTGTAAACGCACTGTAGCAGAAAGCAGTGCAAAGCATCTGATTAGTGGTTAAAGGGTGAAATAAGAAAAATAATTTTACTTTCTCAATCTGCAGGATTTAGACCCATTTCATATTTTCAGCTGCTGTAATTTGTAGATAAAATCTTCACAAAAACCGACCTTTACATATTGTGAAATGGCTTCTACTGTATTATGAGCCCAATCCTCCAAGCAGCGTCACTCCTCATCTTCACCACTCTCCCTGTTCTTTTATCAGACTTGACGGACGGCTCTCCGTGTCTAAAGCAGATGGTTTTCGGGGTGGTGACGGCCGTCGACCTGCTCAACTTTGTCACGGGGCGGGAAAGGAGGGAGCGATCGATGTCGGAGTCCACCGACGAGCTGAACTAAACTGATCCAAAGAACGTTTCTCTCACTTACATAACAAACACAATAACCGCTGGTTAGATGTGTCTCAAACATGGCACATCATTCATTTTGAGGGTTTTTGATTGAGGTTGCTTATTCAGCAAAAGAAAATCAGATTCATTTTGTATTTTTTGCGGGGTTACTTATAGTTTTAAACGTTTGATTATTACTTCTTATAGGTTGTCGTAGCGTTCACAGCAAATGTTTTAAAGTTTGTAACTTTAAACATTTTTGGTTTTCTGTCTAAAATGAAGGCATCTGTGTTGCTGATTTTATTTGTTTGAATAATATTTGCTTTGGCCTTTTGTATCATCAAACATCAAATATAGTACAAAATCTATACTCATTTCATTCATAAAGAATAGACAAGTAGATTGCTGCTGTACATGCACACATTATATTTCCAGTGCTGCTCATGATGTGTTGCGCTTTTCATTCGTGTTACATAAACAGTAAGACATGCCGACCGGTAATCAACATTTCGTTAAACACATAGTTTTCTGTCCCTTTCCTTTTGCCACAGCGACTGACTGACTGTTAATTTAAAGTTGCCTTGACTATAGTTTAATCAAAACTGTCTGAAATGTTTTGTATTGCATACCTTTTGCCTCAGTGATTGTGTATGATTCAAATAAACTTTAAATTAATTATTTGACTGCTTTTCAGACGTCTTTCTTTTTTGTTAGAAATTGCGCAAAGGGAATTAATTGACTTGATTTGGGACGTTTTTTCCCCACCACTGTGATAAAGATACTCTGCTTTTTGATTTGTTGTTTTAAATATATGATTATATATATATATAACACAACAGAACGCGTCTAACGGGATCGTTTATGAGTTTTTCCTAGTTTGTACTTAGAGGATATTAAAAGTCGTTAGCGCGCAGTGTTTGTGTAGGCCATGTGGTTTGTGGCGCATACGATAGTCTCCCCGTAGTACCGTGTTGACGGGGCTTAATTTCGGGCTATCTGTCTTAATTGCGGAGCGCAGACTCCGCCCCGGCGAGCTCGTCTCCGGTGCCTGCTGGACTAGTAAACGAGCGGGACCTCTTCCGCTGGCCTCGTCCAATCAGCGCTGTCAATGCCCCTGCGATGTATGTGTTGTGTGGTGGCTGTTACGAGCGAGCCTAGACAGGCAGTATGGCGGAGGAGAGAAGTGTGTACGACTTGGAGGGGCTCGAAAAACAACTGGAGAGTTTGTTGAGCCGTTACCCAAGTGACGAAATACGAGCCGACGGTAAACCGTTCTGCTCCGAATTTCGCAAGGTAAGGCCCCGCAGCCGAAGTTGGTGACAGGCTTGTTTGCCGAAGATAAGAGCAGATATGTTAGCCGACTCCCCTCCCCCAGAACTGGCCGCTAACACGGCTAGCATTAGCGGTTGAGGCTCGTTAGCATGTTCGCCAACGGGTCGCAGTCGCATTAAAAGCAAATCTAAAGCCGCGACGGCATTTAAACAGTATGCATGGTCACCCAGCCTTGGATACGGTTGGCGTAGTCGAAGCGTCAGAGTCAGTAAAGCACTCACATTTTGACAGCGTTCGTTCACTTCACCGCTAACAGGCTAACTATGCTAACCGATAGAGCCGCTAAGTTATAGCTTAATGCGCCGAATGTTTACTAAACTACCGACGGGACAACTTTCATGTACGTCTGTATCACGCTTTGCGGGCATTTGTTTGGTTTAGCTGCCGTTAGCTGACCTCCCACTTCAGGTTGTTGTGTAACTAACGTTAGCAGCATGCAACATTAAACGTTTAGAATAAAGCCCAATACGTCCTAACCAAATAGTAATGCAGCTTCCCGGTGTAACGTTATGACATGGTTATAACGCAACTCCTGCTATCACAATCTGTCCTCACACTCAGCTGCTCAGAAAATGCTTGGAACAAGTCAGTACTTCTCACGTAGGAGTTAAATGTCAGTTGTCTGGCATTTTGGTAAATCGTACACTGGTAATGAAGAGATGTATGAATTGAGAAAGCTATACTATATATAGTTATATCAGCTAATGGCATGCCAAACCCCATATTTGATATTTAGCTCGGTATGAAAACCCAGTTTGGATAGCAGGCACCAAGTCTTTCATTGGCATTTTCAATAAAAGATAAATACAATGCTTTGTGACTCACTGAAGTTGAATTCAGCACTTTTACAGATAATAGACAATATCTCGAGTGCAGAATTGTTGACACACGGGTTCCTTGAGGTGCTCAAGAGGTGCCGTGGATATCCACCATCAGAGGGCAACATACCATATTGCGTTTCAGTGATTTGCTATGTCACTAGTAGATGTTGTGTACAGGAGCAGCCTGATGTCCTGTTGTAGTTACACTCTAGTCAAAGTGTGTTTAAATGGAAAGATGTAGACATAAAGGGTCAAAACCTCAGCCGGCCCAGGTGTCACATCGCACAATGACTACTTTGTTTAAGCATTATGACAAAAAATCTTTTGTTCAGACTCTCATTGTTCTTATGAATTAGCTGCTGTGGGTGTAACATGTTACCTACGTGGTTGTAAGGGCCTATGGTTTTAAAACTACATTCCAAATCCCAAAGATATTGTCTTGATAATGGTAAATTGGCATATTGGAAAAGCTGGAAACTGTACCCTTTATCATCTTCCCTTGACACTTGGACAATTTCTTTGCTATTGACAACACTGCATAGGCTGAGTCGCGATCCTGTTACATCACTAATGTACCTACAAATGCAGTTAAAACCTCCAATATCACTGCAGACTTTGTGTTAATTGTCCTTGCATCCTTGTCTCTGTTTTGTCTTCCCGCCGTGCAGCTGGTGGAGGAGTACGCCTCTCGTTGGCAGGTGCCGCTGCCTCAGCTCAGGATCCTTGAGATAGCTCTCCGCTACTTCGCCCGAGCGTCCCCCTTCTTCACGTCAAACTGTGACCATGTGATTCACACGCTCAGTAGTCTGGCCTTGTAAGTTCACAGACTGAAGTAATTGCCTCAGCCATTACTTTCTGCTTCTTTGTCGTCACATAATGTGGCACCAGCGATGATCATGTAAAGAATGATGGGACTGCACCTCTTAAGATAACTGAAATCACATTAGGGGCACGTTGTGCTAACCACAGAGCCGTCATAGCTGGCCTTTATTATTATTGTCTCTGTATCTCTTATAAAGTCTTTAAAAAAATTCAATGAGAGCAAAGTTTTATTGAGTCAAAATGACTTCTTTGTAACCACACTGGCCGTGGCTCTGTCTATGCAGCTGGTTAACCTCCATGCTAATCCGGCGATGTATGTGAGTGTAGTTTGCGTCAATAATTATACCATTAAATAATGTCTGGTTTATTTCGTAATGCACATAATAGCTTCTCCATTAATGGGATATTTACAATATTTTACTTTTGACTTACTCATCATTCATGCTGGCTCTAATTTAACAAGTAGCTATAGCTACACGCTAGTTAGCAGGGGAGGAGCGTTGACAGGGAAATTGTTAAGTGTTCAAGTTCATATATATATCTATATATAATCTTTCTTTCATTCTTATGTGTGAAACCATCTCACTTTGAGATTCCCTTCCGAAAGAACTGGAAGTATATTGTTGTTCCTGCTCTGCTCAGTTAACTTGTGGATGGATGAAACCTTCTATTGTCCCTCATGGAACTGGCGTTGTACAATGTGCCCTTGGAAAAGCACACATACAACATCAGACATTACATTACACCCCCCCTGAAAAACACATTGATAATACACTTTTGTTTTTCTCAAACAATGAAGCTATGAAATAATCAGGGTAAAAGGGTTCAAACACTTCATTTTGAACACAAAAATAAGAATATTGAAACATACAATATGTCAAATCTTGGTTTTTATATCATCGTCAGCCATCTCTGTAATATTATTGCATATTTGGGGACTGTGGATGCAAATGTTTGTGGAGTTTAAAGTTTGTCTTGACGTTTTCTTGAGTAAGCTGTCAGTAGATTGACATTAACAATATTCATCTCCTCACAGGAGTGTTTTTGAGTTGCTGCTGTTCTTTGAGCAGAAGGACTTCAATCAGGAGCCACTGAATCACTTTTCTGTTACATTCCAGGTGAGCATGATGTGCAGATCTTCTTCTCAACAGAGCAGTGTCGCTCTCTCAATATATTTATGAAATGCCAGTACTTTATGAAGCCGTTTGTCCGTTGTCTTTCAGGAATGCCACTCGGTGCTTGCGAGGCATCAGAATGTTCACTTGCTTCAGGTGGAGCGTCTGGTTCATGGAGGTGGGCCTTGGGCCGGCGCAGCCTTACACGCAATGCTCACTGAGTCCAGTTTACCTCAGAGTGAAGGTAGGTGACATGCTGCGATACTTGGTAGTAGTAACACTGATTTTCAAAGAGTTTGTTGCTGAATTGCTACTCTAAAGTGAAGTAGAACTAAAAACCTTTACTTCAAAATAGTTTGATGCTCGTTTCTAAAGCAGTATCCACGCAAACGAAAGTCTCCCTCTCTGTCTCTCTCCGGTGGCTCTTTGGCGGTACCTCAGCTGACGGGTGCATCGTCTCTGAGCCGCCTGTGTTCCTTGAGCTGCGGGTGCGCTACCTCTTATCCTGCGAGCGGGTCGGGGAGGCCGCGGCCCTGGCTAGGTGCTGCGCTCGGCATCCCGCGGCAGGACAACACTTGTTCTTTCTCCAGGTCTACCTCACGTGGCTTTTCAAGACCTCACAGCACGACCGCCTTCACAAAGAGGTGGGTGGAGCTGCTGCTCTGTGCGGAGGAGCAGCGCGTCTTTCGGGGGAAATCGCGCCAGTTATTGCTTCAGTCGGTTGTAGCTGTTGCTTGGCTACCACGAAACGGTGTATGAGAGCTATCTGTCCTCTGTTTTCCAGGTGGCTGAATTGAATGGTAAAGATGCAATTCATATCATCTGTAGTTTAGAGTGTGAGGAAAAGGATGAGTTGCTTCTCGCCCTCAGCAGAGCCTTCCTCTCCCAGCAGCTGCGCAGGGGAGACATGTGCTATTTGTGGTAAGTGAACTTAAATCCGATGCTGATGTAATGTGTCAATTTATAACACACACACAGGCCTCCCCATTTATGAATGCATAAAAAGCATCTTACTCCTTCCTCTGCAGTGATCTTGTCTTCATATGGAGTAAACTTCACAGTCGGTTAAATACTTCCAAGCAAGCTCTTCTTGAGGAGAGTAATCAGCTGATCGTGTCTGCCACCAATGTCAACTCAATCTTCCCATTCATCAGAGCCATACTGCAAGAGGTGAGACATTTGAACTGCTTTGTATGTATTTTCTTATTTGCAAGGATTTTGATCTTCAATCTTTTGTTTTCACCTGCCCAGCTTGGGGAAGATGGAATCCAGTTCTGCGTTGAGCTTTGTGCTAATGCCCTGGGGTCTTGCCTTCCCTGCGACGTCATCACCAAGTCCCTAATCTACAAAACCATCGCCGTCCTGCTCCCCAATGACCTGGAGGTTTCCCGGGCGTGCGCCCTTCTGATCTTCTTCCTCGAACGCTCCGTTGAGGCCTACAAGTTGTTGTACCTTCTTTACATGCATCCTGATCAGGAGTACCAGGTGGAGTACACCCCCATCCGGAATCACGTTCGCTTCGAAACCCTGCAGGTAGAGCACCTTTTAAACAAATCGTGACATTGAAAAGACGTATACTGTCAGCTAAGACGAGCATTGTTCCCAGTCGTTGATCCATATTTTGCCACCGAGACCTTCTCTTTTCTGTCTCTCCTCAGGTCTTGAAGAAGGACCTGTATTTTGACCCCGAGTTTTGGAACCTCACTGCTTTGCGGAGCAACTGTTTGAAGCTGATGAGCGACAAGGTGGTTGGTGGTGCCCTCGAGGAGATCATGGAGAACAAATGGATCCTGAGCTACTGCGCCAAAGAACCTGCCTCCCGATCAAGCAAATCAACATGCTGCAAAGGAAGTAAGGGGGCAGCAGCTAAAAAACGGCGCCACAAAGAGGACGGACGTCATGACGTTGACACTGCATCCAAGGGATTAAAGGTGGGCCCAGGAAAAGCCCGGCTACATGTTGGCCACAGCATACAGAAGAAAGGTAGCCAGAGGTCATTATCCTCTGCACCTTTGAGGCGTTCATTTTGGCAGCTTGACAGACTAAAGGACAATGTACCTGTCGGGTATGGAGAACTTCGACGCACTACGAGACTCTCTGAAAAGAACCCACCGAAACGGAGGATTAGACAACCCAAGTGGCTTCTTGAAGACTCAGGAAATCCTGGAGAGAACGAAGGCGTTCCAAAGACCAAAAAGCAAATGAGACATCAAAAGCACCACGGATCCAATGTGGTGAAGAGGTCCGAAACTGTTGATTTCAAGAACAATGACAAACACAAACCTCCAGTAAACTCTCATTTAACGGCAAGAGAAAACAGCAGCAAGCCCCAGAAGGGGTTTTCATCCTCCCTTCCGCAAGTAGTCCTTGAGCTCTCGCTGCCAGACAACGAGCTGATGGGAACCTTCAATGAGGACACTTGCAACAGACAGAGAGGTTTCCCTCAAGTGCTTCTCTACCGACCGACACTAAAGGTTCCTGCCACGTCCGAACCGGCAAAGACTGTGCACCGCAAAGAGGTGATTCTGAGAGCGCGGGACGCCGCCATGTTCGCACAGCAGTTGCACTGTTACGCTCGGCGCCAGAAAGGGAAAGGCGTTAAGCCCAATATTCAAGGCTCGGTTTCAACCATCACGCGCTCCTCGGTGCTAGGAAGTCCTCCAAAAGAGCCGGAGAGAGAGCTCTGCGATAAACCTGCCGCTGACAATGAAGGGGGAATAATTGCGCTTCACACGGCAGAAGCAGGCAGAATCACACAATCCCCGGGACTTGAAAAAGCCCTTGAAACTCGAACCACAAAAGCCGTCTCACAGAGGACACTTTCCGAAAGGGAGCTCTCTGAGAAGCTCGCCGCTGAGGTGAGAGTCGCCGACGCGTCGGAGACACCAGCAGCAGCTGAAACGACAGAAGCCCCGATGTTGGATAAGGTCCTGCGAGCTCCAACCGTGGCGTCAGCGAGCAAGCTCTGTGACGAGTCTGCCGTCGAGATGAGAGTCACTATTGCCTCAACAGCGCCGAAAGTGGCTCCGTCATCAGATTTAGATCAGGTCTCCAGAGCCGTTAAAGCTGCTTCAAAAAGCACAACTTCAGCTGAGGTTTTCCAATCTTCACCTCTGACCAACAATCAGATGGTGGTTCTTGATAAAATCCCTTCCAGATCAAGAACGGAAGCTGCCGAGACCAGGCCTTCACTGTCTCCAGATGATCCTGGAGATGAGAGACGAGAACTCAAGTCTCTAACTGGCAAAAGTCCCGTTGCAAAAGCTGACGGCCCAGAGGTGCTCGCCGCTGTCTGCGGCAGCCAGTCTGCCGTGGACACGACAGAAGTCTTGCCCAAATTGCCAAAAGGACGCGTGCCTTGTGAAAACGAAAGTGGAGGAACTACGGGAACTACTTCTCCAGATCGGGACAGTATGAATGACCTTTCCGCTCTGACATTAGTAACAGAAATGGTAACTGAACTCACCCCTGGGGCACTTGCTCGAGATGTGGAGAGTCGCAAACAGCCATCTCCCGGGGACGGCACGTCCAAGCAGCCGACACCTGGAAGTAAATCCAGCGCTCCTCACACAAGAACTACCTCCACCTGCTCTGTAGTGGGTGATGCGCAAGGGAAGGGAACCCAGGATTTTGATCCAGAAACCATAGAGGACAGCGACCTCCCAGAATCTGAGGAATCCAAGTTGGAATTCTCCTGCACCTTCTGCAACAAGGTCTTCAAAGGAAGTCGTGTGGTAGAACATGCTATGTTCCATTATCGCAAGGACGAGTGCATGTTCTGTGGGACCATGTTCAAAGATGATCTTCTGGCCATGATGCATCTGTCTGACCACATTGAGAAGCTGAAGAGGATTAAAGAGGCAGATGGTAACAATGTGCCTGAGACCAAAGATCCTTCTGCCAAAGCCAAGACCACAAACGCGTCTTTCAGGCGCCGTAGTAGCAGGAGAACGAGGAGATCTGCAGACTGTCCTAAATCAACGAGCCTCCCACATTCAACCCCGTCGGGGTCCAGACAGTTGAGATCATCAGTCAGTCCAACGTCAGCAAATGAAAGAAAGGAAACCCCTTCGAGACTCCTTCGTTGTAAAACTCTAAAGGTAAACGGGCATATTGGGAAGAAGACCGACCACGATGGACCACAAAGGCAAAAAACGCCCGTTACACAGCAGGACATTTCTCGCAAAAGATTGCAAGGAAACCGACACACAGGCAAGGATTCCTCGCCGGACAAACAAAGTGAGCGGGCTGTTGAGGGGCAACGTGCGGAGGCTCAAGAGAAGGTTTGCTGTCCCGTGGAGGGTTGCGACTGGTCCACCGACCTGTCGAAACGATGTGCACTCCTTTACCACGCGCTCGACGATCACTACGGGGAGGTGGGGCCTTTAAAAGTGGCGTTCCGCATAGAAAACGGCAAATGCAGTAATTGCAAGAGGGTCATGTGGAGTTTTGAACATTTCCAGCACCACGTCGAAAGGCACAGACTCTCTCCTCGGCATCCTTGCCTGCATCGGGAGTGCACTTCCAGGTTCAAGACCGGATTCGAAATGAGACGCCACGCCAGGACGCACAATCCGCTGCAGGCAGTGTGCTGCGCCCCCGGATGTTCTCAACTATTCATCTGTCTCTGGGCGCTGAACCTTCACGAAAAAGAGCACTATTCCTCCAAACCCACCAAACCAGACACGGATGCAAACAAACAAACGGGCCACAAACCGCGCAACGCGCCGTCTGGTAAGAGCCGCTCTGATCAACGGCCGAAAGCCCCACTTGCCGCCGTTATCGTTGATAATCCGGGGACTGAGATCGCCCCCTGTAAATTAAGAGGAGAGCCTACAGAAAAGCATGCTCCTCTTCCCACCGCTGTGAAAGAGGAGTCGAAGGAGCGAAATGAGACCAAGGATTTGCATGTGTTGAAGAATCTTTCTAACAAGGACACCTCCTCACCGCCCGCCAGCCCTAATCTGAGATTACGGCAAACGTTGAGAAAGGTGACGAGTAAAACCAGAAGTCCCAAAGTCATTTCATCGTCGGGTCAGATCAGAGACGACGCAGAAGATCCCAAAAGAAGAGGCCGTCCTCCCAAGTCGAAGGAAGCTGTGCATGATGAAAATACTACTGCTGGTCCCACCGATCAAAGTGTCCCAGGGAACGCTGCGCCGATTGCCGACCTTCCAGCAGAGAGCCCAAACGCGAGCAACGAGTCGAAAGAGCAGGTCAAAGAGGTGGTCGACCCTACGGAAGCGTCCGTTAACAAATCAGAGTCTAGATCAACGAACAAGCTGATGAACAACAATCCCGTTAAACAAAAGGAAAAGGAACACGATCCGCCCGCGGCGAGCTGCACAAAGACGGCAACCCGTTTAGATCAGTCAGTCAGCACCACCTCCGCTGACAAAAGGCTCCAGTCAACTGCTGAGAATCTACATAAAGTGAAGAAACGCTCCGCTCCGAAGGAAAGTAGAACTGCGTCTTCAAAGAAGCACAAGGTTACGAACAGCGAAGCCAACATAAAGCTGGTCAAGAAGGAACCAGAGGGGGAAGAAGAGGCAGAAAACAAAGACTCGACACAGAGCGGCTGTGGTAACTTTGTGCCTTCGGTCCCACCGAACAGTGTAAGTGAGCGAACTGCACCTCCCAAAACACAGGAGGCGCCGGTGGAGAAACCCAAAAATTCCATCAGGAAAGCGGAAGGAAAGAAAGAAAAGAGGACTCACAGCGCTTCTTCAGACTCGGACCAGATGAAAAAGAAGCACAAGGGCGTGAACGAAGAGGACAACATAACACTAAAGGGAAGACGGGCCGATGCCAGCAAATCGTCCGCTTTGAAAAAGAAAGTCCGGTCTAAATCTGCGGTGCGGCAGGCAGGGGCGAAGGCAGCAACGGACGCGTCCCCGTCCAGCGGCGCGGCCAGCGGCCTGAGCGACGCCACTTCTCCACCCGCGGAACAGAGCGCGCAGCAGGGGACGAAAAAGGACAAATCCAAGAAGCCGCACATCCCCAAAAACCCGGACCGCAAGGAAGCCGGCGAGAAGCGCGGCGACGCGCAGGTCGCTGAGGGGCAAGCGGAGCCCCCCCCCGTGGTGGAGGAGGGGACGACGCCTCCGGCCGCCATCGGCAGTGACCCCGTCGCCCAGGAGGACCCCAAGTACGCCGCGCTGAGGGAGGCTCTGGCAGGCTACAGCAGCCGGCCGCACGGCAGGCCGCCGCCCACCGCCTACCTGGACGAGAAGTACATCACCATGCCCAAGCGGAGGAAGGACCAGCAGCCCGCCCCCTCGTCCCAGCGGAGCCCGCCCCCCCGGCAGAGCGCCGCGGCGGGGAGGCAGCGGTGCACCAACTGCTTTGCGAGGTTCGACGGCGCCGAGGATTTGCAGCGGCACGTCACGCTGCAGAAGTGCTCCAGCCTCTTCGGCTTCGAGTCCGACGACGAGGGTGAGCGCTCGACGCCGATCTTCTGTGTCCTTGAACTCCCACGTTTAATAATCCACACACTTGTGCTTACGTTTTATTGCGTACTCTTGTGTCATTGTTTTATTTTTTTCCCCCTTCTTCCCGTTGCAGGTAACAGTTAAACGCGTTTGGTGGGGATTGAGGGGAATTGGCGTTTTGGACGCGGCACAAGCCGACCGCCATCGACGGATCGGCGCTCTCTGGACGACGCGTTCACCTCTGCAGACCTGAGACCTGAAGAGGAGCCACTGGATCCCAGTCTGAGCAGCCGGCACTGAAACGCCGTGCTGCTGTTTGCAGCCGCTTCACCCGGTATGGAGATTAGGAATCGTGGCTTAAAACTCTTTGCTCTTGAAAGCTGTGAAGTAATGTTAAAAAAGAAAAATGACGAAGCCACTCCCGCTGTCACTAGGATACATGTTTTCCACATCAGTAAGCCATAAAATGCCATTGTTTGCTTTTTGCACTCTTCTAAGATTTCTCCCTTTCTTTCTGCTCAAACTCAGTGATGGAGGTTGTACCGCGATTTGAGTACCTAAAAGTCGTGCTGTTTCAACATCTCATGTGGCATAGAATTCTCTTAACTTTGAAAAGTTGCTGTATTGGAATCTTCTTTGGGGAAATGTTATGTAAAATTCTTGTTTAAATACTAATTGTATTCCTTATATCCCTATGGGCTTTATTAGGTCTGTGCGTGTCCTCGCCCCAAACTAACCAGTAGGGGGCACTGTGCACTAATCTCTCTGTTAACATTACATTCTTTACAAAGCTGCTTCACTGTGTTTATCACTGGAGGGACTTCTCTCCCAGTTGCATCCACCAGGCTGTGTTTCTTTTAGCAATAACTACATTTTTTGCCAGATTCTGACGAGATCATTTTTCAGTTTATGATTGTCTGACATTCTGGCTCGTGTCATATTTTCTTACTTTAACATCAATTTCACGACTCAAATGTGTAAGACCTTTAGGAACATTGTCATTTTTCTTTGAAAGAGAAAGTAATAAAACACCTTAGTTTTAAAGTGTTACCGTGAGGTCGCAGGTGATTATTTATTTAACTTTTATTTTTTATCTTTTGTAAATATTTGAAGAGTTTCAAACGCGTATTATATAAGATGGGTGTGGGGGTTTATACTTTGTTCTTGAAGTAAAAAATAAAACTTATTTCAAATGACATCGTATCGGCTGGACTACAGTGTGTTTTTCATCAGTGGACCGACCGAGTTTGTCCCAAAAGGAAGAAGCGCATCGCTGAATAAGGAGGATATGAACCCTGCAGAGTTCAATCCGTTGCTCCGTTCACGCTCGGCGTGCTCAAACCTTCAGCTCACGATGCAGCCAACTGACGTGGCAGGAAGACGGCCTCCTTGTTTACCATCAGGGTCCATGTTGTTTACTGTGGAAGACGCAGACAGACAAGAGGAGCCAACGGGACCACAGGAGCAGTCGGGTTCCTCCCCACAGGTGTGCTACATTTCTTTACACGATGTATTATTATTATAGAAATTATATTTGTGAGGGGAAAACATTACTTGTCATGGTGATTAAAATTGACAGAAAACAAATTATGGAAAGGAAAAAAAAAGAGACATTGTTCCTTTTACATGACGAAGTTTAATTTATGGGCAATAAAATACACAAATGCTCAGCTGGATACATTCAGGGGTTTGGCTGCTGCAGCCTGGTCTGGTTTGACTGTAGCGCGATGATTGTTGGACTCTAGTTGTAAAGTCACGTTGTTCTCTGAAGAAACGTTCAGCGTGTCAGCGGCATCCCATAATCATCACTTGTAGCCACTGTTAGGTAGTGTTCATTCAATTGAAGAACTATGAAATTTTACTATTTAAAAGAATATCTAAACCTGTTAGATACTTTTTATTTCTCACAAGTTGTTGGCGACTCTTAAAAAATCATATTTAACATAATAAGTATAACATATCAGTCTGACAAAGAATTTAATCAATACTTCATGACTAATTTAAATATTGAACAGCCAAAAAGCAAATTTGCTCTTCAGCCCTAAAACAAAATCTAAAAAAGAATCTCTACACTGAAATAAATCTTCAACATCTTTTTTTATCCCTAAAATCATTGCAGGGTTTTTAACGCTGTATGCGCAGGATAAAATTGATCTTGCAGTGCAAGCGAAATAGCAACTAAAAACACCAAATTGGCAATAATCCAAGAAAAAAAACTCGAACAAAGATATGTAAATATTTTCATTGCAAAATAATATATAGCATAGTATTGAGTATTGATAGGGACTTAAATACGGTATTTTACAACTCCACGTGATACGCTCTTCAAAATATCACTTAAATATGAAAAACATTTAAATATTTACAAATAATATTACTCAGTGTGTAGTGTTAAATTACTAGCTGTGATCGGAGTCATCCACGCGTGAGCGCGGCGAGTAGAAACTGGAGGATATAAGAGCGTTTAATTAAAGACTGACTGGCATCTTCTCTCTGAAGAAGTGAGGAAGCTGAAGTACGTGAAAAGATTTTCTTCTCAGCAGCCTGAAGAGAAAAAAACAAGCAGCCTCGCTCCATTCCTTTGTTAAAATGAAGATCTGCTGTTTGAATGCATCACCCCGGGCACGAAGCATTACGATCTCTAAAAAAAAAAAAATGCATCCTTCAACCCCTCAAACATGTCCTGCCTCCGACTGCCAAAGTGCCTCGAGCTTAATTCATCTTTAAAACTAAGAAGTATTGGAGTCTGGCCTGTCATTATCTGACTCCACTTTCCATTTGCCGCAGTGCTGCGCTGTGTCTCTGCGGCGTGCCGGTGGTTGAGCCTCCTGCTGGGACACGTTGCGGCCCGCAGGAAGGATGGGGCGGCGGGGGGGGGTGGGGGGATGAGCGCCGGCTCGGCGTCCGATTGGTCCGCTCTGGCCGCCCTGCTCTACGGTAGGCGTGATCGGCGCCCTAAGGGTCAGATACACCTCGTCGCCTCTGGTCGAGGGGTCACTCGGCTTTCAAGAGTTCAACCTGCATGCGGGGATGTGATGGGGGGGGGGGGGGGGGAGTTGTCTGCTTTTGATTTTTCTCACCTTGAGGCCTCCCGTCGACATTTTTGAGTGTCAGAGCACAGACGGCGTAACACTCCCCTAAGTGCTGCTGTTGTAATCCAGTACATACACGCGCAGCTCCACCCACCCGGGAGGCCCTCCCTCCTCCATCTCCGCTTTCTCTTCAGACCAAAAAAAGACGTTTGGCTCTGCGTCGCCGCCCGCGGCCCTGCTCCTTCTGCCGGCCTCGGTGGCTTAGTTCCAGTTGGGCGTCATGTATCTGGGGATGCACTGGCAGACCTGGTGGCTGTAGTGGAAATCGGCCAGGCAGTTGCGTCGGGGCTTTCTGCAAGACAATCTGTAACAGCTGGGCAGAGGGGGGAGAGAAATAGAAAAAGGTCAACCGGGAGGAAGATGGAGGGTGGAAGAAAGAGGAGAGAAGTGAATATACCAAAGGATTTAGAAACTGCGTGTGAGAGAAGATGAAAGGGGGGGATTGGAAGAGAACATTTCTGAGGGAAGGGTGGAGGAAGCGAGACTGAATAAAAGCACAGAGGCTCTTGTAGTCTCTTGGCATGAACACTATCAGATCTTCACATCCCTTTTGGGTAAAACCCCCCCCAGGGAAGGGAGGGGAATAATACGGGGATCTGGGATCACAGTAGTTGTATTGTCTTCTGTGCACCACCTCCTGTGACCAGATGTTGAATCAAACCACAGAGAATAAATAAATATTCCAAAGAACGATGGAATGAGAAAGTGGATTTGCACCTGCTCCTCCAGCATCCATTTGAACCTTGTTGGGTCGTCATTCTTCTTAGAATTAGCTTCAAGCTAATTAACCGGTCGGCACGATTTCATGTGTCAAATCGGTTGCTAGGTTACCCCGTCACGAGCGGTCACCGGTGCGTCGGTGAGAAAAACCCCTCACATGGACGGCCCCTGTCTGCAGTAATGTTTTTCCACCCGTCTCGGGGGGTCAAAGGCAGGCCGGGCCCTTGGGCCCCCCACACCCCCCCCGTTGGCTGTGGGAACCGCGACGAGCACGCGGTAAAACGCACGCGCGTCCGCGTGTCCGTAAAAAGGTCATGTGGAAACATGTGAGATGAAGAGCGCGGGGGAAGTAGGGCGTCTTGTTTCAGTTTATACGACGTGCCCGTTGAGGGTTCGCTTGTTTTCTCCCCCCTGTGAACTCCCCCGCCCCCCCCCCCGCCTCGCACAGATCCTTTGGGAAAATACTTTTCTCCAAATGGAAGTTGTCTTGAGAACTAATGTGCAGCAGCAGAGCTGGTAACGCACACACACATCCGTCGAGCCAATACAGTTGTGTCATTCCTGCCGGTTCCTCCACTGCGTGCAAAGTGTTCACTATTTTCCAAAGCAGAACACCGAAGTTTTCACTGACATAACTTTGACTCGTTTTGCTTCATGCATTCCCTTTAAGGCATCCTCTGAGGCTCAGGGACTCGAACCCGTACCTGCAGGAGTTGGGGTTGAACCTCTTGCCCTGGCGCAGACACGACTGCGGACTCTCCCTGCACTGACACAGGCAGGTGTCGGGGTTCAGGGGCTGGTTCCCGGGGCACTCGGCGGCGCACACGCAGCCGCACAGCTCGTCGTCCCACCGCTGGCCGGTGGGACACCACTTCCCCTCACCTTGACCTTCGCACTGGCATTCACCTGAGGGAAGGGAGAGGTTCTTTTAAAAATTGGTTTACAATGAAACGCAGACGATCAGACGTTGGATTGAGCAGCTCTGTTGGTTTCGTTGCCAAATATCTGGAGGTCGGGTTCGGACTTGTTAGATGTTTGTATGTCGCCCTGCTTCCCAAAACCTCCCACTGTCTGCGCTCATGCCTTCCTGCTCCATCTCGCCCGATTGCCTACTGAATTCTCGGCAACTTTGTGTATTTACAGTAAATCAATCCTGTTGAAACCAGTGGGGGGCCACACAAAAGGTGCCACTTTTAAACCCCCTTTTCCCAAACAAAGGACCACTCTCGTCCTCCGTGTCCAAACTTTCGCTGCTTTCATATTTGTTTGTTGTTTTCTTTATTAGAACAGTAACCAAGGCCGTGCTTACAGGTGTCGTGGTCCAGCTTCCATCCTGGATCGCAGCTGTCCTCGGTGAGTCCATTTCGACAAACACACTCGCAGGTGGACTCGTGCAGAACCCTGTTGGGCCCGCAGAGAGCCAGCAGACCCGCGTCCAGCACATCTGGAAGCCACGTGGAAAGAAGGTAAAAAAAAACAAAAAACTTTTTAGTCTCTATGCAGCCATGGAAACGTGACACTTCCTGACCCACATCCTGAAAACCTGATGGAGTTCAGCTAAAAAAACGTGCATCCCGTGTTTAACAGAAAACACACAGATTTGAGAAAAGCGATGAGTCATGTATCTTCATTCCACTGGTGACCGAAGTGACGCATGCACACTGACCCGTCTCTCTCTCAGAGTAGTTTATGGCCTCCGTGGAGACACAAAGACAGTTCACTGGATCCCACAGTGACCCAGACGCACAGGGATGGTGGGGCGGGGAACACCTACGCACACACACACACACACACACACACACACACGTGTTAAAACTCCAGCGGAAACGTCGATTGACTCAGAAATGCGCGTCACTCCTCGCCCCCACTCACAGGTGATCTGTCGCGGCCCGCCTGATGATGGAGTGCAGCGGCCGCTTGGCGAGGCATGCGCACGAAGTGTGGTTGACGAAGGTCACCATGACCACGGAGTGATCCATCGTGGCCGGGGAAAATTCCATCAACTGCCCGGAGGAGAGAGCGGGGAGAAGGTCAGAGATTTGCGTGCGCGCGCTTGAGGAATGTGTACTCGTGTAGGAAGCGTCTCGGCTGACGTGCAGGAGGTGATGTAATCTTTCGCGAGCTTGTGCAACCCGTGCGTGACTCTTCCACCTGATGTCCAGCTGCAGCCAGAGGCTGTCCCACTGCGGCGGGGCGGACGGGAGAAAGCACCAAGAAATACCAAGAGGGCCGCGTAATGCGAGCGGGCGTCAAACCCGTGAGGAGGCGTCGGAGGGGAAGGGAAGGGATGGGATGGGAGGGGGGGGGCAGCGCTCACCGTCTTGTTGACCAGCGAGTGGCTCGTGTTGCCGCAGTAGTGGGCCTCCGTCTGGCAGCATCCGCCGCAGCGGTGCAGCACCACGCAGCGGGGGAGGTAGAATTGACTGGGGGATTCTGGGTACTCTTTGGCGACCTCGACGCACACCTCTCGGGGCTGGCAGGTGGTCCGCTTGATCTCCTCCATGATGACTGCGAAACATGCGGGATGAAGGCATGGATGGAAACAACCAGTTAAGAATCTGATTTTCATTCCATATGCATTTTTTAAATTAGAGACCCGACCTGATTGGAGTCTCTTATCTTGTGTCTTTACGTCAATTTACTGTAATGTGCATTCTGGTAAAGAATCTCTCCGTTTACCTTCCAGAGTCCCGTCCAGTTTGTACAGGGCCTCCTCCCTCGGCTGCCCCCACAGATCCTCGGTGCCGGAGTCCAGCGAAGGCCTCGCCGAGGAAAAAGACGGGACGTCGGCGGCGTGCCAGGATTTCTTCTTCAGGCACTGCTGAAGCAAACTGTATTCTGGGTAGAGGAGCTGCAGGAGCTGATCCACACTCGTCACTGACTCCAAACCGGGCTTGTCATCCAGCGGCACAGGAGCCTGCAGGACCGGAGAGAACCGCACAGGCCGACGTCAACCACGCGACAATGTGTCAATGTGACAAAGTGTGGGTGTCGTCCCCAAGAAGAGGGCGGAGAACATTTGGTTAAAAACAACATTGTTCGCGAAACTTTTCAATCTCGAGGTTAGTTTCTTTGTAGAAAAACTATTAGATTCTGTAAAATTTCCAGTGCGATAGTCTCTGGTTTGAGCTGGATAAACAGCGAATACCTCGCGTGGCCTCCTATGTGTTGTAACACGTTGCTACTGTTAGTTAATACGGGTTCTTTGGTCTTCTCCGCACCTTCTGCGCACACACACACGCACGTGGTTGCATTTGAGAACACGAGGAAGCGGCAACGTTTGATTCATTTCTGTTTGGCTCTGTGTTGCTCTTGGATCTTTTTGTGGATCCCCGTTCAGAGCTTTCAGACTTCAAACAGTCACCCGAGGCAACGGAACACATTTGGAACCGACTTGCCCTGCTGCTGCAGTGCCCTCAAGCAAGGCGCCGTGATCTGATCCACTTTACCAACGCGTGGGGGCATTTTTGTTCTACATCCAAGTCCTTCTGGTTCCCTCGTCGCGCATATTTCTCTTCTGGTATTCTTCCTTAAAAAAAAAAAAAGTTGCGACGTGGCCCGACTTTCTTTTCAAATAGTAAGAAATGGGCAGAGATCATCAGCAGCACGTGAAGAGGTCACAGTGCTCACTTCATGGCACAGACAGCAGTGCATTGTGGGAAATAAGCTCAGCGAGGCCGATATGAGACTAAATCCCTTTACAGTAGCTCCATTAGCATTCAGCGCCGTGACTCATCCCTATAATGGTTTTTCTGCCGCTGCGTGGAGATCCGGGCGGATGAAGGATCACTTCGGGGGGGCCGAGTGTCAGTCGGGAGTCAGCCGCTCCAGCATCACATATGAACCCCCCCCCGGGGAGCGAGCGTGTTTTGTTTATTTTCCCAGGCCGAGGAGGAGCAAACTGGTACAGCTGGCATCACCCAAACGGAATCCAGATCTCCCTCCATTTATCTCTGTCTCTCTCGCCCCCCCCGGTCTGCCTCCCCCCTTCCCTTCTTTCCAGCCGTCTCGTATGTCTCCACACACGCAGTAAGACAACAAACGGGGAGTTGTGCATTAACACAACAGCTACCACGCTGGTGGCTCTCTGAGGATGAACAGCTGTGCTCACATGTGGATATAATGGCACGCAAACATCTGCATGCCGATGGAGGTTTCATTACTTTTAGTAGAGGCCACAAATATCTCTCCCTAACATCAACAAATTACATATTTGTATATATAAGTGTATCTTTTTTGGGGCGGCGGACCAGATTTTGTTTAAACCGCCTGAGGCTCCATAACCGTTAATAGTTTAGAGACACAATCTAAAATAATATTGATGGACAGTTGGGAGGAAGGATTCTTCTCTCCTTGTTTCAAAGTCCTCCCCTCCCTCCCTCCTTTTGTGTTCTTCAGTGATCGCAGGACGTGAGGTCACCGCCGTGGGACTACGAGGTCATGGTGGATGATTGAGCCCAGCGTTAGATCCTGCTGGCGCACAGACTCACGCACATCCACACGCCCGCGCGTCCGTCGCTCCTTCCAGTATAAACACGTTGCGTCGGAAGCAAATGTGACGCACAAACACAACATTTCACTTCCCCGAGCGACTTGTCTGCCCGAATACGGGTCGGGATTCATTCATTCAATTCCAAGACGTTCGTATGTCGGCGGATCTCGTCCAGGAATCTGTCATCGCGATCGATTTCTACTTCCAACGAAAAGGCAACGAGAGAGTTGTGACACATGTTTGAATTCTACAGCTCCTACACATCCCGTCGCACAAAACCGAAAAGTGCATCATCAATTCTTCCTACTCTTGAGTTTAAGAGACACTGCGTGTGAACCGCATAGAGATCCAGCAGAGGCCCGATGCAAAGGGCCCTTTTTCTTCACAAGCTGAGTACGTTTGAGAAACGGCTCCGCGTAGTAGTTCTTAGAAACAAAGAGGGAATGAAATGGCTCACCTCGGTGCCCATGTCTCCCGTCTGGTAGAAGTCCGAATAGTCTTGTCCTGAGCTGATATTAAGCATCCATAGGAGCAGGGCTGGTATCCACATAGTGAGGAGATAGCAAGGCGGAGGAGGAGGAGGAGGAGGAGGTCAGTGAGGTGAAAGAGGGATGAGAGGAGGAAAAGGAGGGGCGGCTGGGGTGGGGGGGCGGGGGGGGGGGCTGTCACAGGCTCGGCGGGTATCTCGTTGCTCCCCTCTTCATTCTATCCCGGGACGAAGTTGCTCTTCCGGCGCAGGTTGTTTGAAGTCGGGAAACCAGCTGAATGAGACATGATGAGGAGGTCGCCTCCTCTTCGCTTGGCGTCGTACGACGGCTCCTGTCGTCTCTCACTCCGGAGGAGGCCGCTCCCCGTGCTGGGCCTCCATTCTCGCCGCGCTGTGATCTGATGTCAGGTGTTCGCTTTGCCTCTTTATCCCTCCGTGTCTGTCTTGACCTTCAACCTTGAAACGATTTGCTTTCTGTCTCTCCTTTTTTTCTTTCTTCTTCCTTTCCAGCCTTGGTCGTCTTCGTCAGTCTCTTCTCCTTCGCCCTTCACACTCGCCTTCTTTATCTGTATTTCCTCTGCACACAACAGCTGTGCTCTTCCCCTCCCTCTCTCAGATTACCCCTGCCTTTATCTGCCTCCTGTTTCTTCCCCGTGAACCTCCGGGGCAAATCTCTGTCTGTCTTTTTTTTCTTCTTTCTAAATCTGACACAACTTTTTTTTGTTCTGGAAGGTTGTCTGATCCTTTGAGAAGCATCAAAGAGGCAGAGAGAGAGAGAAAACGAAGGAAGGAGCCTTTTCCCACTGGAGTGAAAAAGAAAAGGAGGTATGCAGACAGGCCAAGCAGAGTGAACGTGCGTCCTCCTCAGCCGCGTCCTGCTGGAGTGAAGGAGGAATAAATACAGGAACAGGAGGCTTGTGTCTTGTGGGCGGAGTGAAGAATTCAAAAGGAGTTGATTCTGCGTTGTAGCTGATTATTCCGGCACTCTCCTCTTCATTCCCGCGGGGTTTGCAGTGTGTGTCGCCTTGGCGCCGACACACTTGCTCTTGACACGTGCCACCCTCCTCCTGCCAGTGGCATTTGGAACCTTGATTCGTTTGGCTCCTCGTGTGGCTGATCGCTCTCCCTGATTGCTCTCTGGTCCCTTATCTGGAGGTCTCTTTGTCTCGTCCATGTCTGTAATCCCCGGCGGACGGGAGCAGCTGCCAGTAAGGCTTTAAAAACATGTGTGTTCTGTAGCAGCCAGCGGTGCCGCTTAACTGCCGCACTAAGTGCCTTTTTATGAGCCGCCAAATACCTTTGATGCCTCTGCTTCGTGGCAGCTGCCGCCCAGTCCTGCTGCCTTCTCCATTTCCCTCCATGTCGTGAGAGAAAGAGACACGTGAAACCACACGTTTGGTAGCGCACACCTGCAGCCCCTTCACACGTTGTCAAGCTCCACCGTGGTCTCCCCCCCCCCTCTGGTTATACCTCCTTAACTATATTGCCCCAAGGCTGTGTGTCTGTGTGTCAGGGAGGAAGAGGAGGAGGAGGAGGGTGAGAAGAGGTGAGCTGCAGCTGGAGCTTTGTCTATACTAAGATATTCTTTTCTTTTTTCCTCCACCTCTCTGAGGGGGGAAAAGCAGCCGCCGGCAACTGTGAGGGTGGATTATGTGGAAGCCGGGCGGACAGATGGGAAGAGGAGAAGGGAGGTGTGTCTGGGAAGAGATCGAATGAGAAAACATCCGATTTTTTGGGGCCAATTACTGGCAGCCTTTTTTCAAGGATTAATGACGGCACAACCCCCCCCCCCCCCCCCCCCACGCACACGCAGACACACACACACAGCGGCAAGTGTCTGCTTGCAGTGCGCTTTGTGTGTTGATCTGTGCAACCCAAACCCACATTCCAGGCATTGCTTTCTCCACGTGAGGTGGGGGCACAGGATCCGAGACCGTTAAAGGTTAAATCATCTGATCAGTGAGGACGAGATGGCGGGTTTGCGCAATGGCAGAAAGACAAGAGTTTAAACCCGATAAAATACTTATTGACGAACCAAATACAAGCGAAGCATGTCCGGGGTTAAAAATGATGCCCTCAATGGATTCTCACGCTCAAACTGACACTGGCAGGTCTCACGCAGTAGAAATATACGAGGTTAAAAAAACAAACAAAAGGAACTTTGTTTGAAAAAAAAAATATTTAATTTTATACACAACATCAGAGCCAGTAAACGGCCACATAAGACGAGGAAGCACCAACACAAGAGACATAATCCGTGGCTCAGGCGCTCATGTTTCCCGGCTTGCGCCTGCTCTGCACCGTCGTCTCCCTTCATCCGCCGGCGGTCCCTCGGTCACAGGACGTCCTGTGCCGCAGGCGCAGAGCGCACACAGCGCAGCCCATTGTGCTCTGTGCGGTGAACCTCTTCCTCTCCGCAGCCTGAGCATTACCGGCGTTCACGGCTACTGGGCCGGCGTCGACGGGGCCGCGGGCTCGTCCGCCTCCGTCTTTGTGCTCTCCTTTGGACTCGGTTGGGCCAGCCTGCTGTAAATGCTCATGGCCTGAGGGAGGGGAGGGTCAGAACATGAACCATTGTGTACCTTTTCACTTCCTCGTATGTCTTAATCTCATCACCAGTGTACCTGTGCGACCATTCCACCGACGTCCCCGGTGTTTGAGGGCAGAAGGATGGTGTTGGACTCTTTGGCGAGGTTGGAGAAGGCGGAGACGTACTGTTCGGCCACGCTCAGCGACGCCGCCGCACCTCCGTTCTGTTCGGGAAAGCAGGCGAAAGGATTCTGGTCGCAGGCGATAACGTTTCCAAACAACAGGGGACTACCTTCTAATCCTTTAACGACAGCAACAACGTCACGATATCGACTTCATACCTGTTCGGCCAGAGCCTCCGACAGCAGACGAATGGCCTTGGATTTGGCTCCCGCTTTGGCCAACACAGCTTGGGCCTCACCTTAAGACAAAAACCCGCGCGTAGAGGAGCGTTAATGGTCGGCTTTAAGTCTCCTATTTCACCATTTCTCTTGACTCGCTCCAACTCTAATGCGCTCGGATGTTCGGTTTGCTTAAAGTCTCAATGAGGAGATCACTGTGCGTTGTTGTAACACAGTCTGCAGGCACGCAATTAAATACTTTGTGGATTTAGAGTAATGACGGTCCTACGTCAACGGGCCCTTCAATCACACTTGTGATCACATGAATCATGCGTGACAAATCCCGCTGTAGCAATCGTTGAGGGGAAAAGTCGAATGCACCAACCGGCTGCTTTGTTTATCTGCTCGGCCTTCTCCCCCTCGGAGGCGAGGATTTGGGCCTGTTTGCGACCCTCTGCGATGTTGATGTCTGCTTCTCGTGTCCCTTCAGACTCCAGCACCGTGGCTCTCTTCTTGCGCTCGGCCTCCACCTACGCAGGAAGCGGAGAACAAAGACGGATCTCAAATAGCTCTCCGCCGAGGAAAAAAAACCACCCCAGTGTCTGTCTCACTTGTTATATTTAAAAAACACACAAATAATACTTCTTTAGGGCACTGCACAGAATATCGCTAAATGCAATACGCCTGAATCACAGGGATGCAATCAGAAGGTTATGCGTCTTACCTGCATCTGCATGGAGTCTTTAACACGGGGAGGAACTTGTATGTCTTTGATCTCATAGCGCAGGCAGCGGATTCCCCACTCGGCGGACGCCTGGTTGATGGAGTGGACCATGTTGGAATTGAGAGACTCCCTTTCCTTGAAATCCACAGAGGCGGCAAGTTCAAGGTACACACACACACACACCGTTTTCCTTTCTTTTGCTGCAGCGTTAATGCACACATGTTTCTCACCCTGAATACTTTATCCAGCGTGAGTTTGCCCAGTTCTGAGCGCATTGTGGTCTGAGCGAGCTGAGTCACAGCATATTCTGGATCCTCCACACCGTAACTGGCCTGGAGAGACACAGAACTCATTAGTCTCCTGTGTGATCCAGCTCGCGGGCGCCCCCTGCGGGTAACGGACAGCTGCTGCATTACTACGAGCCGGCGTTTTATAACTTCAGTCACATGGTCCGAGTAATAAAAAAATAAATGTCTGCCTGTCTGAATGTATATCTGGTGTTCAGCCATTTGATGGGGAGAATATTAGTTGTTTAGTGATTACTATTAATAACTCCAATCAGGCACATTTTATACAAGAATAACTTGTAGTATTAGCGTCCTGTTAGCAACACACCTTGAAAGGGTCCAAGATTCTCAAAAAAAGGACTCCGTCTATTTGGAGAGTCACGTTATCTGTGTAAAGACAGAACACATCAATTCAGTCAGCCATGGCGACAGTAAATTAGATCCAATAATAAGCGTGTGCGCGTTGAGGGGAAAAACTTACCTTGGGACACAGCGGACTGCTCGGGAATGTCAATAACAATCTCTTTAAGGCTTTGCACATAGCGAACTTGGTCAAGTATGGGAATGAGGAAGTTCAGTCCCTGTGAGAAAGGACAGAAGACGGTTTTAAATGATGTCTGTGCTCCATTAATGTACAGATTGTAGTCACAGAGCCCAAAGTGGCTGCTGCTCTGGTTCAAGCCTGTTGAAACAAAAAGAGAATACCGGCTCCAAGATGCGGTGAAAGCGACCCATCCTCTGGACCACCCAGGCCTCCTGCTGCGGCACAAACAGCACCACGGTGTTCATGGGTAAGCGCGAGGCCCATCGCTGCTGGATCGGCGCGACACAAAGTCTGGGCGCCATCCGCTGGGAGTTCTGCAGCGACACGAGACACACAGATCAGTCAATCCGTCCCATCTCTAATGTTTTGTTCGACAACGGGGTTCAAGTGTTAGTTTATTTTAAATGTTATGTGTATATTTACGGACATGGTGTAAAAAAAAAAAAGAAATCACCAAATACAAAGTACATACAGACTTAAACCAAACTGTTCCCTTATCGATCTATGCAAAAGAACATTAAATCAACAGTAACTGCAGTACAGTAAACAGAAACCAATCCTCGGAGTTAACCGTGCCCACTGAAAACATTCGGTCCGTGACGTCATTTACGTAAAAATGACGTCTCGAAGAGCCGTAGCTGACTTGTTGCTGTTCTATAAATGATTTAAGTTGACTTGTATTGGTGGTAGAGCTTTAAAATGACAGAAGCATCAGCACATTGATGATATGTGCGTATTATAATTAATCAAATTTGTAAATACTGACGCGCAGCATTTCGTTGATTACAATGCAACTAGTATAGTAAATTGTGGGCTAAACAGGAACAGCTAATAACCGTCTGATTATTTCCGAGGTTAAATCACAGCAATTAATCATATAAATGCGCAGATAGGACGCTTACATGTCAGTGCAGCCGCTGTAGATAACTGGCTAACATAGAGATTGTTTAACATGTAGCATGCGGCTAACGTTAGCACGCAGCTGGTTAGCCGACGTCTCAACTCGCACAAAAAGGGCTGTTATTATCAAATAAAGTGTTGTTTTACCTTAAAAACGAACCCGCCAGCCTGACACAATGTCCGTAACATGCTTAAGATGAAACCGGTTAACCAGTGACAGAAACGTTACGGTGTTATAACCAGACTTGTCCCCATTGCTCTCGACGGCGTTAGCTTTCATTCGGCACCGCGCTACATCGCCCCCTGTGGCCTCGGATGACCTCTGACGACCATAGCGAACCGTGGCCTCTTGTGTTATCAACGACAGACTACAGGGTTGTTTTATGACTCATTTTTTTATTGTTGTGGGTTTGCAACAACATACTGGTACACTATGCAACATGATATAATGCATTGGTGGATTTAAGTGTGTTCTGTGTTTTGCACATCTTTCAGGGTGTCTCCAGTCATTAGTGGTGCAGTACCGCCCTCCTGTGGCCGCAGCTGGAAACTGCGTGCAGTCCGACCGGGGTTCAACACGGCAGGTTCGCTGAGATGTGTTTTGAGTGTTCAGCAAATTCACCCTTCATATTTATGTTTGAATAACATATGTAAATAGACAAAGCCTCGTCCACTCTCATGCCTAGTTTAGTCTTAGGAAAGAATGGATCCCTTCTACTTACTCTTTTTTTTAAAAGGTATCTGTGCTTACTCAAATGTTTTATCATCCTTTTTGACATTTGGGCACATTTTATTGTGTGGGGAGTGGACACTTTTTAATTTGGGTGGGACACCAGACTGATTTTCTTCACAAACAGAGATTTGTATCATCAGAAAGACAAGGAAGTGCATCTGACAGCAATACAGTTAAACATGGCAGACACACAGCACCACGTTGGTTATTTTGATAGGAGAGCTGTAAAGAAAAAGCTATATCTCAAAGCTGAATAATGGTGGTCGTGATAAAACGACTTGTGCAAAGGAAAGACGGCTACTAATTAGTCTGATTAATTCAGTCAATGCTTTATACTGATGAAACATCTACAATATTTCTTCGTACATCTTGTTAGTGCACACATTAATAGTCACTTCCTTATGGTTTCTTGGTGCTTATGACAATCTGGTAAACGTTTTTACAGTGAAAGAATATAGCAGAAATATGTAGAAAATATACAGTCATGGGCAATGGACAGACATGTGCAGGGAGACATCATAAACGCTGCTCTTTGCTGAGCAATGAGCCGTGTTTTCAGGAGACAAAGCTCTGTGCATGCGACCCTTGTGGATCGATGCTTCTACGGCAGACCACATTGGTTTAAAAAATACAGGTAAATTACATCTAATGTGAGATTTCAGCCGTGTCTACAGCAATTTGTACTCCTGGGAGTGAGGCTGCAGTATTCTGAGGGTGATGATGAGTTTGATAGCTTTTCTGAACCAGGGGTAAAACAGAGCATAGATCAGAGGGTTGACGCAGGAGTTCAACAGCATGATCCAAGACACCAGGGCGTAATAAGACAAGCTAGTGGAGGTGTCCTCGCCTGCTAGGGAGGGATAGTAATACGGGCAGAAGCACATCAGAAACACGGCTATCACAATCCCAAGAGTCGTGGCTGCCTTCCTCTCTGATCTTTTAGCGGACGGAGTAACCTTAACAGCGACAATCTGCAACCGAATGACACGCAGCTGGGAAACGGCAACTACAAACACCCTCATATAGAGAACCACCATGACTGTACAGGGCCCGAGGAAGGACAAGAACAGGTCTATTGTGCCTGCGACGTGGCTGATGACCACCACGCACTCCCCATAGCAGGAGCTGAACCTGTCCGGCTGCCCCAGGTGGCCCATCAGAATGCAGCCGTTGTAGAGGATGGAACAGGACCAACACACACACACCGATGCTTTAACTCTGTTCGGGGTGATCTTGGAGGCGTACAGCAGGGGGTCACAGATAGCCATGTAGCGGTCTATGGATATGAGCACCATGTTGCCCACAGAGGCGGAGAGCAGACTGTAGGAAACGTAAGGGGCCAGAGCGCACATGAGCTCTCCCAGCAGCCAGCAGGTCTCCGTGTAGCGCAGGCCCTCCACCGGCATCACCAGCAGCCCCACCACCAGGTCGGACACGGCCAGGGACAGGAGCAGGGTGTTGGTGGGGTTGTGGAGCTGCCGGAAGTGGGCGATGGAGACGATGACCAGCAGGTTGAGGGCGACGGTGAGCAGGGAGACGCAGGCCAGCAGGGCGTAGAGCAGAGCCGCCTCGGAGCGGGGTTTGGGCAGCCGCGTGCAGGACGAGTTGAGGCCGGGGAAGCAGAGCAGACGGCCCTCGGAGACGTTCATCGCCGGGGAGGAGGGGAGCAGGGGAGCAGGGGCGAGGAGCGGGCACCACCTTCTGCCAGACGGCTACTTTATTCTCCTCGTCTCCCTCCCTCTTTTCCAATCAGAGAGATGATGTAACATCTGTCCCCCATCAGAATCGCCAACGTCATTAACCCCCCCCTCCCTCTCCAGATTATCTTTAGTTTTATTCCCTCAGACGTTATGTGTCCACCTACCGCCACTGATGCTGCCACAGATACAGAAACAAATTGCTGTAAATTTACGGTGCATTTTCGTAAACGGTATCTTACAGTATGTCATAATAACTGTAACATACAGTTACATTTCCATCCCTTGCTTGTAAATTAACGGCCAATGTCATGTATAAACAGTTAAAGCTGTCAATTTACAATAATAGCAGACTACCGTAATTCAACTGCATGTTACATATATTTTATGAAGTGGTGGAAATACACATACAAGTGCAGTGAATCACAATCCATCTCTGTTGAAGGTTAATGTATGGAAGCCCATGTCAGCCGCTGAAAAACAGGTCCTGTAAGTCATCATAATGAGATAATAATGAGTATCATCATAATGAGAATAATGAGTATCTCATGAGATTCGATGATGACTTTTACTTACAGGACATTACTATACATGTAGCTGTCACTTTTATCCAAAACGCCCATGGTTTGACAATTATTGTATGTGGAGTAATTGGGGATTAGGTGTCTTGCTCAGGAACCTTCCGACTTGGCACATGGAGCAGCCAGGATTCGAACCGCTGACTTTGTGCTGCACAGCACACCCTCCCTGTCCCATACGCCGCCTTCGCTGTCGTTTCAGTGGCCGGAATGTAAAGATTATAAATATTTGTATTATTCAAAGTGTTCATTGCCTAATAGTCATTTGAGTGTTAATCGTGACCGACTGCTCCTGAACCAGACGCGTAATCTCAGTTCATCCAGAACGCCTGTCGGTTCAACATCGGAGGAGTTTCTCATTGCCTCGTCTCTCCAAGTAACGTTGGTAAGTGTTATTTGCCTAGCATGACATTCTCTTTCCTTACATCTTGTTGTCTTCCTCATCTTTGTAATTTTAATATTTTACCAATGACAGTTTTTCTAAATATTTTATTTTGGTTTGTTTTACAGAGGCACTGGATTAAGGACGCCGGCCGTTGGCTGCAGTCAATAGAAAGTGTTCCATAGCATATTGTTGCAGTTAGTTTACCTTGTTCCTAATGATTTTATGATTCATTTTTTTATTATTGTATACATGCGGCATATTTTATGTTTTGTTCTTGGTTACAAATGTCTAACATTTTTGTCTTAAAGGCATCTAATAAACTCCAACCACTATGACCGAAATGACTTTGGTTGTCTTTCTTTAATTTGTGGGGAATTAAATGCAAAAGTATACGGTTATAAGTAAACGGTAACATTCTGGTATTTATAACACAAAAACAGTACTCCTATGGTAATCCAATATACGGCAACATACCGTATATTACAGTAGGGCACTGTAAATAAAACAGTAGGTTACCAGCGTCGAATGCCAGTAAATTGCAGTTAATTCACAGTAAAATTGGTTCAAGTTTACAATAGCATACACTAATCCATTATCCACTAATACGGTAGCATACTGTATTCTATGGCAGTGTACCATAAAAAAACAGCAAATTATTGGCATCCGCTGCCAGTATTTTACCATTAATTCGCTATAAAGTTCACGCCAATTTACTGTAATTCATTTTACGGTAACATATTGTAAAAACCATTTACGGTATTATACCGTAAGATAATGGTAAATTCCTGGCGGACTTGCTGCCAGTAAGTTACCGTTAATTTACGGTGACATTTTTTTGTGTACCATATAGAAAGTAGGGTTTTCATTTTCATTATCATAGAGCAGCTCCAAGCTCTGTTTATATACTGTGCCTCAAAAGTCTACACCAGCGGTTCCCAAACTGAAGAATGACGCGGCCCAATTTGAAATCAGAAAATCTTTCGCGGCCCACCCAAACCTTTAATTACAACTCCGATCAAAATAAAATGATTAAAGACCTTAAGAATTTAAGCAAAATCAAACATCCGCGAGCAAAAGTTCGTCTCCGCGAGGTATTTGCTCGCTTGCGAAACGTGAACTTCGTTGCTCGCGAGGAGAATCTCTGCTCGCGCTCGAAGGAGTCTTCTATGCGCTCGCTGTTGTTCTTTTTGACAGTAAGGTGGAGACGGTGCTTTCAGGGTCCGATCGATGCTGCGAGGTGCGTCCGCTCCCGCCGCCCCCCTCGCCATCCACGCCTTAAATCTTCGGCTCCTTTTAGAATAACTTATTTTCCCCGTTAAGATGGTTCAGCTACTGTAGAGAAAAGGGCACCGTCTCTCGCTCTTTAATCTCATGAAGTGCTCGGCAAGAACAACAGCTTTGTTTCTCCGACGCGCCCTGAAACAAGATCCGTATCTAACGCGCTTGAGCGCCGCTCAGCATCTCGCCGTCGTAGACGAGCTTTGGCATTTTTGGCAGAGCGCCTTGAGCGCCGTGTACAACCAGTATGGATCAACCGATTAACCAATTGATCCATATATATAAGGCGCTCCGGATTATAAGGCACTGTCGTTTTTGAGAAAATTAAAGCCTTTTAAGTGCGCCTTGGAGTGCGGAAAATGCGGTATATTTACTTTAATACCACAAGAGGGCGCCCCGTTTGTTGAACAACGACAGGCGGACAAGAGCAGCCGTTTCGAGCGAGAGCGTCATTGTTTTATTAATCTGTCCGTTAAAATTGTTTGTGCTTCATCAACTAATGTTTCACATAACTAACGTGCCGCATCATAAATATTTTTATATATATATTTATATAATTTCAAACTTTTAAAAATTGAAAATTAAAAAACTTTATTTATTTATTGTAAATGACCTCTCGCGGCCCACACTTTGGGAATCGCTGGTCTACACATTACATTACATGTCATTTAGCTGACGCTTTTGTCCGAAGCGACTTACAATAAGTCCATTCAACCATTTCACCATTCAAGAAAGTGTAATTTCATCAAATAAGCCAATTTACAATTTTCTATAGATAAGTGCCGTTATAAGTATAATTTCAGTGCTACAATTTGTTAGTCTTTTAGTCGAGGTGGAGTCTGAAGAGGTGTGTCTTTAGTTTGCGGCGGAAGATGTGAACACAAATAGAGCCGTAGCTTTATATGCGGTTGCATTGCAAATATGGACCTAAACTAAGACTTTAAACCACGTAAACATGAACCTGTAAATGAGGTCTATATGAAAGGTGTCTGTAGTAAATAAATAGCATTTACCAAAATGCGTAAGTATAGTTTCTGTAGTGGAGGTACACCATTTCCTCCTGAATCGGCTCACTCTGAAGGCCTCCACGGCTATTTGTCTGTAACTCTTTGGGTTTAATGAAAATAATGTACAGTGACTCGAAACGGCCTCACGCCTCCGGATGAGAAGCCCAGAGAAGTTGTGACTGTTCGGGCCTTCTGCGCTCGTCGTTCATCGCGGCGTCGCTGCGGCACAAGCTCGACATCCAACCGCGTTCTACTACGTCAGAAGGTCACGTCCACAGTGTTGAGAAAATCTCTCAACGATACAGGATCAAAAAATAACAAATGTACTCCGTGTGATTTGTGACAGTGTGGATTTCGATGGAACCTACTCGGCATACTGAGTTGCATATTTTAATACACATAGTAGGTATTCTAAGTATCATACAAATATAGTTTATAAAATGCCGGTTTAATGTTCAACCAAAAGACTTTTCCTCAGTTAGAATCCAGTGTAAACAGAGTGTTTATTGAACCGTTCAGAGCTTCAGAACCATTAGGAACGCGGACAGCGGCCGCTGGACTTGTTGACCTGTTTTCGTGCCGACGGTTTGTTTTTTTTAACACCTCCAATTGGCCCGGTGCCCCGGGGGTTCAGACGTGTCACTTTAAAGAGTCGTCGTGCAGCAGGCGAGTTCCGCTAATGAGGTTCCTCTCCGTGCTTGTTTTTGCTGTAATTACATCTCGGAGGTATTACCGCCGCTGTCTCTGTACGTAGTTGCGTGTGTTTGTGGTAGATATGGGAGATATTACATTATTTGTTTGGCCTGCGGTAATTAGGTAATGGCGTGGGCACATTAGGTCAAATGGGTGAAAAACGATCGTTTGAGTGGACAATAAATGTATTTTAAATATCCACAAGCTCCTATGACACTTGAGTAGTTTTCCTCGAATGTTATCGTAAACTCCACATTTGGGTAATGTGAATTTTAAACTCTGAAAGACAGATTTGAGGAATATTGTTTTGATAAATGCTTGTTTATTGTTTATCTAGAGGAATATTGTCTCTGATATGAATACACATGTCTATAAAGGGCCAGAAATGTTTGAGACGTCATATATCTAACAATTTGACGTTGGTCGAGCTCTGCAAAAAGCGGAACTACCACGAGGTAGTTGATTTGGAAACCGGGGGGGGGGATTTGTGTGGAAACTGAATTGTGTGGTAACTAATGTGAACTGAAATGTTGCTATTTAAACTAAAATACAGATATTCTATTTAGTTCATTTTCTTAAACCTGTGGTTTTACGCGAAAGGTCACTTTTAAGGATGAGGATACATTCTTTTTTTAATCTGAATTCTTTCAAAACCAACTTGATACTTTGTTTATTTCTTTATTTGCTGGATCCCCGTTAGCTGACAGACAGACGAAATACACAGAAAACATTTATAACAAACAATAACCCATAATACAATCAGATGCTAGTGCATTCCAGAAATCCAAAGTACATTGTCCAGTACACCTGCAACTTTTAATGAGGGATCAGATGAGTACAAAAGCAAAGCAGTGGCAAACGTCACAGGTAGTTAATGGCCTACGGCGCGCCTTCAAAATGACAACACGAGCTGCATTAGTTATATGAGGACGTAGTAAATTCAAAGCATTAATTGCACGGAAAATAGCTGTACGTTTTGAGAAGGTTTGATTAAATACTACCTTTCTGAAAAAAATCACTAGTGATGTCATTTCAATAATAATATGTGTTGCAAGTGTATAAGTTATGGTCGTTTGTAATATGGATTAGGAAACGACACACAACAGTGCTCTTCATCCGGGGTCATTCATCCTCCAGCTCCTCCGGGTTCAGAGGCTCCACCCGCAGCCACAGGCCTCCCTCCGCACGCAGGACGAGTTGGGGGAGACGGCGAACCCCCCCGGGCCTGGTCCCGGTCCCGAGGTCGGGGTTCTCTCCCGGGGTCAGGCGAAACCTGAGCAGGGTCAACGCCACGACGACCCGAAGCTGTGCCAGCGCAAATTTCTGCCCGATGCAATTCCTGCAGGAACACGTACAGGTTGTTGTCTGCACCAACGTCCTCCCAATCATGTCAGACCGAGGACGGAGTACCTGGGGCCCGAGGAGAAGGGGATGAAGGCGTGAGAGGGCCGGTCCGCTGTGCGCGTCGGGTCAAACCGCTGGGGACGGAACTCCTGCGCGGGAATAAATCACACAGGTCAAGTGAAAAGAAGCCACGTGAGATCTGTTGCACTTCTTACGTGTGGGTCCGTCCAGACAGCGGGGTTGTGGTGTGTCCCATAAATGCTGACCAAGCAGATGGCACCTTGGGAGGAAGCACAGAAGGAAGAACCCGTCAGAGGTTTTTCACTCCTTTGCAGAATGTGTGTAAAAAAGAAAGTCCCCCCCGCTCTCACCGGCTGGTACGGTCCGATGCCCGGGCAGTTCCATGTCCCGGGTGTACGTCCTGGTCACAGCCTGCACGGGAGCGTGCAGCCGCAGAGACTCTCTGATGCACATGGTGGTGAAGGGAAGGTTGGACAGATCCTCCCTTTCAATGCAGATGTTCACGTCTGATTCATTGGGGACTTATTTTAACAATGTGATGACATTGCGCCCCCCCCCCCCCTCTTACTGGGCATTTTACATTTTCTTACCACTCTATTTGGTGTCTGTCTCGTCCTTGCATCAGATCCATCACCTCCTGCCTGCATTTGTCCTGATAGTGGTCGTGGCGTGCTAAATTATACAGCGTCCAGCTAATCGCACTGGCTGTTGTGTCGTGACCTTTGGGGAGTGGTTGGGTGAGGGGAGGGGGGGGGGGTTGATTGGAGGAAAACTCTGGGTTCTGAGACTAATTTTGAGCCATCTTTTAACCGTCTCACCTGCAAACATGAAGGTGTTGGCCTCTGCCTGCACCTCCTCATCTGTTAGGCCTTGTCCATCTGCATCCTGTCATTGTACAGAATGAAATTGCAGTAATTTAGTGATCGTCCCATTCTTAGTTCTTCTTCTCTACTACCTTTGACAGCAGTATGATGTCCACGAAATCTTTCTTCCTCTGTTGTCTGGTCAAATTTGTGTCCGACTTTGTCTGCTGGCTGATCAGAGCTCGACGCTTCTGCACCACCTCTCTGGTGAAGCTGCAAATAAACACAAATATCGAATAAAACAGAACAAGAAGTTACAATACTATGATTTCATAAGATGTGTTACTATAATGTGATGCAATATGGAGTATTCTGATATGTTTTAATATCATACAGTACAAGTAGGATTGAGGTAGATGATTGAATGCAAAGGTTGTGACGTGACAGTAGAATACAACGATACTGAAAAACAAAATTGCATACTAATAATCCATAATTTTCCAGTATAAATGTAAAGGCAGACTTTAGCGTCTCTTCCATCCTCTCTGCCTTCTACCTAAAGGTCATAGGGTCACACCGGTCCGTGAGCCGTACCCGTGCACGACGCCGAGGGCCTTTCTGAACCGTTTTCCCTGCTCTGTTCTCCAGTAAAACCAGTCCCAGTGGTGCAGAATCTTATGCCGACGCTCTATTATCAGGTCACTCAGCTCCACTACGGCTGACACGTACTCACTGACGGACCTGCAAAGAGAAACATTTAAAAAACAGGAATGAAAGCACGGCGGGTTTGCATTTGAGACAAGCGCGCGTCACCTCACCTCTGACAGTCGCTGTCGTAGCTGAAGGCACATTTCAGCAGACTGTCCAGTGTCATCAGAGTGATATGGTCAAACATTTCTAAAGCCGTCGAGCCCTCAGCGACCACCTGGCGCCATTTATCCTGAGACACAGCAGAGACGCAACAGAGACGTTTGCATGCAGTTCCTCTGAGCTCTGTGCACATCTCGCCCTGATTTCCACACAGAAAGTAATGCAACGCATCAACGCCCCGCTCTCTGGTATTAGCGCGTAACGTCTCACATGCAGGGTGTTCGTGGAGGTGTTGAACTTGGCAACATAGTTCTTCAGGATGTCAAAGTGAAAAGCCGGAGTCAGCAGCCGTCTCCTGCGAGACCATTCCTCCCCGTTGCATAGCAACAGGCTCTGTCCTGCGACATTACGGGGGGAGAAGATTGCGATTAACACTTGGTCGGCCTGCAGTTGCACAACAACGCACCGTATGTTGAAGATCCATGAGCAAGACCTTTCGGCTTGACTTGATAAGTGGGAGACTTTCATCGGAGCAGCTGCAGCGATTTCACTCACCGAGCCACGGACGCAGATGGCCGTAGATGAGCTCATCCTTCATCGTTATGCTGGCTGGATGGAGGGAAGGAGCAAAAAACAAAATGTGCAAATGTTTAATTGATAGCTCGGATCCCGCTTCCAAAAAGTATTTTATCCCAGTAATTATCCACTACCGGGCGCCATAAGCAGCGGTTTGACGTAGTCGGGGTGGAACAGTCTGACCAGGTGATAAAAAGGGCCGAGGAACCAGCTGCAGGAGTGTTTGTACTTGTGCACCAAGTCGTCCACCTGCAGGAGACCTTCTTCTGAGCTCTGCATCTGACGCAATACAAATCATTATTTTAATTCAACGTTTTCATTAAAAATGACTCTTTTTTTTTTTACAATCTTCTCATTGTGACCCAAAGGAAATATTGGTCATAATGAATAGCAACACATCCTGTAAGACGCTGACACATCGAGCGAGCGTAGCGTATTTCTGGAAAAGATCTGCGCGTTTCTGTTTTAACAGCCTCGTGTGTGTGTGTGTGTGTGTGGTTGTGTTTGGGTCTCCTACCTGGCCCAGGTGGCCCAAAAGCCAGGAGTTTGCGCGTGGCTTGCTGAAGCAGGAGAGCCTGTGCGTGTACCAAGCGTGTCGCAGCAGCAGCCTCGTGGTCCAAAATGCGACGACAGCTCCGAGTCCTGAACCGAGCACCAACAGGACCTGGCCGAGGCCCGTCCAGCTGAGTACTAGAGGCAGGAGAGACATCCTGGGACAGAAACAGAGTGTGACCGTCTTCACAATGACAAGTTACTGATGTGGAAATCAAACCGTTCCAACCAAATATTTCAACAGGAGGAAGTGGTGTAACCCCTGAGGGGGACTTCCTTTGTTAAAAAGGCACATTGTTGTAGCCTTTATTGTTGACATGAGTCTTGTTTACTGCTGTTGATATGAATACACTGCTTTTATATTTGATTTTATCTTAAGTGGACGATTTGATCAAGATGAACATGTCAACTGTTTACAGATTCTAATAAAACATAGACGTCTGTAAATGTTCATAAACGACAGACTCCAGATCATGTGTCATCATTGATGAACTCCAGAGAGAAGATCGAACCGGTTCTACACTAAATATGGTCGTTGGCCTCGTCGGCGCTGAACGCAGTGCGCGCTCCCGCGACGTACATGCACGGCTCCGCAGAGCGTCTGTAACACCTGAGCGGACAAACGGCCCCGACGAGTTTAACGGGAAATAAGTTCAGAAACCGTTGTTTTGCCAACAGGCTGAAACTAAGCACCGGCGACACGGTGCGTGTGTCCAGCTGGGATGTTTGTACTTCAGACGGTTTCAGGTGAGTTTTAATTCAACGTTTTTAATTAAATGTGGTGGGAAAACGCGACCAGCTAGCTGGCGCGCTAACTAAGCTAGCTTAATTGGTATATGCTGCTCGTAGTTTCCGGCCCTTTGTTTCACCGTCATTCCGTTAATAGAAATAGTGAAAATGCATTTATTTTATTTATTTTTTTCTGACATTGGTTACTTTACTTTTAATGGTACGCATTAATGCGAGTAATGCAGCACTTCCCCCCCAAATATATAAGAATCATTTGTATATAAATGAATTCTTTACATAGGCGGGGGATTATTCATGGGCATAGGCCTGGATTTAAACTATTAACACTTCTGTCTATTGTTGGATGAGGTGAAGCGGTAATATTATATCTGATGATCAATGAATCATGTAAATGTGGTTTGTCTCCCTCTGCTGGGGCTCATTTTAGACTTTTCTAATATAACCAGCTTTAGTAAATGAACCAATTTCTTGATTTTCTAAGAAGAAACATGAAGTTCATTTTATAAAATCAGCTATTGAGAATATATTCGGCTGCATTTTTTTTAAAGCAAAGTATAAATAATCCAGGCTGTTATTTTAGTTCCTGTGTGCGTTTTTCAGGTGTTCATCTTGGAATAAATGAAATTGCAGAAGGACACAACCAAGAGAGATCTCTTCCTGCGCCCAGCTCTCCTCCGTCATCTCCCAGCTGCAGCTCCACCCAAACACGGCCGCCAGCCGAATCCCCTCTGAGGTCTCCCTGGGTGACGGATGGTCAGATGGAGCAGGACCCGGATTCCCAGCAGCACCACCACGAGCTTCAATCGAGTCCTCCATCTCGCCCCTACGAGGAACTCTTCTGCAGCAGCCAGAGCTCCCACGCTGTGGGCCCTCTGACCGGCGCCCTCGTGACCTCCTGCGGGCCACACAGCGATGTGGTGAAACAAGGTTTCCTCGGGAAGCTGGACCGGAACCACAGAAGATATTTTGTCCTGAGAGCAGGAAGTCACACCGGGCCAGGCCGACTCGAATGGTACAAGAACCAGGAGAAGTCTGCTGGTAAAGCTGCGCTGTCTGGCTCAAGCAAGCTGGGGTACGTTCAGTCCACTTTAACCAATTTAGGATCTTCAAGGGGCTTCACGTTGACTCCTACGATTCGCTAAATGTAGACGAGGGATGTTTTTGATACGCGTCAGTAATTTGTTTGACTCCCTGAATAAATCCACGGCCTTTTTGGTCGTAATACACAACGTTCATGCTGGAAGTTAAAGGACCCTGAATTGTTTTTACCATTGACGCTGATCTCCTATCAGTCCCACCTGGTAGCTCTGAAACGTGTTAACAGAAACGTTGGCGCAGGCAGTAAGCTGCAGAAGTTACTGGACCTTTGATTCACTGTGGGGGTTTACGTCCCCCCTCACAGGGTGATGTACCTGAGGTGCTGTCTCGGTGTGAGTCGGAGCGGCAGTTCTAGGAAAGGTCACACGGTGGCGCTGTATGCCAAGGATCAGACCATGGTGCTGGTGGTGGAGGACCAGTGGGAACAAGAAGCCTGGTACCTGGCCATGAGGAAACTGATGGAGGAAGAGCGGAAGGATGAAGAGCGCGGAGAAGGATGTGATGAAGAGGATGACGGCTATTGCACCCTTCCCTCCGCTGCTTCCTTCAAAGAGGTCAGAGCTGATTGTTAATGTTTGTTTTCCCCCCAGCATTCGATCTATGGAGACGAGGTGACATTTTAAGGTATTTACAGTCACCTCTGTTACTCATGAAGGGATTATGAAAACACAACCGTTCTTAATTGAATGAGAACATAGTAATGGATGAAATATATCTGATAATCCACCAAAAAGCTTCTTAAATGCAGAGAACTTGGTTTTGATCCCCTCCAAATACATTTTACTGAAATGTTTTTCCAGTTTCTTGGTGACGGACACACTTGTATTCCACAGGGCACAAGTATGTCGTCATCATCCCTGAAAATATCAATACAAAGACTACAAATACAGCCAAAAGAACAGTTTAACATACCTAAAACCAATGAAAACACCTCGATGGTCCCTGCTGGAGACCCGGGCCGTACGGCCGGGCCCCCTAAAGGGGAGCGAGGCCACGAGGAACAGAACCAGGACTGCTTGTAGCCGTCTGGCTCCTGCTGCAGTGAAATGAGAGGTTTTCTAAAGGCCCCCAAAGGGAACCAAATAAGAGTTCCTTACTTTGTGCTCCCAGCTTTCCACCAGGTATAAATACCCCTGCCCGCTCTTTGCCCCTGCCCCCGCCCCCCCGTCTCAGGTGTGGCCCGTCACAGTGAGGCCCACAGGTCTGGGCTGTACCAAGTCTCTGTCCGGGGAGAGCCGTCTGTGCCTCACAGCCACGTCTCTCATCCTGGTCAGAGTGACGGCGTGCAGCGATTTGCCGTCGCTCACAATACCGCTGCTCAGCGTCCGGCGCTTTGGTCACTTGGACGGTTCCTTCTACTTGGAGCTCGGCAGGTCGGCACCAAATGGGCCCGGAGAAATCTGGATGGGAGCAAGAGACCAAGGTGATGAAGAACTGAAAGGTGTGGCTGTTTCACCAAGTTGTGCCTCGCCACAGGACCCTGACTTCTTGTCTGCTCTGCACAGGGAACCCGGCAGTCGCCCATCGCATTCACGAGGTGGTTATTGAGACGGTCCGGACGCTCCGAGCTCTTCCCGACTTCAGCCGCTCACCGGCCTCCTCCCGCGGTCAGCTTCAAGCCCTCCTGCCTTCAAAACGCGGCCGACCCAAATACAGAGACAAAGCGGTGAATGTGAGGCCGCCCGGTGCTCGTCCGGCGCCGCTCCTCAGGAACCCTGAAACCCAGACGAGTCCCCCTGAATGTCCCCTCCAGCCCGACAGACCACACCGCACGCAGCCTGCGTCCACTGCGGGCTCCGCCTCACACCCCGGCCCTCTCGCGTCCCCTCGGGGCCCCACGTCCGAGACCGACGACTACGTGGAAATGAAGACGGACCAGCGCGTCCCAGTGGACCAAGGGAGGGACAGAGGAGCTGCCATGGCGACGGGGGACCTCTGCAGCGGGAGCTGGGAGCCGGGCGAGGCTCAGCGTCTAGGTTACATGATGATGTCACCGCCAGGAGGACACGGTTCACCTGCACTGCCTCAGGACGACTATGTGACCATGGCGAGCCCACAAAAACCCAACGCACAACCTCGCCCTTCCTCCTCCTCCTCTTCCCTCCAGACGTCATTCGACAGGTGAGATGAACTAAAATCCAGCCAGTGCAAACTCGACACTTCCTCCGTGTTTGCCTGTCGTCTTGATGAATTCACATCACGTCGGTTTCCATCAGTACTCAGACTCTCTAAGCCGATCCACGTTTATAACGTTAAGCTCCCAAGAATGAATATTAGGAATATAATGTTTAATGCCTCTCACGCCACAAAGCTGTTATTTTGGGCTGTAAAAATAAAAGTGACTTTACTGGCTTCTTCTTAGAGCTCTGACCAACTGCAAAACAATGACGTATTGTAACAGGAAATGTTTGGCGGCCACGCAGGAAACTTTTTAAATGTCAAGAATGAACTAAGAGGTTCTGTTAAATCTATTTCCAGCCACGACTTGTATTAAACATTTTTTCCTCCTCCTTAATTTGTTTGTAGCTTTACCTCGGACAGCTCCTCTCCTCTGCGCGCGTCGCATCATCGGACCAACGAGCACAGTCCTCCACGCCGCCTGGTGACCTCGCTCCAGCAGTCGGAGACGGGAGCCGGCCAATCACAGAGGAGCATCCGCTGCTCCAGCCAACCACAGGAAGCAGCAGAGAGCTGCTCGTCTCCTGTGAGGAGCGTTGATCCGTCTGCCGCGATGACTCAGTTTGTCCAAAGTGGACCAGACCATGCCGGGCCGGGCCGGGCCAGCCGAGCGGCCTCGGACCAATCTGGTAGAAGATGGCGGCTGTCTTTGTGTCTCCCGTCCTGCCTGCTGGCTGAGGACGGAGACGGATTGTAATGATCGTTCTTCTGGTGACCTTCTAGTTACAGCAACGTATGAAAGAAATAATTTCAATCAACGGGGCTGTATATTAAAAATACATATGTTTAATATGTATTTGTCTGTAAATTCACTGTCTGTTTGGTTTCAGTTTGCCCCGTTTCTACATCTTCTTTGTTTTTCCTCGTTTGGATTAAATTGGGACTTGAAGCACTTTCACTGTTATATGAAGAAGTAAAAGAATAAAGTCACATGAAAGCAAATGTTTCTTAAGCCCTTTATTGATCAGTAACCAAGGTGATGGAATCAAGAACAGTGAATAATAAAGAATTAAAGAAACTCTCTTGGTCAATAAGCTGCTTTCAGTTTAAATACTGCTGGTTGCTTTTCTTTGCCAAGTGGTTTCCTGTGTCGTCTTCATGATTCTGTCCTAACGGTACCAACTCATTCAATACTGAAACGTTGTCCTTGTTGGGAATAGTTCTCTCCACATGTATTTTACTGTGAACTAACCAGCCATCACAAGGACTTTCACTTGATGGTGGATTTACATAAAATATGAAGATACTGGAGAGTTTTGTCTGTGTGTCAATGACAAAGACTGAAATAAAGTCACATTCATTCTTCAATAAGATGAAAAAGTCTTGAGACATGTAATGTAATTGCCTTATATTACAAGTATCTTAACTTTTATATGTTATGTTTCTATGATTTAATTTAGGATTCAAGGGGATTCATAAGAAAAAAACTACAAAATCAATGTAATTAATCTACCTGTCATACGCGGTTATATTCTAAATGAATTCAAATCAAAACACTTAATTCATTTCCTGTTTCTCCTCCTAGATGGTGTCAGTCTGTGGGAACTATGCTGGACTCTCCAGGTTTGTGAAGAAGAGGAACATCAGAGACCAGCTCTGTTCTGAAGCTCAGAGGTAGAAAACTTGTTCTCCGTATTATCTGCTGTGTTGTGGTTGTTGAATATCAAAAGATACTTTGTATTCTCCTCTTCAGGTTTGTTATGAAGGTCTTCCCAGCTCATGAACTGATGACCTATGGTCTGGAGTAGACGTGCACGTTAAAGCTGAGATACAGCCCGTTTACACATTTCGTTTGTTGTCTTTGTTGGTTCACAGAGGAAAGACAGGAGGTTTTGGGCGAGGATCAGAGGACTTCAAGGTCGAATCATGCATAGTATAATGCAATGGCAAAAGAGCTACAATATGCACAGTGAAGCTGATTAACAATTGAGGAACTTGAACTTTATCATCCAAAAGATTCTTGACAATTCCACCTAAACTCATCTTCTGTTTTTGCATAACCCCCTCAGTTCACTTCTCTGAAACAACCAGTGGGGACAAAGCCCCCACTACTACCTCCATGGTAGCGCACTCAAGACTTGGCAGTGGTGGGATTTGAACCCACTAGCACTTACAGAGGTTTTGGCCCCCTGCACCACTACGCCACCAGTCCTGCTCACACTTGAGACACTTTATTTCTCCTATTTAACCGTGAGAATGTGGGTTAAACCTCAAAACTCTAGCCTATGGCCCACATCTGGGCTTGAACCATCAACCTATAGGTGCAGGCAAAGGTTTGAGACAGCAGCTCTTCAGCTGTGCTACCTCGCCACCCACTAAACAACTCTTCGTTTCTCGTATCAAAGACTTCATTTCTTGTATTTGACCTAGAGATTACGAGCTAAACCGCAAAACTCTTTCAAGGAACGTCCGCTCAAAGGGGCTTGAACCAACAACCTCAGACAGCAGGTTGGAGCCTGCAGCCCTTCGGTTGTTCCCTTGTGCTATTCAGCCACATGCTTCATAATGTCTCTGTTTCTCCTATTAGACCTTGGGATTGCTGAATAAAACCTCAAAAACACTTCAAGCTCTGGGACGTTTGAACCGTGGACCATCCACACCTCAACCTTCCTGTTATCTCCCTGCACTGTTCCACCGCACACCCGCGCCGCTGGACTTTGTCAAGTTGATGAGACGAACCTCAATACTCTCATAGACTCACAGGCTGGAAGCCGCATCCGTTCCGTACCGTTATAATACAATTGCAGGTCAAGTAAAGTCATAATATGGCTAATAAGGTCATAGTTGATTTCACTACTTCTATGACTTGCTGTTGTTTATTTCACAAGTTTTATACGTTAAAGAGCTGCATGTTGGCGGTGTGACCCAACAGCTCAGTCAGTTAGCAGCCTGCGTGCTGAAGCCTGAGAGTGAGAAGTTGAGGATCAATCCCGACTCCACTGTGGAGTAAACCCATCTGGGCAGAGCGAAAAACAAATGCCAGAAGAAATGGGCAAGTTTGACCTTCAGGGATTAGCTCACAAAGATGAGGAGAACCAACACACGGCACCCTGAGGAGAAAGGAAAGAATCCCAAACGTGGCTCAGGAAGGTGGGGTTCGATCCTGATGCACGGTGGAGTTTAATGTTCCTGCTGTGAGATCTGCAACTCTTCTAGATGAACTGTCAGGTGGAACAAATTACTGGCTCCGAGTGATCAATTCTTTTAAAATTCAGCTGTTACTTCTCAGAGTAACTGCAGAAGAAACCCGTCGTCCTCTGGGCTGGAAACTGCGCCCTCGTGTGGTGAGAAGAGGAGCACAACATAAGAAAATCAAATTCACATACTTGAAACAAGTTGTCCACGTTCTGATGACTGAGAGCAAACTACATTAGTACATTTTATGTCATAAAATAATAATGTGAAATTAACAATCTGTTAAACTCGACAAGGATGTTTCATCACGTTAATAAAATGCTAGAATGTATTTATTTAAAGATTTCTTGCGTGGGCCCTTTTTGCATTTGTTTGCCTGTTGGACTGATCTCCCGCTTTGAACCTGCCTTAAAACGAGTAAAACCTCATTTGCATTTCTGCTTTTGGGGTCAAGTGCCTGTACTCCTCAGACGGGTTTGCCCCACAGGAGCAGCACATGTTCTTGCGTGATTCAATTTGGTTAAGTTTTTCAACTCTGGTGAAGCCAAATCGAAGAAAAAAATGAATCAAATAATTGTCATGTATGTCTTAAGTAATTCCAGCAATACGATCAAACTAACAATATAAGTATATTCTAAAAATGATCAATTATGTCTAAAAAAAAAAACATTACGGCAGAACTTCAAATAGTAGAAAACGTCATTACAGCTGGAGCTCTGTGACGGATAACGGCGGATTCCAGGTGACTTAAGCAATGTACTTTAACCAAGGAGAGAAACCAGTCAGGCCCCCCCCTATGAATTATGGGTAAGGAAATCAAAACGACATTGGAGTATGTGGAACAAACCATTTAATGTCATTACAAAAGCTTGGCACAAAGTCAGTTGACAATTTACAAGGAATATTACAGAATAAATACTGAGTTGTTTTCTTTACAAAATAAGCAGTCCTGACTACCATCCACTATTCTGATGTACAACGTGAGGCCTATTCAAATGTGGAGATAGATAAAGAGTACAAACGGGGCAGAAGATGAGGACCAGAAAGGAGTGTGTGAAATGACGAGTGGATGCTGTGCCGGCTGTGGTTTGTTGACAAGAGTTCAGCTCTCAGCTGTTTAAAAAAAGTCCCTCCTCCCGGCCGAGCTTCAGCGACACCGCGTGGTTTCTGCTGCCATTTGATTTTAAGAACAACTAAAAAAAAAAAAAGGAACAGAACCCCAAACAATTTCCCGAAGCACAGGAAGGTCCTTGTGTCGGAAGCATCTAGTGGCCCCCGTCTTCAGGTCAGCAGCAGGTTTCTCTGGAGAGGAGTAAGCGAGATGGATCAAAATCAATAACCTGTCAATATGATGGATTTATTTCAGTGTTGTTTAGTGTTATGACCCCTTAGAAATTGACCACTGTGTCCAAAAAGAGGAGTCTTATCCACCCACACATGTCAAATATCACATGTGCTAATTGGCTAAATGACCCCTTAGGGTATATGGGATTCAGGGGAGACATCTTTGGAGAATTGCTGCAATTTGGACTCAAAATAGCTTCGTCACTTGATGGGACGATGTTAAAAAACAAACTATTGGGGTGGGGGTACGGTGATATGCAGTCACCGGTTTGCACGGATGGTACAGTTCAGCACCTGAGTGCAGCCGCTCCTCCGCTCTCCTCAGTCGTCCTTCTTGTTGTCCAAGAGCTCCTGCGTCTGCTGGGCCAGCAGCCTCTTCGCCGCCAGCTCCTTCTTCAGCGCCGCGTCTGCCTTCCGACTTTGGTAGATCTTTGCCCCGGCGAACGCCAAGCACAGCAGCAGCGTCTTCAGGGCCAGGATGTAGAGGAGGAGGGGGACGTTGTCCAAGGCCTGAGGACGGACAGTTAAGCGTTTGAGGAGGGCACAACCAAGGCACATTTCTGATGAGGAAACAGCCGCTTAGATCTGACAAATGCCTGAGGGGGAAGGAAAAAGGAGGAAGAAAGCTCTGGAACGTTCGGGGACCCTGGAGAGGTTTCTCCCTCCCTCCCTCCCTCCCTCTCAGCTGTCAGAAAGGGAGGTGGAAGTGGATTTAGCTCCAAAGACGGGAGGCGGTGTGTGACGGAGACGAGCAGCTGCATACCATGTTGCATTCTGGGCTTTCATTTGCAATAGGTCATGCACACCGTTGTCGCTGCCAAAACTTTATTAAAACAACGTATGATGAGTTGTCAAGCCATGTTCCTAAACACTAATCCGTGAAGTGCCACAATGTTACATTCATTCCATTGCCAACTAGTGCGTTACCGGTTATTCTCAATGTATTACCATGCAAATTGTTGCAAAAGTGTCCCACGTATAAACGCCTGATCACACAACAGGGACGGATGAAGGAACAGCAGCCGCGTGACAGTCGTAGACATTGTTATACTGTCACTTTTAATTAACACCCATTTGGGTAACTTTAAATGCGAAGTTTGTGACGGACAACGCGGGGCACGCAGCAGCGCTCAGCTGTAGCATCGTTAGCATTACGCTAGTGGCCGTTATCGCGTAACAGCAAAGTGCGCAACAGGTATTACCCATACAGACATAGGATGTATAAAACAGTAGTCATGAGTTTATTTACCTTCCAGTTGATCATTCTAACGGCTGGAGTGTTGACGTATCTTATTTACCGAGTCAGCCACAGACGTCTTAAAGCTCCTTTCAAGAAGGCGGGGCTTGTGGTGACGGCCCAATCGAGTGGCAGGTTCCGTTGGACGTAGACTGCTGCATTCAAGTAAAACGTGGACTAAAGTGTTTTACGTGTCTAGCAATCATTATGACATTCATTTATATCCACTTTGTGTGCATAAATATGAGCTGAGATAGATGAGATTTATCAAACTGTATTAACAATATTTTAGTTATTGGTTTCAATGGTTGTTCATTGATTGTGCTACGTACTCCGTTAACTCCCACTGTCATGAATGCATCATAACTGGCCTTGATACAGACGACCACCTGCTAGGTTCTTGAAGTAGGATAAAATACAACCATATAGAGATTTCTTTGGGCCAAATGTGTTTAATTGGCATTCTTATTTACATTTATATTTAGTTAAACAATAATACAATTTTGGAGAAGACATACGGAACGCGCTGAACTCGTCAATGCACATTGAGGAACATACCAGAAGAGGGCAGTAGTGAGTCAGTTAACCGAAAGTAAAACACCGTAACTTCTCACCGAAGAAGAACCCGCACTGCGCATCAACACTGTGTCAAATAACAAGCACACCGCTATGCTATAAAGTGCGCGTCCTGCTTGTCTCGCAGCATGGCTCTAGTTCCGTACGTGGAGAACCCGCTACCGGCTCTCTCCAAGCTCCACAACTCATCGGCGCAGTTCCGGTTCGCCGACCGCGACCTCCGCCTGGCGCAGGACTGGAAGAGTCTCGGGGTGGCCGCGGTCGTGTGGGACGCGGTAAGCGAGGCGATCCGTGTGCAACGTCCGGTCTCCCCCCCTCTCCCCTCCCCTCCCCGTACCGTCGTTATGACGTTTTCGATTAAACGCGTGTGACGCGTGTTTTCCAGGCCGTCGTCATGTGCATGTACCTGGAGATGGGCACGTTGGAGTTAAAGGGGAAAGGGGTCATCGAACTGGGAGCCGGCACCGGACTGGTGGGCATCGTCGCGGCCCTGATGGGTGAGTTTACTGTCCGGTTGGAAGACAAAACAGATGTGAGTAACGCAAGTGTGAATAGGGTAAAACGTGTCACACGTCCCCCCCCCCCCCCTACACACACACACACACACACACTGCAGGTGCCAAAGTGACCATCACTGACCGAGAGCCAGCCCTGGACTTCCTCTCCGCCAACGTGAAGGCCAACCTGGCCCCGGACTCCCAGGGGTCAGCGGTCGTGTCCGAGCTGAGCTGGGGGCAGGACCTCGATCGCTACCCAGCCGGGGGGTTCGACCTGGTCCTGGGGGCGGACATTGTCTACCTGGAGGACACCTTTGTGCCGCTGCTGCAGACCCTGGAGCACCTGTGCTCGGACACCACCGTGGTGCTTCTGGCCTGCAAGATCCGCTACAAACGAGACACGGACTTTCTGAGCATGCTGAGGAGGCAGTTCAGGGTGGAGGAGGTCTACTATGAGACACAAAGGGACATCCATGTGTACAAAGCCTGGAAAGTGTCCCCCAGAGAGGACTTGTGATGACTGGGTGTCCGATCCATTCAGGTTCACTGCCTTCTTAGTTGTGGTAATTCACTGTTTTTTTGTTTGTTTTTTTTGCATACAAATAAAGATGTTTAAAACAAATATTACCAGAAACACATTTATTAACAGCTGCCAAAAATGTAATATGTGAATAGCTCTAACGTAATGCACTGTATCATACACGTTGGTGCTGACATTTAGAAATTGTGAATACAAAATGAATGAAAAGCAACATTAAAAAAATAAAAGCATAGTAATGACTAAATAATACAACATGGCATTCCACTATGACGAAAATATACTTTTAGTTCAGTGTGTCTGTCCCAAGTCCTTTTTGATTGGGTCACACTTTACGATCCTTGGAGGACGTTTTGAAAGGTGCAACCGAGCCGAGATTTAACGCTCCACACGACCAGCGACGTCTGATTAAACGCAAGCCGGTGCCCGAAACAACAATACACGCATGTACATGTTGTGATTCACTGCGCTCTAGCAGCAGAACTTTGAAGTAAAATCTGAGAGGCACCTTGTCAGCGCAGGCTGGGCCGGTATGCATCGTGGGACGCGTGGCATGATTGTGTGTGCAAGGAAAGTGCGGCGGCAACATTGTAATCCTAGAAATCTGAAGCTGGAGACAAAATGACATTAAGGGGACCCGATATCTCATATTCGCAATAAAAAACTAGGAATATATATATCCCCCCCCCCCGTAACAAAACCGCGTTGAGGTCTCGCCAAAAGACCCCATAATACCAAGAGATCCATGGATCCAGTTACGGTGCGTCGCCAAAATGTGCAGAAAAAGATGCTTTGGGGACAAGTAAGGCTCATTATTTTTGTTCTTCATTCAAAACAAATCCAGGAGTAAATACAATTTATTTAAAAAACGGATGGAAAGTCCATAGTACAAAAAAACGCTTCTTTTAAAATACAAACTCTGCAGAGTCACCATTTTGTTTACATAGTCTGGTGCATGGACAAAATGTATTTTGTATTTAATCAAATTTGTCTGGATGAATTGATTCCGAGGGCAGTTTCCTACGGCTGTACCGAGTGTTTGGTTTCCCCATTTGAAGCTCCGAAGCACTTCCAAATGTAGCCGAGACTCTGCTTCCCTTTTCAAAAAGGAAAAGTGCAGTTTTTTTTGTATTGTGGACATATAAATAAAATTCATGGCGCTGTTGGATTAGACTGCTACGACTGGTCGTTGCAGATGTGGGAATCCAATGTTTCTCATAAAGGCTAAACATCTACAAATAAAATACTTGACCTTTTCGAACACACAAATCGGGCGCAGTCACACGCCGCCACCACTGTAACATACGTCAACAAATACAGAAATAAACAACGCTAAATTAAAGCCAGCAATTGGAATGAAGCTCCTGACGCACCGGCACAGCCCCGGAGTTTACCGTAACCTACGGCGGCCAATCAAAAACAATGAGCCTTAGTTACGTGTCAGTACACAAACGAGGGATCCCGACTTTGGCCTGTCTGTCATGTTTCTTTAAAGCTGCATTTGACATGAAAACCCATTTAAAACTCCGCATAAATGGGAGACTTTTTGTTGTTGTTGTTGTTGTTGTTGCTGCTGCTCTGGTCGTATCAAGGCAAAGTAAAATAAAGTTAAAAAAAAAAAAACATTTTGCAGCAGACGATCCAATACATAATAAAACAAAACACCGCTAAAAGTTAAAATGTCCATGACGCAGCCCATCTACAGTTCAAAGCATTAGTAAGTAACAGCTGTTAATGCAATAGTACAACAAACGATGCACACGGAGGGAAACCTCTCCGCGCGAGCCAAGAGTCCCGGGGAGATGCAACTGTAAAATGTTCCGTCCCCGCTGGCGACGGTTTGGCGAGCAGTTCCCCCGTTGCTGGTGATGTCGCCCGCCCCCCCAGTGACAGAGCACGCGTCCCTTTCGGCGGCGCCGGAGAGTCCGGAGCGGCCCTCGTGGTTCTCGTCCCCCGACCCTTTGCCGCGAGCACCCTGTCCGGCGCGGCGTGGTGACCTCAGCACCCCGCCCTGAACGCCGCGCTTTGGTGGAGAAAACAGAATTGCGGTTTTCGTAGAGCGCGGGGGCGGGGGCAAGTTTTTTTTTTCCCCTCCTCTTCCTGGTGAGTCATTTTTACAGATTTTTCAGCAGTTTCTAAAAAGAAAGCCAAAGTAGAAAAGGGTGGTGGGGGGGGGGGGTTGGCATCCGGGTGCATGGCTCTCTGCTGAGTCTCTGTACATGGGGACAGTCGGGCCCCGGTCGAACCCCCGCCAGGCGTTTGGGGTCCTCTCTACTCAGATTTGTGGCAGTACAGGTCTTTGAGGGCTTTGAGTTCCTCGATGAGGGTTTTGTTCTGGTTCTCCAGCACAGCCACGCGGTTCTCCAGACACTTGACGTACTCCTTCTTCTTCCTGCGACACTCCCGGGCGGCCTCCCTGTGCGACATGAGGACAACGCGTGAGCAGATGTCTGCGGTGGACGTCTAAAACGTGCACTAATGGCTACCGGAGACGGTCACCATGGAGACAAAACACACACGGCCCGTCAGCGACTGAGAACTCCCACCTGTTTTTCATAAGTCGGACCTCCCGTTTGCGCGTGACTTCCTCTGTGCCTCCTCCCGAGCCCAGTGCGGGGGACGTTGCCATGACCACCCCGGGGGTGATGGCGCTGGTGGGGGCCGTGCGGATCTGGTAGGCCTGGACGTCCCCGGAGGAGGCTGACGGACAGGCGGGACGAGCACAAAGCGGTTGTGATACAGACATTCGAACAGATTCGCGCCGACGGAAAACGGCGTGCTACGGCAGAGCGCTGCGTGACCTCATCCGCTCACCTTGTACGACCACCTGGTTGCTCGGCACTAGGATCTGCTGCCCGTCGGATGTCTGGGCGTACTGCAGGATGGTGGCGCCACCCTGGCCGGCGTTGGCCATGGTCAGTGTCTGCATGCCCTGCACGCCATCCGTGCCGTTATTGGCCAGCTGGATGGCTCCGCCCTGGGTGATGGCGACTGCGGAGGGACGTTGTGTTCGAATCAAATCTCAAGCGAGCATTAGCGACGTTCTCCGATATCCAACGGTCGTGCGAATGGAAAATGGCAATACAAGCGCTCAGCGGCGAGTCCACACAAGTCCATCCCTTTAAAAGTCCTTTCCCAAACACGCGTGATGCACGTGTGATTACATGTGAGACTACAGAGAGCTAGAGGGCATGTTTCAACAAAAAACCCAAGCTTCCTATGTGGCGGTATTTAAAAGTACTTACTGTACTGCCCACTGCTGGTCTGGTAGATGGGGGTGGGCATGGTGACCGTGGTGATGGGGGGGGCCGAGTCGTCTTCCGACTTCTCTTCCTCAATGCGAGGCACCGCTGGAACGTCTGACGACAGATCGTTGAGAATCTTCCTGAAAAAACAACAACAACAAACAAACAAACACAGTCAGAGCGTCAAAAAACAAGGGGCGTTTAATCAACAAGGCATTCATTATTGGAATGAAAGCGCTCTTCTAGGTTGATTACATATCCGAGATACGGTGTCGCACAGACCTATAAGAGGGTCGCCTGGACAGGATCTCTCGCCTCTTCTGACAATCTGTGACACTGTCTACGGACTCCTGAGAATCTTCACTCTCACCAACGGTTGAAATCTGCAAGTGAACAAAAAAAAAAATCGTTATACTTTTATTTTAAAATGGGACGCCACATGTTTTGTACGTGCAAGACCGGAAGAAGTATGAAATGAGGTGGTGGCTTCTAATCCCATGTGGTAAGTCAATTCAAACCAATGGAAAATTCTGTTCCACGTACGTCTGGACTTATTGTTGATTAATGAAAAATGAGTTAGCTGCGAACGGCAAAGAACTCGTAGCTGTGTTCTCACCTGTACCGTCTGGACCTGAGGGGACTGGATTACGGAGGGCTGGGCCGCTTGGATCACTCCGTGCACTTGGACCGTCTGACCATTAGGTAGCTGCACTAGTGTGACGGTGGAACCACCGGTTGTCAACTGGCTGGCTGCTATGGACGCCTGTAACCATGACAACACACTCTCATCCAGTCGCTGGAGATATTGCTCTGATTTTCAAGGAGGTCGTTCAAAGTGTTGATTAATGTTTACCTGGGTCAGAGTGATGTGCTGGGCCTCAGACTCGGACACAACCGTTTCACCACTTTGCTGTGTGTCTGCACCAGCCTCCATTGTCATTTAAAATCTGAAAAAGTAAGAGACTCCTTACTTGTATATGCACCAACATGCTTGAAACAGACCCGTGCGGCACAAGAACAGCGATCCAGGTGCTTAAGGTGTGCAGGAGGGGAAAAATAAAACCTGTGTAAATCGTACATCGCCCCACAGTTGATGTGCAGGAGGAGGGTGTGGCTTAGCATCACGGGCTAGCATATCATTTATTTGTTAACGATCAAGTAAGTTAGGTTTAATAATTAACACAGTTTACAAGCATGTGGCACAGATATATTCAGTGACATTTTAACTGGTCTCGCCCTTCCCGTTAAACGCCGGAAGACTAAAGCCGACTCATCGGCTAGCCTGGAGTCACAGCTAGCATGAAGCTAGCTAGCTCGCGCCTCATTGATACCGTTAGCATGCTAACCAGCTAACGTTAGCTCGGGGGAAATGCATTGCAAACACATTTAGCCGCCATTTATTCAAAATCGCCCAATCTCTAATCCAGCTCATTTTTTCCGGCTTTTTAAAAAAGGCTCGTCTAGCAGCTCGGCACTTTGCAGTAAAATCAAACTGTTTTACAACCTAATAACGCATTAATGCAACTAATACCGCCGAGGTGCTAGCAGTGAGCTAGGATGGAGGGAAATGCATGCTTAGTATACCAGTTATGTTTGCAACTAACGTTAACGGATTCTTTCTCCCACTTTCACTGACGAATTTGTTGGCCACACACTACGTGAGATCGACACCGTGTAAAACGTGAATTTACTTTACGCGCGCCATTGCTTCTGCAACTTACTCCTAAACAGTTTATTAAAAAAAAAAAAAATCCAACCTCCAAGCCCACTCCCATATTAATACCTATGTCTCAGCCGTGTTGAGGCAGCGAGACCGGCAAAGACTGACTCACTTTGAGAGCCTCTGCAACACCGCCGCCATGATCTCTTTGTTGGCTTTGTGCGGATACGAGGCTCGAATAACTTCTCTGGGCAGCCATCTATCTGTTTAGCAAACATCGGACGCGTATCCTCTTACCAACACAGACTCGCTTCGTCACTCCCGGGTCTACGGAGCTCCACTTTTATTCAGACCGACACGTAAGAGACCGCGTCAGGCTACACCTCCGTCGCGTCACCGAGAACAACAACACGGAGAGGAGGACGAGGGAGACGACGACAGCGAAAATCAGCTCGGTCGACCGCAGCCGAGTCCGAACGGAGAATGCCGGAGAAGGACGAAGGCCGCCGAGGTGGCGATCAAAAATCACGGCGACGGCCGAAGAAAGATTTCGAGCTCCTCGAACGTATCTGAGCATGCGCCGCATTGTAAAATCAGGAATCTATAAAAGACCAAATAATGGGCAGATATGTTTGATCTAAATAGTAATTTACTAGAGATAATCATCATCATAACAATAATAATAATACGTTCCATTGTGTAAGTGTAAAAGAAAACTTTTAGAGTTATTTATGTAAATGTATTTACTCATATAAAATATACATTTTAATTTTAACACTCGAACGCTTTATAAAAACACTCCAAATTATGCTATGTCGATATAAAATGGCTTGTAATTCACAAACTGCATTTCTCTTGTGGTCCACACGGTGGCAGCAAAACTCTTTATTTCCCCTCACTATGAGCGCCAGCAGCACCCGTAACATGTTCCCCCCCCCCCAAGCTTTATAGATCAGTTATCTGTGATTTGGATTGATCCTAACTGTGACATTGGCTTTGTATCACCAAACCATATTGGGATTTTAATGAGAAACCTATGTACTATTTACAGCTCTCGTGATTCACATTACATTTACTTCTCCTTGGTTGTGCCATTTAGCCATAAAACTTGCTCATTAACTCTGTCACTAGGTGTGTGTGTGTGTGTGTGTGTGTGTGTCAGGACTGGTGGTGCAGGACCGAAATGGCTTCCAAGCTGTGGCAGCTGGTCAAAATCCTGCAGGGAAAATGAGACTTCAGACCAATTTACGACCATCATCTACGTGCGAGGTCATTTTAAAACAGTCACACACAAGCACACACACGTCAAACATACTCATCTTTGCGTATGGAGTGAATGCCTTCACCATTTGTGCAACATATTCATTGCTGACCGAACAAATCTTGTGTCCTTCACCATGAAAACTGCCTCTATTTGCAGTTTTACATTTTGGTACTTCTCTATTCAAAGTGAAGTGCCGATAATGAATTGTTCAGTCACTCATTCATCATTCAAACTCATCTCACATATCATAAGTACGTGTCACAAACCAGCCTCCTCAATCCGTTCCAGAGTATTAGTCTATAACTTGATTGCACATTGATTTCCCTCAATAATGAGCGCCAGAGGATAGCCTTAGAGAAGCCTAATTAGCCTGCAGTGGAGCGGTTTACTGAATATGCACATTACGTCCGTGCACATTCGGAGTGTTTGCAGTGTTTCAAAAAGAGAAAAATAAAGAAAATCACATCTAAAGTTTGTGTGTCTGTTTATATTTTCTCATTGTTTTGCACACAGCAAAAATAAAATCCCCATTCACCAATTCATACCAAACTTTCATGTGATAACAATTGTTTCTAGGATTTTGACAAATACAACCGGGTGAACAGCTTCTTGCATCATTATTTTAAAAGAACACTGGCCACGTTTATTAATGTAAAGAAGGAGAAAAACAGCACTTTTCATTCCAGAAGCAAGTAACAGGCATTTTTGTTTTAGCATTTTCTTTTATATTAGCATACAATTATTTCAAATGTTGCCAATTAATTTTCTGTGGGTTGACTAATCTTCACGGCTCCAAACCTTGTATAAATACATTTTAATGTGGTTCTCTCTCGGTCACTGAAACCCAAAGTGTTTCACATCCGTCGTCGAAAAAAAACACATTTATCACATCACAATCACGTCTTCTGGGTGCCCGTCAACGTGGTCGCCGTGTGTGGTGAACGACGGCGCATTTCTGATTGGGAACTGGTGAGTTCTGGCACAGAATGTGTGATCGCGCGGTTCCCCTGAGCCCTTCGCGCCAAACGACCCCCGGGCTGTAAATCACAGCCGAAAGCACCGACAAACAGCCGGAGTGAAGCGACCACGGACGTCCAAAATGGTGGAGGAGGAGGAGGTGGTGGAGGAGGATAGGAGTTTAATCTTCAGCATATGAAGTGGGGACCTGACTCCAATCCAGAGCCCCATCCCTTTCTCTTAAACCCAGCTGTCAAAGACCCGGGCTTAACACAAGCCTCCAGAAACCCATCGACGGCCCTATGACACTTTCTCCTTCGCCAGTTCTTTCTTCCCTCGGTTTCCGTTGCCTCTCCTGGCGCGTTGTTTTTAACTCGCACGGTTGTACGAAATCGCAACCCTTTCCAGATCGTTATCTCGCCCCCCCGCCTCCCCGAACTGCAGCACAATATTGAGCGTATTGCCGAGATGCCTGATATGTTATTTCATCATTGCAGTCCGATTTTAAAAGCAGTCCTGGATCAAAGCGAGGGGGGGGAATATCACACCTGCCACTCAAGCAGGGCATTATGGGAGATAGCATTGCTTGGGGGGGCATGCAGGAGGGGCCACGAGGCTTCGTCCAGAGAGAGGCTGAATATGGAGACGGTGGGGAGGGGGAGGGAGGGGTTGGGGGGGGTGAAAGACACGCGGTGCATTTGAATACTGCTGACCTTAAATGCACGCTCTTCATTGTGGGTGGAATTACCTGAACCGCATATGAACCAGTCGCACCTGGCAGAGGTTGCCATGGATACCGGGCCCCACAGTCTGCCTCCCTCCATCGTGCACGCGCACGCACACACAGAGGGCTCTCAAACCCGAAGACGTGAGTTTCAGAGATACCCAGCGAGCAAACGTTGTGCGGCTGAGGTGCAGCATCGAGCTGCGGCTGCGAGGCGGGAGAGTTATCTAACACGCCGAGATTGTGCTGACCCGGACCTCCTGCTAATCTAGGCTGCGGGCAACAACGTGTATTGGGCGATCGCAATCAATCCGTCAAGGTGTCACCTCCCTCCCTCCCTCTCTCTCTCCATCCCCGCCTCCCCCAGCCGCAAGGAGTTCTTTTTCGCCTGCGTCCCTCCCCCCTGCCTCCTCCGCCTGACCGTCCTTTCTGCCTTTTCTTAAAGGTTACCCTTCGAGTCCGCGCTAATGCAATATTCAAATGATCGTAAAATACCTGGAAAGAGTCGTTGGCGCCCGGATGTTATTTTAAGAGATGCACACAAAACTTTGCTGTTCGTTGAGGCCGAGCATAGTTTTTAGCTGCAGCTGTAGCCTGTAGAAACGTTCCATCCATTGACGTGCAAAGATGTTCACTGTCTGGTTGAGCGTTCCATGGCGGGTACCGTGATTGGGATTCAGACCAAACTCACGGACAAGGCCTCTTTTAGAGTATCCTAACCGGCACTTTAAAACACGGCAGCGATGGTCGCCAATTTCCCCCCGTTCCTTTTAAGCACTGTCTTAAAACACTTTGGTGTGTCTTCATGGTTCTTTGGCTTCAGGCGGGCTCTTCTTACCGCACTCTGCCGCGTTCCGTCTGAAGCCGTCTCGTCCAGCGCAAGTTCAATGTCAGAAGGGCAAAAAAAAAAAACGCTGACACTTTTTGCACAGAAAGTGCATTTTGATGTACGACTTGTACCAGCCTGTTTTTATCCTCAAATGAAAATCGACACCCCCCCCCCTCCTCTTGTTGCTGTTTCTCTCTCTCAGTGAGGCAGTAGGAGGGCAAGACAGAAACACACCCATGATGGGCTAGGTGCTGGAGTGTGTGTGTGTGTGTGTGTGTGTCTGCGCTTGCTGCAATGCTCCTTCCCGTCACAACATGTCATTCTGGACACTATGACTCCCAACAGAGGCAGACACTGCAGCCCACTGACACAGAGCGTAAGGTCATCTGTCAAACAGAGAAGGCTACTGTGTGTGTGGGTGTGTGTGTGTGTGTGTGTGTGTGTGTGTGCGGGTCACAGCGATATATCACAGTGAGCAATGGAAGATGTGAACGGCGGCTTTTAAAATCCGCCCCCCGCCCTCTAAAAGAGAGGAAGGTACCCGTGATTCTAGAGATGTTGCATATAGCATGTTACTTATGATTAATAACATATTTCAGACATGAAGAGTCGGGGTGTTTGCAATTCGCTAGAAGAGATATAATATCTGTTTATCTACAAATGTTTCATTTAACAGAAGGATCTTCTCTTTTTGATTGGCTGCTGACCTTTAATAAAAACAACAATTGATTTCATCCATCCAGCTTTGCTCAGAATGTTTTTTAATGCGTTTTGTTTTCTTGGTCTCATGGACACTCCACGAAACACAGGATGAAACATATATATCTTTATATAAATCCATAAACTCAAGTACTTGATCAAACATGTTTGCAATGTCTTTATATTTATACTTTTTGCACCTCTGACCGCGGAACATTTGACTCTCTAACCACGCAGCGTGCATATTCAATGCGCCAAAACCCGCCCCGGAGCTCAGAAAAGCGAGAGGAGGCAGAAATATTTGTGCCAAGAATGAGAAGCCCCGAATGTGCGTTTCCGTGTCTCCTCACAGGGGAATAGAAGGGGACAGTCAGGAGAGGGGTTATTTACTGGGCGGCCCAGGCGACCTGTCCGTCCTCACGTCCGGCCCCGGCAGATTAAGATGCAGCCGCTGGCGGCTGCCAGAGCTGGCTGAGATTGATGGGGAACACTGGGCCACAGAGGCCCTGCAGAATCGCGAGCAGAGCCTGTGGGTACCGACACCAGCTCCTCTCTCCTCACTTCTCTCTCTCTCTCTCCCTCTCTCTCTCTCTCTTGTCACCCTTTTTTTCCTTCTTTTTTTTTTCTTCTTTACTGACTTTTCTTTATCGCTCTGTTGCTCTTTCTGGCATTTTTTTCCTCTCTCTGTCACTCTGCCGCTTTCAGCATTCCATGTTCTCTCTGTCCGTCTGTCACTCTATCGCCCCACTGTGCCTCCCAACCAGTCTCACCCCCCCCAGGAAGACGCTGTCTCAGCAGCTTCGGATGTCATGAAACTGCAGGTGCATTATGTGTGTGTGTGTGTGTGTGTGTGTGTGTGTGATGCTGAGGGATAAAAGTGAGGGGGAACGCGCTCTAATAAATAATCTGATGTTTTGCAGGGAAAGTTAGCTGTGTCTGTCTGGTGTGTGTGTGTGTGTGTGTGTGAGCGCTAACGTGGATCAATTGCAGCTTCCATAAGCTGTCTGCACAGCTGTGGAATTGCCGAGGGGAAT